TCACGACTACCAACTACCTTGACGTATCCATAAGGTTTTAACATTATTAAGACAGGGACACTGGGTCTTACGGCTCTAGATTCCGGCTTGTCAAATATGGTTCTCCTTAGCTGGCTAGGGCTTGACTGACGTGAGATAGTAACCGTTTATCCCGGCTACCGCATCATCTATGGTACAACGTTATAGGAAGAGCCGTTTAATGTCGCCGATCGGAATCGACAACACGTGCATATGGGTGGACTTTTGGACTATGGATGCGCGCACTTTGGGCGGGCCTTGCGATTTCAAGGTGCACCGAAGATAGCTGCTAGAGCATCTAGCGTGTTTTTGTTGCGGGCGCCGCGGTTCGAGTAAGGTCAAATAGTTGCAAATGTCTGGAAATCTTAGTCAAGGCCACTTGGCGCAACATTGACAACCCCAGCCTCATTTTCTGCTCCAAAGTCTGCCATCTGCTTTAATACTACTCCATTCGAAAGTCAATTACAGCGACAATATGACATGGAGGTGCCCAGCCTCATTTTCTGCTCGAAAATCTGCCATCTGCTTTCACAAAAATCCACTCAAATGAGTGTGAATTGAAGCGACAATATGGACATGGAAGTGTAGTATGCAGGTACTACAGGGTTTTCATCAAATTGTTCTTCATCAGGTAATTCTAGTTTGTCTACCTCTTTTAACACCCAGCGTAATATGGTGCAAAGGAATTTCAACAGAGACTCATCACGTCCTGACGCGCGACTAAGGCGAAAGGCCGTATTAGGTAACCAGCATTGCCCACCAGATGTCGACGAAACGCTTGTAGAAACAAAACTTTGGCCACTGCACAGCTGTATATTATTTAGACGAGAATGCGGACTACCCTTCCTTTCGGATAAGAAGGTTCCACACAGAGTTCAGGCAAGATCGTCTGGAAAGTCAGAAAAAGGTAGTCGGGGGGCTCACAGCAAGCGCTGAAAGCCCAATCAAAACTTTAGGGAGGATGGGGCACGAGGCTGAAGCAGCCTCGACTGCTAATCCCAAAACAAAGTCTCCAATGAAACAGCTTCGTCACAGTAGTGCACCCACTAAACATACCCGGGCCACATCACCACCCGTCCGAGCCGCATCCGTCAAACCGACACGTCCGTTGCCGGAAGCAAGATCGCCGTCGCCTTTGCCTCCTTCCAAGCTACCCCCACCAACTCCAGCTACCGAGCACCGTCGGTACTCTCCAGTATACAAATGCTCCAATCGCTTGCTCGCCAAACGATGGGATGATGCCGCCCGGAAACGGCATCGGGAGAAACTTGCTAGCATGAAACCTGCTGTGGATAACTCCCCGCCAAAGAAATATTCCCATTTGGACATGCGATTAAAGAAAATTAGGCAGGAACAAGGTACAATTTTGCAGTGATGGAATTCGAAAGTTTACCGTGACCTAATGTTGCGATTTACCAGAGCAATCACAACGGGTGCAGCACGAAAACATTATCCTCTTGAATCGCATGGCTCGTCAGATGAGCGCCCCACAAGGATTTTCCAACATTGATTCTCATTATCGCGTGAAGGAGACGCTCAAGAAGCCTCATCCCAGCGCACGGAAGCGACAGGAAGAACTGAAACATGTAGACGAAGCCAATATTGTAAGTGGCAACGGCAGGGAGGTGCAGGGTGGGTTCACCAGCAAAACGATCTGACTTTATTCTTCCACAAACAGATTTATGTTCAACGTATCGAAGATCGCCAACCACATTACAGCAGAGCAACATGGAACGAAGAGCGGCGAAAGAACCTTCTGTACTTGGCAAACCATTCACGGTTTCCCGAAATTTATGTTGATGTTTGCGAGCGAGAAGGGGTTCAATTACCATTCGTTAAGCGTTCTCGTCCAGGAAGCGCCAGGAGCCCAGCGACGCATCCAAGCGACGAGCAAGAAAGCGTGACAGCTGTAAATACAGTAAAGAACGAGGAGACAAAGAACCGCAGCGACGAAAGTGAAGCTGGACAAGGTTGGGAGACAGAAGATGAAGGAGAAGATGGGGAGACGAAGACGATAGAACAACAAAATGGCGGGATCACAGCCGATTGATGTTATGTAACAGCCTCAATAATCAATGTTACTTAATTTATGATTCTTTTCTTCTCTATTGGAATATGTGCCTCTCATGATTATGTACAGTGTGTAAAGGGTATGACATGACTGGCTGTCCCTCAGTACCAAACCGTACGTCTAGTGCTCCTCCTCTTTCTGTGGTACCATCAACGGATCAGGTTGAAAGGGATAGGGTTCAGGTGCGCCCTCGGGTGTGAGAGCCATAAACTTGTAAACTGTTCCCATTCCCAGTGGAGACACGAGGCGATCAAAGGCTGTTGCAATGTCTTTTCGTCGCGGAGCGTCTGCATTAGCGAGCAGCATATTCATTCTTGGCCCAATCCCCATTGCTCTTAAGAACGTTGACTGCGTTATGGGTCCATGTGCGGCAGCTAGTACAGCGTTTAGATGAGATTATAAAACAAAGGAGGGTGAGGCAAACGCACCAAGATCCTTTGCCGCATCTCGAAGAAAGGAAAAGTCAACGTCAGCACTGAGATCAGAATCACCGGGTCGACTCAGAACATTGGTAAAGTTGTGCTTGCGGATACCCTTTGCGCAAGAATTGGTCAGCCCTGAAAATTTCCTCGCCCCAATCATCCGCTACTTACTCGCAGACTGTCCCCCACCACATGGTCTCGTCCATAATCGATAAAAAGTGCAGATCCACCATCCTTCTTTATACGCTGCGCGACATGATTCGCTACCGCGTAAGAATCTGGCGACACCTCGACGCGATCGCCCACCTTGAAATTCTGGAACCTTTCATGTGCCATGATGGTCAGGGATGCGTTTGTTGGGCCCGGGGATAGTGTAAAGCAAAAATGGTGTGGACTAAAGGCAAAGTACATGCATAAGGATGAGAATTTTATCACAATGTAGGAGATGACGTCCTTTTTCACCTGTCAGTCGATTCATCCGCAGCTACTTGAATCTCCTTCCAGCCATCTTCCGTCAACTGATTGCGGGTTCTCGTCAACACCAACATCAAAGGAAAGCATTGAAACTCGTGATTCACATATATCACATACCTCAAACTTGTATATGGGCATAGCATCAAAGAACTCGTGCGCGATGATCATCGAACAGGTCCCTATGTAGACGGTTCGTCATCAGGCTCGTTATCCACAGCCACAGTACTGACACAAGCGGCTAACCTTCAGGCACTGTATCCAGAGAAGTGTGCCAATGAATCTCCAACCCATCATCGCGCTTCACACTCTCCATACTGTCCGTCACGTCGGGCAACGAAGCAAGTTTCTCAGCTTGCACCCTTCGTAAGAACGGACTGGCTTCGACTAAATGAACACCGCGAATGGTAGAGTGGACATAGTCAAAGTGCCCGAGTGCCTAAGCGAGAATCATCATCAATCTGGTAAGCGATCGGACACTTTTGATCTTTCCTACCCGTAACATATCCGACATCAAGGTTCCACGTCCTGGGCCTAGTTCAACTAGCTGGATATTTTTCGGGGAACCAAGTGCTTGCCACTGGGTTACGAACCAGACTGCAACCAGCTATGAACGATTATTATTCTCCCGTTCAGCATATTCACGTCAAGAGCCGGTTTACCTCTCCAAACATTTGACTGATCTCTGGGGATGTGGTGAAGTCTCCAGCTGCTCCGAATACATCACCCTTCATATAGTATCCACCGAGAGGATGCGTAAGCGCCGAGCGCATGTACTGTGCTACCGAAATTGGACCACCGAACTTTATTTGCTCTCGCAAATGCTTTGACAGAGGAGTGAGTTCTTCTTTTGTGCTTTCGGGTATTGTTGAGTAACGTCTGCCGAGAGAACATGGCTGCCAAAAGAGCCCCCTTGTCTTTGAAACCTGGGCGATAATGCGGCCCCTCCCGCCTAAAATAAACCTCGCCATCCTCTGCAATTTCGTTGACGCACCAGTTGGATCTGCTGGGATAATGCAAGCGTAGCCATTGCCACGGCAACAAGCTACTGCGCACGAGGATGAGGCACGCTGACCAGAGGTCAAGACATGCAACTTTGGATATACAAAGCCGCAATGATCGAGGTACTGTCCTTTGTAACTCGGTTTACATATTGGTAAAGGGCGCTATCAAACTAAGCAGTGTATTAACCTTGTAGATCGTATGTAACGATCGACTCGGCAAAAAAGTTCGAGTGAAATGCAAGTAAGTACTTTTTAGACAGGAGATAGTAATTCGGGTCTTGAAGGTCACTTACCCGGGTTATATAGTCCAGATGATACTATTCGGGATCTTAAGCTGTTGATTGCCGCACAGACGGGAACAAAACCTGAGAAGATCGTACTGAAAAAGTGGTACACTGTCTACAAGGACCACATTACGTTGGACGACTACGAAATCCACGATGGAATGAACCTTGAAATGTGAGCTTTAAAGTTTCAGTTACAGGAAATAATGCAGAACTGACAGTTTCCGTTATTCTAGGTACTACCAATAGCCGTCCTTTGGTATTAAGCGTTTTTGGCATAGTCGTGTGCGAACTAGGTTGTTCTGTCTCCAAAAATGCTGGGGTTGCGGCAAACATCCATGTTCCGACGACTTCGGTGGAGACAGCCATCCGATGGTACAAGATGTAGCTAGGCTGTATGCTACTGACCTATGAGAAACCGGAACGCCTGCGAATGCCGTCTGTATGTTTGCAATAGAATATTAGCATATTTACATGTCTATCAAGCTATCCATCTCTACCACCTCCCCCCACATCTCTCTGAAAACGGAGACGTATCGCCCCGAGCCACCTGGGGACAATCCTGTGTGTGGGTGTTCATGACTGATGTCAGATGATATCAGTCCTTGTTCTTCCAGACATCGGAAAGTGTTCAGAAAAAGTGTCTTGTCGCCAGAGGCCAACGCAGAATCCAAAATGCCAGTAACAGAAACGGTGCGCAAACAGTTACGACTAAGCGCAAATCGCAAAGCATCAAGAACCTGTGACACTTGTCGTAAGACGGACGGACATACGAACATCGATTGCAGCATACGGGACTAACCTGTCCTCTCGAAATTAAGATATCTACAACATCGTCGTTCGCATTCATCCTTTTCAACATATCCAGCCCGAGCTGCTGATAGGGTCCGTATTCCGCACTTTTACTAAGCAGTAGACGTGCAACTGCAATCGAATCCTGCACAACATTGTACTGAACATATTGATGCAATTCGGCATAGCGCTGGTCCTTGACTAGAAGTTCAGCTAAAAGTTCATGAAAGTATGGCTGGATGGGTTCGGTTGCTGATAAGGCCGCAATATACTCAAGAATGCATCGGGTTAGGTATCGGACTGGGAAATCCTAGAACAAGTGTTACTCGATTGTCTCGCAGTCCAGAAAACACGAATCAGGTCAGCCTACCGACTCTCTCCCAAGCACGTTGAAAATGAGGGCATACATATGCTCCTGGCTGAATATGCCCTCGGCATAGTCTGCTGGAGTGCGGTGCCCACCAACGGACGACGGTCTTGAGCTTGCTCGCGATCCTGTAGGCATAAATACTTCAGAGGGGTGCGACTTGACAGAATTCTATGTTGGCCTACCAGGTGGTGATAAGAGTCTTTTCGGGACAGAAGTTTCAGGAGCAGGTGGCAGTCTGCTCCCTGTTCCGGCACGAGAACTCGCAAGTGAGTCGGCTGATTCTGTGGAAACATCGCGTACCATCGCCCTGCCTCTATGAACACAACGCGGGATCAATACTGAACAATGTCAGACTACGGCGACGAGCGGCCATTCACCTTGGTACGGACACACCACGCCCGGTCGTGTTCAAAAGCTCGAATGCTTTTCGCATTATCCCTGGTTCTGTCTCCGCTCGCAGCATGTCGCGCACGAGGCCAAGTATCAGGGAAGGATCTTCAATCTTTCGTCGAAGTAGGAACTCCAAAACTTGAAAATCGCTTCGAAGCTCACGCATCGTTTTCGAAATAGCGTCCAAGTTTAACATGAGCTCATACAAGACTCCGCAGCTCGGCATCAAGATACAGTCAGAGAAACAAGCTTGCCACTCTCCTAAGGCTGCAATATGCACCCATTTAAGACGCCGCTCATTTGCGTTGACCAGAGAGTCTAGTTCCCAACCTACCTTCGTCCATCTGGAGCTGCTTGGGTGGTATTATAGGCTGTGAACTTGCATCTTTGAGATCAAAAAGCAGAGGGTGCTAGGAAAAAATAAGACCCATGCTGCTCATATTTTGGAAATTGAGATTTGGCTACCTTTGCAATAAGGTTGTGAACAACAAGAAGATTGTCGACAATATTCACAATGAAAGTTCCTCGCCCTTGAAGATGGCAGGAGACTTCGTGGTTTAGAGAGGCCCTTGTAATGCGATACAGAACAAGAATAGGTTTCTCCGTCGTCAAATCGAAGAAGCTGCAGTACAGGCGCCCGTAGCTGGTTGTGTCGCTTTTGAGAAACCAAGACGTGCAGCGGTTGTGAGCAAACCACCTACTCACGCGCATAGGACCGCAATCTGTCGCTTGGTGACATGTACTTGAAGGGTATTACTTTTTCCCCGCGGGACGACGTGTAACGGTGGCAACGGATCGAAGGAAGCGTCTCCTTTCAGATGGTACAGCTTCAGTGTCAGTGAACTAACCGAGGTGATCAAAATATGGTGATCTGGCTAACATTTAAGCACGTCAACCATCGTTCAACTCATTACCCTAGGTGATTAGACGCGACTCACCCAGTAACTGTACCAGTTAACGTTGAACTGCTTTGATTTCCTGCGGATAAATTTGTCGTTGCTTTCGCTATACTACGGACGCTGCGAAGTTACTCGGGTAGTTCTCGCTCATATTGAGGCTGGGAAGGCAACAAACCTGATACAAATCGAGACCCATATTTGTGATGGCAATCAGTTCTCCAGGGAAAGTCCACTCGAAGCCCAATATCGCCTCAGATGAACGCGCATCTTTAACAATCTCTTGCATACTCGCGGCTTGTCCCATCGAATTAATCCGCATGATATCCTATGGCTTTTTGGTGAGCTGAATGATGTAGCAAATGCGAGGACGTCCTGAGCGTACCAAAACTTTGGCAGATCGTAGAATGCCGATAAAAGATCCATCTGAAGATACTTCAACGTCGCGTATCGCGCCCTTGTGTCCCACGCTGCCATGAAGCACGAATTAGATCCTCTACTTTTCATCCAAAGGTCTCGACGTGGGTCAAAAAGACTGCTACTGTTCCGTGATAGCCGCAAGTCCTCCACACACGGGACGGAGTTACAATGACCAAAACACACCTGAACTTGACGGTTGCCTCTCCCACCTCCCGGACCAACTCTAGCTCCTCATCATTTTTCAAAAGCACCACACTTTTTCGTGGAGCATCCAAATACACCGTGGTCACATCTGTAGCCGGTGGAAATGTGCGCGCTGGCCTCAAAATAACGGGACTTTCCGACGCCGATCGCGTTCCATTCGGAAATGGTGAAGAACTACACGGAGACACTGGCGAAGCGGCAATGTCGGGTACTGTCTTCGTTGTTACAGGAGGTGATGTCTCTGGAGGGACTTTGTTCATTTGAGGGAAGCATGGAGCGAACGGCAAACGTTGGGCAGCGAAAACGAGCTTTGTGGTAAATGGACTGGCTAAGCCTTCGACATGTCTGCGTAAGCGATCGTAATACCTGATGACGTTGGGACTTTTGGGTTGTGATTTCTTCCACCTCCAATAATAAGCGGATTTTACAGAAAAGAAACACAAGGACTGTTATCCACATGGCAGCTTCCAACCTCGTCAAAACCGTTACAAAGTTCATTCCCCCGCTGAGCAATGCCTTGCACAAAGGGCAAGCCGGTGCGTTTTCAAACCTCACGTTTGGTCGGTTGGTTGGAAGGCGAATAGCGTTTGACAGCTAACATCCTTGGAAGTTTAGGAAGAATTGCCGTCATTGGAGGTAGTGAAGAGTAGGTGCCCTCCATTTGGAGTGAATTGTGTAACTGTTTGTAGATCCCGTCAAGATGCATATTGTGTTTTTGCTTACATTAAATGACTCGGATAGCTACACTGGCGCACCTTACTTTGCTAGCATCTCTTCTCTAAAGATGGTAAGAACTTCTCTTCTATTTTAGTGTGATCTGCTGGGTACCTACCTTTGCGGTGCTCAACAAACCACCAATCACTTTAGGGAGCCGACTTGTGTCATGTATTTTGTGAAAAGAATGCTGGTCTCGTCATCAAGGTAGTGCAAGTGCCAGAAGAAGACGCCGTAAATGACCCCTGATATGTCTCTCTCTGGTTTGATCTGATCCCTCCGACAAGAGCTATTCACCGGAGCTCATGGTCCATCCCTATCTCCGCAACTCCGAGTAATGTCTATTGTGCGAGGCTGTTAGAGGAGGCCAATTGTTGCTCATGATCCTACAGCTCAATAGGTATTGATCTGAAGAATCAGGATCGAGTTGAAGCAGAAATAAACAAGATTGTCGAGCGCGTCACGTCAATGTTTCCCCGTCTGCACGTCCTTGTCGTAGGACCAGGGTTATCTCGGGATGAGATCATGATCGAAACGACAAAAAGGGTCATTGTGAAAGCAAAGGAAAATGGGATGCCTCTAGTGATTGATGCGGTATGTGGCTGGTTGTGGGCTGGGAAAGATTCTCTCGCGGTGCCAGATTCCTAATAAATGTGCGACAGGATGGCTTGTACCTCGTGCAAAAGAACCCAGACATAATCCGAGGATATCCTTTGGCTGTGCTAACGCCTAATGCCAACGAGTTTACGCGCCTGTGCGAGTCAGTGGTATGTAGGAGTGACGATCTCATGTTGCACGGCTGCCTACGTATTCAGTCGTATGTCAGAATGTCCCTTGCGGAAAGGAATACCGTGATGACGTTGCGCTAAAATTAAGTCAAGCGTTTGGGAATGTAACGATCCTTCAAAAAGGTTCAAGGGATATAATCAGCAATGGCAAAGAGGGTAGAGTGAAATGCATGCATCAAGTGCAACCTTAAGATATTGACTTACCGAATGATCCGTAGTGTTGATATGCGATGCGGAAGGCAGCCCACGTCGGTGTGGAGGCCAGGGTGACCTTCTCTCCGGAGCGTGTGCGACTTTTTTAGCATGGGGCAAAAATTACGAAGCAAAGGCCTGGGAGTACGTTATTGACTATGTGCCATACCTATATGTGTACAAGTTTGACCATTTTACAGGCACCCGTCAAATCCAGATATTGACAACGACTTTCAAGTCCGCATTCCTTTGCTCGCAGCATGGGCTGCTGCCTTATTAACACGCAACTGTTCTCGCGCGGGATTTGCAAAACATGGACGAGCTATGATGACGACAGACATGATTGAACAGGTGGGGGATGTCTTTAGATCAACTTTTGAGCCGGATCAGAAGAAAGCGACCCTCTAGTATCTATATTCTTTATACAACACGGTAATCCGCTTGGCATATGTACAGAGTTAGCAGTGTGGCGGCCTGCGCAGGACCAATGGGAGGCAGAGTGGGCAGATACATTTCGTTGTGTATAGAGGGCTGCTGAGCCGACCCTCTTGATCTCCGCGTGCACCCCGTTCAACGATGATCACGATGATGTCCTCCATCTCTGTAAGTTGCTCTATCCTCATGAGGATAGCGCCCATCCATTCCCCTGCCGCTGCGGCCATTGTATGAACTTCGTCCAAAGTTTCTCCTGTCACCATCGCGTCTGCCGTAGGGTGAGAAGCGTTCAGTCGAGCGGCGGTCTTGGTGACTGTGGCGCTCTTGCCATTGCCTTTCCGGTGGAGGGGGCTATCGTATGATACGCCGATTCAAAGTCAGAGACCGTCCACATAGTGATAATGTAGTTCCAGCAACTTACGTCCGGGATTGGTAGTTTCCATTCTCGTAAGCATCTGTTTCTCACTTCTATTTGATCGAAAGATGAGAGCGATGGATCATCCGCATACTTTCGCAGTTCCTGCAGAGCTTCGGTTTGCCGGATGCAAAGTCTGTTCATGGCTTGTTAGGTCTTATGATATCTGAGACTACAGGAAGCAGACCAAACTGACCTCATGTTCACCGACCGCACACGGTCAATGAACTTTTCGTCGCCGTTAACAGCGTCCCTGTCCATTAGCCCCGTAACTTCCAACGCATCTTTTGCCTGATGTGCCCGCAGATCGTTCATTCGATCGTTAACGGCGAAGAGGTGTTCGATAATTCGGGGAGGATGTGGCACACGTAGATTACGGCAAACTATGTACCTTTCAGCAGTATCAGGTGGACTCGCCAGAGGTTTCACTATCGTTACTTTCTCAAAGCATCGATAGAGAATGTATAGGATATCAACAGTGAACGGCGTAAATACATCGAAAATTTGCATCACAAAGTCGCCATGTTTCCTCAGGACCAAAAGCGCTGCCAAGACTTGACACAAGACCAGCTGTCGTATGTGATATTCTTGATTGCCCGCAATGTCAATTTCGCCGCTGTCTGCCATCACGAGATCTAATCCCTCGTTATTCGTCGCGTATTCAACCAACTCATGAAAGCCGCGGATATTTTCGTTTTTTCGCAGATCGCCAGTGCCATCTCCATAAAATGGTTCAAATAGTTGCTTCACGCAACTATCTGGATGCATCCTGTCCAGAGCAGAATCCTGTCTGCCTCGTGAAGTCATTCCCCATCCTCGGATTGGTATTCCCCTCGCGTTTGCTCGCCAGAGCAGATACTCTGTGAATCCGCCCGGTCCTGAACATAAATCAGCGAATCGTAATTCACCAGTACCCGTTCGCGCATTTATGTCTGTGAATTGAAAAAGAGCGTCCATATTTGCCATCTTGACTGCAGTTGGATATGCAAAGATGGATTTCCCCAGGCATTGGTAGGGATTAGCTCGGGACTTGGCTCTGTACATATCTTGCGGTGCAAGATCCTTCAGCTTCTCCTTTGCGGCAACAAGGTTCTCCACAATGGTTTTCTCACAAAATCGGCTGTAGTCGGTTTCTCCTACCTAAGCTCGAATCCCATTTAACGTGTGAAACAAAGAAAATCGTTGTTTAACTTACAACTGACCTCTTCCACCAAAATGCGTAAGTGCTGCAGCCATTCATCATCTTCCAAACTCGCGTCGCATACCATCCATTGCACAGACTGTTCGTGAGCAACAGTTTTATCCGTCCTGTAGACTGCTGGCGATGGCGGAAATGCACGATCTACAGGTGCTCTTCCGTTGTCATGTCGGTTTCGAAGTCTTGGGGGTGTGAGCTGTGGAGGTGGGACTGGGGATACTAGCGGGGTTGCAATGTACTCGGGGTCGTCCGTGTAAAGGTCGTTCCCGGTGGTTGCCATATTAGTGAGTCGCTCTGATGCAGCAACCGTTGCAAAAGATGTGTGGAATATGCCTTCGGGATTGTTGTTGCTGTGTGATGGCATCCATTTTACACGTGTTTTCATCCATTTCCAATGATCGCCCAGTTGAGCTTTCAACATTACAAGCAGCACTGCGAGAAAAAAGTATCATCTGAGAGCTCTTGACATGTCAGCAATATCCATAGTTTCCTGGTTGGGAATGGGAGAAGCAGTTAAGAGTTTTGCGAATTGAAAAGATCAAACCTCTGCTGTTAGCAAGCCAATTGGCATCCTTAACGCAATTACTACAAGTTTAACCCAGTAACGGAATGCATAAACGCATTTGAACAATGAGGCTGCCCGAATATCGGCTGCAGATTATGTGTCGGTACTGACAATCATATAATTTGAGAAAAGGATACGTGTCGCTTTGGAACCCAGACAGCCAACAATAATTAACAAGAATATCTACGATATCAAGCCCTCCATAGTGGTTATCGTTCGGCAAGACAGTGGAAGCAACTGTGTAACCACTACGAGTAGACTACTGTGAATGGAAGAGGGAGCCACGAACAGCGAAGAAAAAAAACGATAAGGACTAACGAACTCAGGAGCTGTTGCCAACTTGTCATGGGTCGAAGACCATGCGGACGAGACATGCAGAGCTAACGCAGCTAAGCAATCACCATCGCAGGTCCTGCAGACCAACTGGGCGCAGAAACTCTATTTCTACCAACCCATGGAAGAAAAAGAGCGGATGGGTCCAGTAACGCAGCGCACAGCGTCTACCGACGGACAGGACATAAAACCGGTTATCGTGCGTGCCTAAGGGACCCTACCTCTCCCACAAACCAACGTCGCATGATTTGGGAACCACGAAAAGTCACTGTTTCCTATGTAGATACGCGCCAGGTGTGTCGGGGCAGGAAGCGCGAGCTAGGTCAAACAGCAGATGATGGAGGTCGTTTTGGCAGGAGGAGGTTGGGTGTTCATGGCCAGGGCTTCAAGTGTGAGGCAAACCAGGTTGCTTGCATGATTCTAACCCATTATAATGTATCAAACCGGGTTTGTAGTCATGGAAACAGAACATTCACAAGGCACTTTAGCACTCAACACTCGAAAGAACTGGCCGGATCCCAGCTGAGATATCACAATGTTGGCAACAGCCCTACGCCGGAGGGCAATTTTGCCAGTTGTTCCAGCGCCGTCTGGCCTCGGAAGACCAGCAGCTTGCGCTCGCCGCGCAACATTGCGATTTTCCAGTACAACACCTGCTGCACCCAAACCCCAAGCAGCCGCCTCCTCTCTCTTTCAAGCCGCCAAGGAGGATGCTGAATCGACAGGTGCTGTAAGCGGAACGACGAGCTCCGAGGATGCTACAGTCCCAACACCATCAAAGGCAACAGACAAGGCCATTCCCACATTCACAACCGGCGATTTTCGTGTATCGCCACGCAAACTCCTCCATCTCGCCCGTCTCATACGCGGAATGCCCCTCCTCGAAGCCGAAGTCCAAATGAAAATGTCCAAAAAGCGCCCGGCTGATCGAGTCCGTGCCATGTTACATCGAGCCGCATCTGCACTACAACACAATTATGGAAAAGATCCGAAAAGTTACATTGTCCAGCAGGCGTGGGTTGGGAAAGGCACCTATTTGAAGAGACTGAAAATTCACGGCAAAGCCCGATTCGGTGTCATGCACCGTCCAGCAGGCCACGTGAAAATTATCTTGGCTGAGAAGAAGATGGACAAAACCAAGCAGGAGAAGGACTTTGACAAATTGGTGGACATGTTCAAAAGGCATAACCTGTATATTCCGCTGCGTGACAGTGAGCCTGTACGCTTCTTACATCCCCCGTGGAGTAGAAAGCCATGGAAGTATGTGACGAGTCCAAAGTGGGTGGATCCAAAGAATGCATTGGCGCGGGATCGGTAGGGCTGGGGTGGAAGATGGGAGCTACATACGTCTATGTCGGATCATACGGCTGTCATGATACACGTATTTACAATCTTTTTGAAAATATTATTTACTCTACAAGGAAGGGAATTGGTCTGGTGTGGACTTGTGATGCCTCTTTGCTGCGATAGCATGCATTATAGCATGGCACGTCGTACGTGATACAGGACAGAAATAGTGTTTGGAAGCAGTTTTGCGCATCTCGTATTAGATTCCAGTACGACCCGAATAGTGTAGAGGTGACAGAAACTGGCACTAGCTACTACACCAGTCAACTCCGCACTATGTACAAACTTTTCTTCAACAGTTCATCATAGCAGACACTCCTTCTCGACATTGATAAATGCAGCAGCACCATTTCCCGCCCTTACCAACTCTTGCACTGCCACGCACGTCTGTCGATATATATTTTCAATGGCTGGAACGGCAGGCCGATGTTGTGAAACTAGAGCAGCTTTAGTAGGGTATACGAGCGGTTACTCGTCAAGATTGATCGCTTACCAAGTATGGCACTGTTGACAGCATCAGCCACAAGGATTCGATTCGAAGGATCCAATAGATAGGCAACAGGACTCGTTGCGGGTTCTGAATACGCCACTAGGGAATAAGTTTCCTAGCAATAACCAAAATATCAGAAAGAGTTTTCTTTTCATCACTGACGAGGAGGCAAAGAGAACTAACCACAAGTGCATTTCGGACTTCTTCGCTTTCGCTGGACCCAAACTCCTTTTGCAAGTCTTGTCCAAACTGTACTACATCCCTCATTGAGTCGGCTGGCATATGTGACGAGGCTGCGCTACCACTGGCAGCCGTATCATCAGCATCTACATCCATTGCGTTTCTGCCGTCATCCAACCGAGCTTCAGGTGTCCCCGATAAAGCTCGTATCATTTCAACAAACTTCTGACTGCGAAGCTGGAAGTCGAGATGTTGGTTTTGGGGTAGTATTGATGGATAGAATGACTTGATCAGGTTGATGGCTTCATCCATATCGCCATTCAAAACCTGAGCACGAATCACTGGTTATGACAGACGGCTTAATATCGTTGTCATATCACGGTGTGCTCCAAGAACTCTTACTTTGTCGTTGACGAATATCATCTTTGCTGAAAACATCGTCGTCAACCATCATCCTTTTGTTGCTCTCCGATACGTGTCCGGATGTAGAAGAAGAACTTGATCGCCCCACGATCGCATTCCCATGGAATGTAGCAGCTGTTTCGCAAAATCCGTGATGTATTAGATATGCAAGGATGAGCTCATTGATGTCAGTTGACCCGTCGCGTCTTTGGCCTTTTAGCCCTGAGTCTGACGAATCTTGTGGAATGTCGGTAGTCGGCAGGGAGGGAAGCGGTGCAGCATTCACGGAGTGCCACAACCTTGCCTTCTCTTCCTGTAAAGTAGCATCACCTATGTAAGAATTGGATGCGTGTGCGTCTCATTATTCGTCCGACCTTGTAATGATGTTCAATATCGAACTTGAATTTTCGTTGTCCAAAGTTTGCCTCCACAATTTCTCCCGGTGTTCGGAGTCCCACTGATGGATATAGTGCTCCATCACTCTTTCCATGATCGACAACGTTCTTAAACGCCACTCCTAGCCATACCCCGTTTTTGGTGAACGAGACAGTCTTGCTCATAAAGTTGATAACACATCCGATGATATCACCGGTTGTAAAGATGGGACCATATGCCTTCCCAGTCCCTGAGCAGCAAAACGAGTGTCCATCATCCCCATGGTATCCCCAAGAGTTATCCTCCCATCCTTTAAATCACCGACATGGATTAAGTCATGACGCCGCACGTGAGCTTGAGATCAACAATGCGTCCTACATACCTGGTAAGCGATTTAACGGAACGTTTTGTGCACAGAGTCCTACACCGATATAGCTACAGTCATGGTGCCATACACACTTAGTCAAGCTGCAGAGCTATCAACAACAAACGTATACATACCCATCTCTTCCTTTGCTGATAATCGTGACCTCATAATAGAATAAACCACACTGTGGTGGGATGGGATGATTGGTTCTCACTGCTGCCGCATGTGCATCAGTCTGTCCAGGACCTAGTAGTGAAATATTTTTAAAAAATGACATGTTACAAAGTAGACATGAAGTATACCAAACAACCAACCTGTATATGTAACTCTCAAGCTCGTTGCTGACAATTCCAGTGATGGGCTCTTGTCTTTGTTACTCCACTGGGTTGGCAGATTAATGGCTTTTGATGGCTTTTTTTCTGACGGAGATGTGTCGCAGTCGCCTAGTGCCTTTGCCAGTTCTCCATTGGAATGCCGTGACTCGGTACTTATGAACGCCGATGCTGGCAGGGAAGTAAAGAGAGGAGATTTTCGTTCTGCGGTTGAGCTTCTTGGAGCACAGTCAACGCCGAAAGGCAATCCAAGTGGCGAGTCGGCAAGGTAGTCGGGAGGCTTGTTACGAAGAGTTTTTACACGTACAGGTGGAGAACCGCTAATATTGGTGGGATGTGACATGTTGGAAGATGGCAATGAGCTTGAACTGGCGGGATTCCGAGGCGCGCTTTGACCAAGGAAGTTGCTGGGAATGATCCCAACATTTTCAATGAGCAGCGTGTCGCGGTGCAGACAACTCACACATACTCACAGAACGGGGGGGAGGAAAGAAGAAGCTCTGCGGGTTGACGACGACTGCGATGAAGTATTGGTGTTTGTCATGCCTCCAAAAGGCTTGCAGTGCAAACGTAGCGACGGCTAGCAACGTCCTGGTCGATCAACCGTCGTCAGTCATCCGACCCTTGCTAAGCCACTATCACCGTCCAGCTCACCACAAGTTTTTGTTTATCGAGATATCTGCAGCTTTTTGTTTATCGAAATATCTGCAAGGCCAAAGTCTGCCAATAGCCAAGATGAAAAAGGGTTCTAAGCTGCCCGGAATGGGAAACGGTAATTTACCCAACTCCAAAGGTTTAGGATGATCGTAACAGTAACGGATGATTAAAATAAATACAAAATCACACTTCTACACCTAGCATTGTATCTACACTGAAGCAAACCAAAAATTGGATGTGTCATCGAATGGATATTTCACCCTACGTTGATGTCACTCTTTTCTTTTTTTTCTCGTCCACCCCGCTCCATCCTTCTTCTTTCGTCCACCATGCTCGTCCAACCCGTCCTCACCAGTTTCCTCGACATCAATCACCTCACCTTCGTTCTCATCTGATGACAGAGTAAATGATGAAGCAGCAGAATCTGTCTTTTTGTGTCGGTTCTTTCTAGCGCCTGACGCAGGTGTTGTAGCAGCTGATGTGGGAACAGCCCTTCCGAATCCAGCATCCAAGCATGTCGAACAGTACCATTTGCCTTTTGGGGGAGTGACAAGTCCTACGCAAGAGTAATGGAACCATTCTATTGGACAGGACGGATTGTCGCAGCCTACCATGTCCCCGTACGAAATTTGGCGACAGATGCAGTAGAGAATTTGGTCTTCATCTGACGAGGACGAAGACTCTTGTTTCCGGCGAGATTTGCGTGAAAATGTATCTGGAGCAGGAGTGGAAGGGGCAGAACGTTTGCGGGAGCGGGTAGAGTTAGATGATTGGGAGTACTGTTGTTGGTGCTCGAGACGGGATATGGCTTTTTCCAGGCGGTTGAAATGGGCGTTGAACTATCATTGTAAATTAGTGTGGGCAGAAGTCTACCTTTCAAACGATAGCTACTTGTAGCTATAACATACCTGATCCAATACCCGCTGACTTGTATCAACCTTTTGCTCAGCTTTTTGCAACGCATCTCGATAGTCGCTTCTATATCCCATGAGAGCTCCTCTTGCATCTTTGTCAGCTCCTATTATCACCGGCCCACCCCCAGTTGCAGTTGCAGATCGCCGCACTACATCGGCCAAACCATCAAACGTTCAGCTTAAATGCGATAAATTAACCGATATTAAATTGACAGTTACTTTTCATGATTGCAGCATAAGAACGAGCGTTATGACGCATAGATTCAACAACAGCATGGAATTGTTCATCAAGAGATCGGAGAACAGACATGTTGAAGGAAAGCTCCGACGGAAGATTTGAGATGGCTATCAAGTGTGACGATTATTACCTTCAAATGTTTAATTAATGGATATATTGATGCTCACATTCTAGATATTCTGTCAAAATATCGTCCACACTCCCATTGTCGTTGGACATGCCTCGCCCGTTGGCGATAGGTACATGCACTATAACTTAGAGCAAAAACCACAAGAAAAAAAATGGGGAAGGTTGGGCAATAATCGGTAGTGTTCAAACCAGCCCTGATCGAATTTCTTCCCTTTTGAAAACAACTGGCTGTTTCGGGAGTTTACGTAATAACGTCTAAGCCATGTATCGTAATCCGATTATTTCTTTTTGGGTTTGTCAATCTTGCTTTCCCAGAAATCCATTTATCATTCATTTCCCCTAACACTTTACAAGTAAAGAACACCAATGGGAGGTGAATATCGGACGGACGTAGAGCTGCCTTCTCTGGAAACACCAAACATTGAAGCATCCCCATCACGGCCATCTGCGACCGTGGGAATGGAACCTGCGCCTGGGAAAATTCAAACGAAACCAGAAAGTCCCATTGCACCAGAGAATTGGATAGATCAAATATTAGGTGGGATGGAGTCTAATTTCTCTGCGACAGAAAATGGGGGTGCGGAAGCGACAAATGTCACAAACGAAACCGTTGAGGATCTGGCCGCATTCTTGCGAGAAGGACCGCAAGATCTTGCGGACACCGACCAAAAGTTTAACGGGGGAAATGCTGCTCTGGAAGATACGCATGCTTCTACGCAAACCCTGGAAGACAAGGAGATCGTTCCGCAGACTTTGGAGAACAGCGTGGTCCAATTAGATGGGCTCGCGGCGCTGGAAGCCGAGACAATAGTGGAGGACGGATTAACAGTCGTAACAACAGAGGACGTCTGTCTATCAGCTGTAGATTCTGTGGCATCATCCATAAAGTCAAGCGAACCGCAACCGGGAGAGGGGTTATTTAAGGTTGACACTCGGCCGGCTCTGGGTAATGTCTCAGCGGACTATGGCGAAGAGCGAGGAAATAAGGATGAGTGGAATTGGATCAGTGACGATGAAAAGCTAGGCGAAAAAGACATAAAGGAGCAACCTAGAGAGCGTCTGCCAACGGGATTAGGTGTTGGAGAAATGGAAGAAATCAGCGAGGATGAGGAGCAGGAAGAAAACATAGATCAACCGTCGACCATATTGTCGAAAACTGTGGAAACTACCATTAAGCCGGTTCCTGAGAGCGAAAGAAGCGTCGCCACTGATGTATCATCCATTTCAACGAAAATCGAAACCGCGTCTGACACTGCCCTTGAAATCAAAAGCGAGAAGATTGAGCTAGTAGAAAAATTGGAATCCGTGATCGAACCGGCTCTTGAGGTCAAAGAGGAGAGCAAATACGAAGGGGACGCAGATGAGGGAGAAGGAAGTGACTTTGAATTCAGTGATGAGTATGTATGGGTACCTTTTGTGGCCTCCCGTGTAGATTTTCTGCTGTAAGCCTCCTACTTATGCTCATCCTGTTGGACAAACTAGAGACACATCATCAGATGAAGAAGTTGAACCCACGTTGAGTCTTCAGGAAAGAGAACGTCGTTTGGTCGCCATGGATGAAAACGGTGGCGATGATGATGACCAACCCTCCGCTACCCGTCTTCGCACAAAAAACGAGCTCGCCGCACTCCCAAAAATAGAGCCCATAACAGAACCGATACCGCAAGATGCTTCGCTTCGCTCCATTGGTACCATCCATTCCACTGTTGATGACCTCCTTGTTATCCAATCACCACCTACAGACAATACCGATCGCGTCTTGGACGCAGATACCATTGTTCTGTTCTCGGACAGAACGCCGTTGGGAAGGATCTTTGAGACTTTTGGACCGGTGACAAAGCCGCTTTACAGCATTAGATTCAATTCAGTCGAGGAGGTGCAGGCGATGCTGGAGAAGAGTGGAACGGGAACAGAAGTGTTTGTTGCTGAAGGATTGGAAAAAGTGGTGTTTACTAGGGTTTTGAAAGCATACAAGGGCAGTGATGCTTCTAATATCCACGACGAGGAAGTTGGTGAAGAGGTAGGTCTTGATGCGACACAGATTGTCTAATTATGAACGATATGTTAACTATTTATGGCAGGAGATGGAGTTTTCCGACGACGAACAAGAAGCAGAGTTTAAACGTCAACTCAAGTTGAAGCGGAAGCGAGCTGCAAATACACAGGTGGACGGGTACGTATTTCTCATTTACTGCAACGGACGTGCAATAGGTTTTCACAGCCCCCTTTCATCAGAAATACCGGTTCTCCGGGACCAGCGGACCAGGCACTTATGGATAATGCGGAGTATCAGATTCTTCAGCGCCCTCGCGGCCAGCAGCAGGCGCGAGGCCGATCACCTCAAATGTCAAATTACAACAATCGGTACCCTAATTCTGGCGGTTCGCACTCTCATACAAGTTTGAACGACGGGTTCAGACGAGGCCGGGGCAGTCATGACGGCGGTTTCAGAGGCCACCATCAACGAGGGGGACGAGGCGGACGGGGTCGCGGAGGATATCAACAGTCACGAGGAGGATATGCTCAGTCACATCCATTTCAACAACAAGGTTACCCACAACAATATCCATCTCAAGCTTTCCCACCATACCCTCCCAACCCGATCCCCAACCAGCAGCAGCAGCAACTGGCGCTCGCTGCGCTGAGCTTGCTCAACGCAAATAATCCGGCGATGCAGAATATGGGAATGATGGGCGGGTTTGATATTTCCAGCATGATGGGAATGATGCAAGGGGTGTTGCAACAGCAACAGCAACAGCAGGGAAGTGGAACTGGTCAAAACCAAGGGCAGTCACAAGAACAGCAGCAAACGCAGCCGGGTGGGTACGGATACGATCCGAGATTGAATGGTGGAGGTTTGTAAAGATGCAGGTGGTTTATGTAGATAAGTAATAGTTATCGTATATATTGTATTAATGGTAGAACGCGAAAGAGGTTACTATTTTGTTGCTGCCGGTGATCCCCTTGTTTAGCAATCTACTCTACAACGACGAGGGCACTTCCCCCAAAGTCCATTCCTTCGATCTACAACTTTCCACCCAGTAATTTGTCTTGCGTTGTTTCAGCACCGTACACCTCACCAAGATCTTCTCCACGAACTCGTCTCACTAGACGCATGTCAACAAAACGTCCCTTTTCTTTCTTCACCAAAACACGATGCACATCCTGTGAGTCCACCGTCTGTTGAGCTGCCGACGAGTGCAAAGGATCACCAGGCAAGACCATGGCTGTTTCTCCTCCCGTTAACAAAGCAGGTTCGGGAAGAATCGGCGCGAGCTCTGCCGAGGTCCTAGATTTTGTTCCAGCTATATAAGATCTCAGATCCGACAACCGTAAGCGTGACAAGGTCAAGAGACTGCAGTATTGCGGTGGAAAAAGATGTACTCCTGAAAAGGAGGAATACCAAAGTTGTAAAAACCGGTGGGAAAAGCAGTGATATTGATATCAGAGACATAAGCAAACTCACGTCCTTCCCGAAAGGCCTGCAGGGCCTCTTGAGGCGTGAACCAATCTAATGCAAGAGTCTCGATCCCGTCAACCACAGGAACCATTTCAGTCGCATGTTCTGCCTCGAGGACCGTAAGAAAGAAATGAGTATCGAATCGAGACTTTTCAAAGGCGGGTGTAATCCAGTTGGACCAATGAACGAGTCGTGCGATTTGTGGGTGCGACTTTGTTTGGATGCAGAGGTTGAAAAATTCTTGCGCAGATTTGTGGACCTTTTTGAGGAGGGCATATATGGGTTTGATGGCAAGTCTCCAACGGAACATTGCTGACTACACACCGCGTTCCTCCATTTAGATGCGTTTTCGGCGCTGAGGCGCAGTGGCGGATCTAGCAAGGGAATTCCACATTCCTCATATGTCTATTATATGTAATCGAGTCAGAGCCGTAAAGGCTACACCACGATCGCTTGCATCCAGAAACAAACCTCTCGTATGGCAGCGATCCAAAACGACAGCGGAAGCTTCGAGCTAATCTCATAACTGTATCTAGATCCGCACGACTGTTTGCATATCGTTTTGGCATACCTCTGCGTCTCTGCCTCCTGATGTGGTATTACCTCTTTCCATCGCAAGTCTGCATCAAATGCGTCAACTGCCCCACCTAATGGTTTGCAATTATCAGCATTGCTCGTCAGGCAAATACATTCTCTCGTCAGTTACCAGGATAAACATGCAGACTTCCGAATGGTCCTCTTGCGTTTCTGAATAAAAGCAAACAGGTGAGTATAGGGCAAAAACGTGAAGTACTAAGCAGGTACCTCTTCAGCATTAATACACGAAAGTCTGCACCAGGAGAATGCTCTCCTTGCCGCAGCGGTGCACATATTATGATACTGGCGCATTGGATAGGAATGCAACTTTACTTAGACGTCTATCGCAAGAGTTTAAAATATGAATGTACCTCGAGGCTGGACGCAAAGGTTTGGACATTGCTGCCAGACCAGAAACATGGTTACCCCTGAGAGTTGAACACCTGGCAATGTTTTAGAAAAGCTCCTGAAGATACCTGCAGCACCAGAGAGTAGACGTACAGCACGTTTCATCAACGTTACGTCTTCCAAAGCCTGACGCCAAGTTCAGTAAGATCAAAAGACGAGATCTTGCCTCTTTGCAGAGTACACCATCAGCGCACCATGAGTGGTTGTTGCTGACCCATCAATCCAATTGCATTGGATCCGGCGAGCATCTCATCATGGATGACTCACTCGATGACTCACCTACCTCTTCATTTCCTGTCCAGTTGCCCCATAACTTTCTCCTCTCCTCGTTAGAATACGGCGGGCAAGATGGCTACATTTCACGACGAACGGAGTGTGTGGAACTTTTCAGCAGGACCTGCAGTTATGCCTCAAGTGGTTCTTGAACGCGCTGCTGCCGAACTTCCAAACTGGAACAATACGGGCATGTCTGTGATGGAGCTCTCTCACCGTTCACCGGAATTTGAATCCATTCTCGCAAGCGCCGAGTCCGATTTACGGAAGCTGCTCAATATTCCCTCTACCTATAAAATACTTTGGATGCAAGGAGGCGCCACCTCCCAGTTCTCGACCCTCTTTTACAACCTGCTAGGGGATCCCACAAAGACGGCTGACTATTTAGTAACCGGCGGGTGGTCCGAAAAGGCGATGCAGGAGGCGGCACGGCTAGGTGCTAAGGTGAATGCCGTGGTCAATACGAAGAGTACTGGACACAATGGTGCTGTACCACCGCCATCGGAATACAAGTTCACACCTGCGGCCGAGTCCGCATATGTTTATTACTGCGATAACGAAACTGTTCACGGCGTAGAATTTCCTTCGTTCCCGGAAGGCGTTCCTGAAGGCGTTCCGGTTGTGTGTGATATGTCTTCAAATATTCTGTCAAGGAAGTTTGACGTCACAAAGTACGGAATCATCTTTGCTGGAGCACAAAAGAACATTGGCCCGGCCGGGGTAACGGTTGTCATCATCCGGGAAGATCTCATCGGAACGCGCATGCACCCCAATTTAAAATGTCCGGTTATGCTCGACTTCAAAGTTTGTGCCGACAATGGGTCAATGTATAATACTCCTCCCACTTACGGCATCTACATGGCGGGCCTGGTGTTTAAATGGCTACTGGAGATTGGAGGAGTGGATGCGATTGAGTCAATCAATGCGCAAAAGAGCGGACGCTTGTACGACGCGATCGATAGCAGCAACGGATTCTATAGATGTCCCGTGCAAAAAGGGTTCAGGTCGAGAATGAACATCACATTCCGAATTTTTAAGAATGGGGCTGCGTCCAAGGACCTCGAGGCGGATTTCTTAAAAGGGGCAGAGAAACTTGGAATGGTACAGCTCAAGGGACATCGTTCGGTTGGTGGTATTCGAGCGTCGCTATATAATGCCATGTCACAGAAAGGAGTAGATGCCTTGATAACTTACATGCAGGACTTTGCGCGTCAACACTCAGAATAATTGTGAAAATAAAATATACGTAGACCGCCCAAGCTCTGTACATACACTCCCAAATCTCTGTAAATCACTGATGCATTGAGTATTCTCGGCTCAGTGCAAATTAGAGTATCATTACGAAGAATCCTCCGAATCGCTGTAAGCCCCACCGAGAAGATCTAGTGCGGACGTTCCGGGCGGTGGTGGATCATGCGTACGAGAGGCAGTACTACTAGATGTATCCGCCTTTGTTGGCGGCTTTGCATCCTCTGCCTTCTTCCGTTTGACAACAACGCCGAGATCGAAACTATTTATCTTTCGTTTTGGCCCTGAAATATGCCAAGGGAATGAGCCCCAACGACTGTTGAATCATTCGCCTAGTAAAGACGTGTACCTGTACTCAGAAAGTTGTCATTTCCAGTCGCCACAGCATCAGACAGGAGTTTCACTGCTATCTCCTCCCCATCCACATCATCCAGGATCCTCTTTACGTTTTCCCCATCAACACTTTGAAATATACTCTTAGCTATCCGATCATCTTCTTCCTCCTGCTCTCTCTTTGATCGCTCTCTTTCTTCCTCTCCCAGCAGTATGATTTGTTCCAGAACGTTATCTGCATCTACCCGCTCGTTTTTCGCGTTTCGCATTCGTATTTCGTCAAGCGCATCCAAGATATCCATCTCTCTTTTGGAATCCAGTGTTCGATTTTCCAATGCTTTCATAGGATTATTCTCTTCTGCTTCTGCTCGTTCGGTTTTACGGTCCTCCAAGACCGCAGCATCATCTCGCCATGGTTCAAAGTTCCGTTGCGCACCGTGTTCCGCCACGTAATCTGCATTCTTGGGATCTGTTTTGAACGTAATCTCCCCGGAGCATCGTGGACATTTAATGTAGAAGCGAAAGACCTATATGACAGAAGCGAAACCATATGCGTAAGTCGGACAAAGTCTCTTCACCAAAGGCAAATAACAAACCTGAATGCCCAAATAGTGTTCCCCATCGACTCGTTCTTTTCTGGCGTTGAATTTTTTGCCCTTGTACACGTACTCTCCACACATGTTGCAACGCATAGAAAATGGTGTCATTAACCGAACTTTGTGTTGCTGGTCCTTTGGAAGTTTTCGTCGTGGGATTTTCGACGGGTCAAAGTCCGGGGGGAAGTACTTATTCAGCACTTTACGTTCAGACATATTGCAGCTCCTTCAGCGTTTACGCAGGTATTTGGATGACTGCCGTGGCTAGCGATGTTTTCAACACTTTTATAGAAGTTGCTTGGAAAGAAGTCCGTGTTCAGCTGTTGCCTAAGGCTGCTGTTGCCATGGGAATTGAGTCACCTCATTAGTCACTGTCAGCGAGACTCTGCGAGACTTCGAAACCCCGTCGCGCATACGGGAAGTTCGGCTAACTTCTTCCCGAGACGAACCCAGATGTATTCCAGAAGTTTGCTACGACGAGCAGGGAGTTCAACCCCGAGTTCAATGCTGCGCGTTAGCTACGTGAAGAAGTCAGTTTCTTCACCAACCCGCATCTATGCCGGGCAAGGTGTTGGGTCTCCATTTGGACGTTCGACAAACCCCCAGCTGCAGCTGCTGGGTTCAACCTCCAAAGCACTCGGATATACGTCAGCGCATCCTTCCGTGGTCACAAATGCAAGGCAGCTCCTGTCCTTATCTACTACCTCCAGGATATTGCGGGAGCCTGAAGCACCCGCACCTCCGGTTAACACCAAACCACCGAAGCAGGAAACTCCAGTGGAGAAGGCAATTCGCGAGGCAAAGGACGAGCAAGTTGCCGCTGCTAGTGTCCTAGCTGCTGCTGCTGCCGCGGGGGCCGCAGGGCCTGCCGTGGAATCCACGCAGAATACGGTACAGGTAGCTCCAAAGAAACCCCTTACCGTTCGCATCAAGGAGGAGCTACTCCATTACTGGCATGGGACAAAGTTGCTTGGTGCTGAGATTAGCATTTCTAGTCGATTACTTGTGAAGCTATTGCGAGGAAACCGACTATCTAGAAGGGAGCACAGACAGGTATATCGTGTGTTTACTGTACACAGACTGTATCGCAAGATCCTGATGGTTGCCATTTTCCGCTTTGCCATTATTTTCATTGGCATGCAGCTCAAACGGACAACGAGTGACCTGATTAGGCTAGTTCCGTTTATCATCATCCTGCTGATCCCTTTCATGGAGTTGGCGCTTCCAGTCTTATTGAAGCTTTTCCCTAATATGCTACCTAGTACCTTTGAAAGCAAGTTCCAGGAGGTATGCAATTTAACAAAGATTGCCGCAGTACGTAATTATTGCTACAACTGTTATCTCTTAGGAGGAGAAAAAGAAGAAGCTGTTGAAAATGCGGCTTGAAATGGCGAGGTTCCTGCAAGAGACCGTGGAAGATGTCTCAGTATCAGGAACGTCAGGAGCGGATGCAGCGAAAGAGTTTAGTCAGTTCTTTAACAAGGTAGCTACGACTTGTCCATAGAGTTTATTGCCCTCCTCTGTTTTACACCTACGATATTGGTAGTGTCGATCGAGCGGTCAACCTGTACCAACCGAGGAAATTCTGCGCATAGCCAAGAAGTTCCCTGACTCGCTTACACTGAACAACTTATCGCGGCCTCAGCTTGTGAGCATGGCGAAGTACATGAACATTCAAGCATTTGGCACCGATACGTTCTTGCGCCATCAAATTGAAAGGCGTCTTCGGTATCTCGAAGAGGATGACAAGGTGCTTGTCATCCATCCGAAAGATTCCTTTCGATTTCTTCTGACCTAATTTCTCCAAAGGTTATCATGGCTGAGGGCGGTGTTGATAAACTTTCGATCCCTGAACTGCAGCAAGTGGCCATCTCACGTGGTATTAGGACGACCGGCGTGTCTCCGGCACGAATGCGGGCAGAACTGGAACAATGGCTTGATCTCCATCTGAATCACAATATCTCATCGTCTCTATTGGTATTATCACGGGCTTTCCAAATGCAAGAACGGATACCATCGGATAAGGATGAGGCTCTTAAAGGCAATGCCGAAGCCCTGCAGGCTACGCTCTCATCCCTACCTCACCAGGTAGTGAACGAAGCGCAACTACAAATTTCGGAAGCCGAGGGATCTGCGACATACAAGCAACGTCTGGATGTACTTCAGGAGCAGGAGGAGTTAATCCAGGATGAATTGGAGCAAGAAGCTGTACGTATGGGAAGGGAAAAGTCTCATGTCTCATAAATGCTAACATTGGTGCATTGCGTTAGGCGATTGCGGCCGCGAAGCGGGCTAAGGAGGAGGAGGAAGCCGCATTGAAACAAGCCAAAGAAGAACAGGAAGCGGCGTCAAAGAAAACCGCCGAAGTGGAACAGAAGGCAGCGGTGCCAGTGGAGGAGACAAAAGAGGTTCGCTGTGATTCAATGCAGTGTAAGTTTGGCGATAAATTGACTTCCTTTCCTACTACAGGCTGTTCCAGAAGTTAAAGCGCCAACTGTCGAAGAGGAAGGATTGCAAATCTCCGATGAGGAACTACAGAGGTTGAGTGATGCTTTGAAGACTCTTACGAAAGTATCCGCGCTTGAGGACGTAAAGGAGAAGCTTTCAGAACTCAAAGAAGGCCGCAAAGAATTCAAAGAGGTAGGTTTTCTATTGAGCTCCTTTTCTCTTGTAGATATTCACCGGTTCCCGCGTTAGGACATTGAGGAGCTCAAGCAAGTGACGCAAAAGGAGCCAGCCAAAGCCTCTAACCGTCTTGGCCAACGGATTGACAAAATGGTCGACAAGATTGAACAAGAATTGGCAAAGTACGACGAAGAGATTGGATCCAGTCTCAACCTTGTGAGACCGAACGAGGAAGGCAAAATTACAATTGCAGACCTTGAAGAAGCACTAAAAGTAATCCGAGACCATCCAGATGATGAGCGTATCAAAAAAATTGTCGTTAAACTTGACGCAGACGGGGACGGTGTTGTAGCTATGGATGAGATCTTGCATTTGGCGGATGAGGCAGAGAAAGAGGGACATGGAGAGATTATTGGAGAGATCAAACGGGTAGCAGCGGAAGGGAAGAAATTATCCGAACAAGCCGTAGAGCAAATCATACAAATTCAGCACACAGTAGCAGACGAGAAGGCAGCTGCCGCTGCTGTGGCGAAGGCGGCCGAGAATCCCGAGCGAGCCCGTGCCCAACAGGATCAAGCAAGGGTTCCGGAGACAACGAAATCCTCATAAAAGATCAGGTGGGCGATAATCATTTACATAGGAAGAGCCGAGTAGTGTAAGACCGTACGGTGGACTTCGTTTGGCGAGTGACGTCCGCTTTCATTCAGCATGCTGCTTGTACCAGCTTTCCAGATCATCCATGTCACATATAGACGAGCCTTGGGTTCAGTGCAATTCTATTCTAGATTGCGATAATATATTTACATACGCATTGCAAATGGTTATGTTACAGTGCTTTACTAGGGGATCTGAATATGCTCTTTATGATTACGCGAATCCGCGGAGGAGTTGGACATACGCATCGGGAAGGGGTTCGGACGATGTGGCAGCAACCGTGCATATGTCTATACAACCTGCTTTCCGATCCGTTTCAATTCTTCCGAGCTCTTGAGCTGACCGCTTGGGTATTCAAAAGATTAATCGCTATCAAACAGCATAACCTGTCCAGTTTGAAGATGAAGCTTACCATGCGGCCAGAATATCTTGTCCGCGTGGAGTCCGAACGTGACAAGGGATATTATGATCCTGGATGCATTTCGAGAAGCGCTATATATAACAAACACCATAAGATTGAATGTGCTAAAGCTGATTCGTGTGACAAGATTTACCTGTATCACTTGGTCTGATGACGGTTCGTACTGTGATCCAGGCCAGGGATTGAATGGTATCAAGTTGACGTGCGAAGGCAGACCGCCTATGAGTTTCACAAGCTGCCGAGCATCCGCCATCGAATCATTGATTCCGTCTAGCATTACATACTCAAAGGTGATTCTTCGATGTCTACTCGTTGGGGGCATGTGGTCCAGGTATCTTTTACATCCAGCGAGGACTTCTTTGATCGGATATTGCTTATTGAGTGGAACCAGAACATCACGTAATGCATCATTCACAGCATGTAGTGAAACGGCCAGTCCGCAACCCAAATCCTTTCCAACACGCTCCATCAACGGTGCGACACCCGATGTACTGAGAGTTATTCTCCATGGAGACAGTCCAAGAGCGGAGGGAGAAGTGAGGATAGAGATGGCTGCCGAAACATTCCGGAAATTGAGCAGTGGTTCTCCTTGGCCCATCATCACGACGTTGGATATTTTGCGTGGTTTGCCCGGATTGAGAGGAAAGTCCCCTACAGAGCGCATTGCATGCATCACTTGAAAGAGTATCTCGTTACTCGACAGATTTCGGAGGAGTTTCTGCGTCCCTGTATGGCAGAAGCTAGGAGTGCCCTGTCAATCCCGAGAATGTGCCGTTGGTTGGCCCATATGCACGTACCTGCAAGCCAAGGAGCATCCGACTTGTGAGCTTACGCAAACTGTTCCATTATCCCCATGCTGGCTTGGTATTATGACTGTTTCGACCTCGGCACGTCCCCCAAAATTCAACAACCACTTTCGCGTACCGTCCTTCGATATACAGTCCTTCTTGACTGTACCAACTCCCAACTCACAAGAGTTTGCCAGAGCTTCTCTCATATCCTTTCTCAGTGAAGTCATCTCATCGAAGCTCTCTACGCCTCGTCTATATAGAAACCGCCATATCTGATCTACCACGTATGGGCGCTGAGATATTACATTCTGAATTTTCGCTGGAAGCAGGTCCCCAACCAACAAGTCCTTCAGCTTGTCCTTTGGTAGGCCCAAAAGCGGTGGTTTCTGCGGTATCGGCGGACGACGCTTGACTGAACGCAGGGCAGGCTCATGGGACACAGACGTGAATGTTTGCGAAAATTGTGTGGGTATTGAGCGATCGGGTGGGAAAGGTGACCATTGGACTGCCAACCTAACATACAGCGCCTGTCGCTGTCCTCTGATTCGCGAGAGTCTCATTGCTGCAATTATCGTCGTGGCAGAACGAAAAGTCTGCTCTTCAGGCTGCGTGTGGTTTGATCCACAAAGCACGTGACTAGCAACTTTGAGAAGAACATGATATGCCAACAGAGCCTGCATAAGGCAGCGCAGCTCCATCCTCGGCATGTCACTTGTTTTTTTGCGTGCATTTTGGCATATCCTCAAAGTGATGACGCTTTGACAAACCAACCTCTAGAATAATGATAGCCAACTTTTTCCAACCGGCTTTCACTTGCCATTGCAGTTGCGCGTAGCTAAGCACGACACGTGACTTTCAACTTTTGTGACGAGCTGCGTCCGTGACAAAGCTTGCCGAGAGGCCTGCCGTGAGTTGTGCCTGCCCTGAAAGTGACGATGCTTACACCGGCATTCACCATATCTCAGGATGAAGAGTTTGTTACTGTCGTAATAAAATGTCCCTATATAAAGGTACGCTTTCCTTACCTGCACGCTGTAATGCGGAGCCGCCGGTTACTAACTTCCCTTGACCGCCTAGGCACAAGAAGTAGAATTCTTCATTAATGACACAGAGTTCAAGTTTTATGTGAGACCATATTTCCTACGGTGAGTGACATAGAACATAATTGAGCTTTAAGAGACTTGACGTAAGCACGGCAGAAGATAGGAAGAAGAGGATAGGTGGTTGCCTTTGGACCTTTTAGAATGGATAGTTACGATTACATAGGACAGCTCAAAATGTGCTATGAATGAGAAGGATATCTAAACACTTGAATGTGATAGACTCACATTTCCCGCATCCATTATCGAAGATGGGCGAGAGAAAGCATCGTATAATGTCGATCGAGGAGAAATCACTGTCCTTCTGCCCAAAGCAACACGCGGAGAGGAGTTCCCGGATCTGGATTTGATCACTAAGCTTATGGCCTCCAAAAGCGGTCCACCTGGCCCAGACTTCAGATTATCATCTGAAGGACGATCCGTTGAGCAACTTGCACCACCTCGGGATAGCCAGAAGCCGCTGATTGAGGTTATAGGCGAATCTCCCGTTCTTGAAACTGATGGGAATCAAGCCGATAGTATGATATCTGATGGTATGTTGACTAGATCAATGCCAGAGGGGGGGCTTCAAATTGACTTACCGAAAACTTGTTGCCTCCTATACTAACAGAAATTGAGGAAGAGTTCAATTGGGATTACCCGCAGGAGGTTCCTCTGCAGCCCGTAAGCAGTTCGTAATATTCCAGGGTAAAACATCCCGGCTTTTTAACAGAATTCCGCAGGAACTGCAAACAGGAGCGCGGTACGGGTTCAACAATGCGTATAGCGGATACGGAACACATGTGGAGCATCTTACCCAGGAAATCCTGGACATCACCCATATTGATACATCTACGCCCTCTACGAGGAAGGAAGCGAGAATAGCGAGAGAAGATGCTAAATTTGACGACGAATATTTTATGTGGGTATTGCGAGCCAGCGCGCAGAATGCAGGGTTGGCTAATAGTGTTGCATAGGGCCGATTTTGTAAACGATGAAGAGATTCAGAGATTGATCAAATTCAGACCAGATTTCTGGAAAGCCTTGAAACGGATTCAGAAAGCAAAGTCCTCTGCCGATCCGGGCAATTCGGGTACATACACTGCTGCTCGGTCGTACTCGGTCCGCTTGTGCTTAATGGAATAATTATAGCGACCGCGCCGGTATCCACACCTGAGGGTGAACAAAATTTCAGCGAGTCTGCACCAGGACCATCACCAGCATCAGCCATCGATAGCCCTTGGTTAACGTTTACAGAGGAGGAGCAAGAGCGTATGCGTCAGCTTCCGAATAAAGAATGTACGTAACCCTCGCAGACCGTTCTAGCATGAATCCCCCTAGTCAAACTCTTTTTTCCTAGATCTTCTCGACAATGGGCGCGCCATTTACCTCGGTCTAGTCGATATCGTGTATGCGTACTGTTACAATTATCGCACCACAGAAGGTGAAAGCACGGTTGAATCCCCATGGACCATCGCTAAATTAAGTTCGACTCTATCGTGCTTCGATGTATGCAAACATCTCTTGCGCGCACTATTTCATGTTTTTGCGATGGATCAGGAACTAATCAGTATTCCCTACTAGACCTTTTCGACCCTCCGCGAAACCCTCATTGCGAGTATTCGACGAACCCTGGCATACCCGCTTCACAGGCATTTCGCATTATCACTCCGTTGCATTGAGGACACTGCTATCCTCTTCAAGCTTGGAAAGCGTGCATTGTTGAAAGTTCTTTTAGAAGTGAACGCACTCATTGGAAGAGACGATCGGATGTACGTATTGAGTACATTGTGGTTGACGGATTATTGTGTATGGATACAGAGGGCAAAGTATGCATCCGTTCATTATTATTTTATCTGCACCGAGCTGACTAATGACCCGGCGCTATGTAGCGATAAAATGCTGCAATCGTTAGCGAGCGAGCTTAACCACATCAGCATATCGAAACAGGAGACTGGATGGCCATTGGAAGAGTTGGAGCAAGTCGCGCAAGAAGTGACGGCAGAGCTGGATGAAGAGGAACGAGATTCAGACAGCATGGAGCGATCATACCTCTCTTGACGATTGATCTTGTACCGCTATCATAAATTATACATGTTACGTTCCATACTCCCAGCGGGGAGCATAGAATGATGAACGCCACATATTTTCTTAGACTTCCATTTTACTAATATAAACTATACAAAAGACTCAGATCTAAAAAATATACATAAGGAACGCTACAGTATCTTCAGCATGGCTAACTCGGGTTTGGAAAAGCGCGTAACGTTAAGGAGCGCACAGAGGTATATAAGAAATAATAGATCCCTGTGTACCCCCGCTCTCTTAAATACTCTAATAAGTACAATCGCCATTCGTTATATGACATCATCGGGTTCTGCAACGCAATAACAATGTGAGTAAGCAACACGGACGTACTGTGGACATGATGAATAATAAAGGATGATACCTCTTTGGACATCAGCAACTTCGGTGTTATCGGACGGAAATGGGGCTTGTCTACCCCCAATACATTCTCACACACCTATAAGGCGACGCTGGTGAGTAACGTCGTATTCAGTTAGTAGCTAATGATATAGATAGGTACCCGAGTATATTCGTTTGCATGAAGCGCCATCGTGGACGAGAAGGCAAAGCTGAATAGGCGTTGAGGGTCCGTTCGATTCCGTTCAGCGAGCGAAAGGATGAAATCCAACGCCTCACTAAGGGGAAAAGGCTGCACTTTTAGACCCCAATCGGTAAAGTGCTCATACGAAATGAAATATGCTTACGAAGAGATATTGAAGAATTTCGCAAACCGGCTGTCGTTCATGAAGGCTTTGTTCAAGTAGATGCAATCGACCATATCCGTGACATAAGCGTTTAGTTGTGTAACCTCTGTCGGATCGGCATTGTAGAATGCCTCTTTTTCGCTAGCATTGAGTACGTCAACAATAGCATAGGCCTCCTTGTAACTGCAAAGCCGTTAAACGATTGCCGCGAAGAATGGGGTAATAGTTGATCCTTACTCAGCAACCACGCTGCAAATTCGTGATATGGCCATAGCTGACCCGGAAAAGAATAAACGATATACAAGAGGGGCTGAAGGCAAGGGCATGACCGGTACTCGAAATTCTCTCAGCAGGGAAGGGACCTTTTTTAGGAACGGCATATTAGTTTGACCATCCATCAGAATGGAGAAGAGTCCCACTTACCGTCTCCCAGAAGCGCAACGCGGCGTGTTGCAAGCACAACGAATCCCTTTCCATCTGAAACATCCGTAAGAAGCCCCGCAACAGCAAAAGCAAAGAAACCTGAGTAAACTCACCACAAGACCAACTAAAAGAAGTTTATCAATCTGAAGGATTAGGTCATACATGAGACGGAGATGCCCCAATAATCGGCGCTGCTTCTTCTCAGCACTCTCTTGTTCCACCGCTCTAAAGTGTAACAGAGTCAGGCCGGAATCCCTCCCTCACCCGTCACGCTGGGTGCACTTACAGCCCTAAATGCAAGGGCCACTCATGATGCCCCCAGCGAATCAGCAGTCCTATGTACATGTGAATCAGGGAGGCCTGATCATGATTATGTTACGCATGAGCACATCGTTAGCGTGATCAAGAGCAAAAGAACATGGTACCTTCCAAAAAACATTTGACGTTTTATACAGTTTAAGCAGCGGATTAAAAAATCTGCGGGAAAATACTGTTCAACGGAACCATAAGTACGCGGAAGCAGCCCAGTCAAAGGCATTTTGCATTACCTTCGTCCGAGAACAACGGCATATATGTGGCTAGCTCGAACACCACCTCAGAATTAGCCGAGCCGTCCCACATTTCAACGTATGCAAGCAATGACTGGTGCGCGGCATCAGATAACGTCTAATGGATAAAGTGCCGGTGAGATTGAGAATAGACGGCTTGCAGGCTTTGAAAAGTGCTCCCAACCTGTGCTGCCTTGGTCGTCAGCAGTAAACAGTCTAGACATAGTTTCAACTTCTCTGCTGCTAAAGATATACAATCATAAGACTGCAGCAGTGCTCTCAGACTTCTTCCAGCAGACTCCTGAATCTCCAATAAGCCTGTGATAATATTAGTTGGTAATCGACTGGGGGATAATGTGCGATCAGATCTTCATGTACTTACGTTGCAAAGAGTATACAGATTGAAGTTTATGTTTTTCCAAAAACACATCATCACGTTCCCTTTTTCCATGTACGTGGTTGCGGAAATCCGCCAATAATCGCAGATCTTCCCGCATACTTTCATCATCCAAGATAAGAGAGGATACGCCTTTTGCCGCTGCCCACTTGTCGCGTATATTCTTTGACAATGCACACCAGAGGACGTCGGAAATCTGATGGTAGATCTTAGGCAAGTCACCAGATGTTGGTATTAGGTCCGAGTGACATACCTCCACCTCCATGTGTGGACAATTGGGTGGCATATCAACCAAGTAAGGCCTAAATCGATGGAAGGTACCAATGAGGGAGCCCAAATGTGTCGGCTCGTGTCGCGCCTTCGCCCATATTTGTTGCCTAAAACAATTGATCAAACGCATCAACTCAATGAGTTCCTAGATCTATCCCCCTTCCCCCTTCGCTTGTCTTACAGCTTCCGTATTCGGTAGGGTTTAACATGATATTCCTCGGTAAGATTGCATAACAAAGAGCAAATCGCGCGTCTTGGACGAATCTGGGTGAGGCCGAGATCCGGTGTTTAGGATGCTCCCGCAACATTTCACATACTGTAGGTTTGGTACCGCCAGGTAATGGAACAGCACGCCGTAGTACTTCGAAGCGAGCATCTTGCGGTCAGCAGGGTTTATGGCAGCTAAAACCCTCGTCAGCCAAGTCAGAAGAGCTGCCTGAAAGTCAACAATGAGTTTTAGACAAGGTAGCCGTTGCACCAACGATTCTGAGTGAACGACCTTCAATGAACACCGAGCGGTATTCAGCGATGGATTTCCTAAGAAGGCCAAAACCTTTCGTACCGCCGTAAGAGACACCTGCTCCTTGGGATAGAGGGACTCCACCAATGCCCGGGCTAACGTTGGATCTTGGTATTGGGTGGTATAAAATAAGCTTTCTGATATGCTATAGGCATGGTAGAATCTAAACCATGCTCCCCTGACCCGGAAATTCGAGTCATACCAAATTGAGGTTCGACGATTATGTCCAGGAGAGACGCGATCTGGGATTCGGAAAACCCATTTGTAGATCCCAGATCCCGAATCTGTGAAACCAGAAAGGCCAATCTCTGAAGCGTCTGTCTATCTCTCCGTCGGCGGACAACAGGGCCGACCAATTGAGGCCCTAATCGGAAAAGAATGGTGAATTTCGTTGGTAGAGGATAGTTGACAGGTCCTCAAAACATCATGACACCCACGTATCAGAACTTTCTTGTGCTCAATTAGCAAGGAGTCTACAAGTGTTTGCATATCCCCGCCATTGACCTCCTTCCTGTCTGAGAGTGTTTTGACGTCACGAAGGCTCATGGTAAGTGCAAAAGCAATCGTCCTATGCCATGAAGATAACGCTGCTGAACACATCCTCCTGCTGATCACGTGATTCCGAATGCTTGACTTTGTCCAAGGTGCAATGTGGTAATGCCATACCACTAGCTACTGGCCAAATAAGTACGCATAGTAGGAAAGCTTATACCAAGGAGGATGACTTTTGTGATAGTAAGACTTTCATACAAAACTTGAAAATTATTTATTGAACATGCAGCTCCGCCCAACAGGTCTAAGTGCGGAAGCCCAAGCCTGCTATAATGATAATTAAAATAAAAGAGATCGCAGCAAAAGTCAATGGGACAGCAGAGTGACGAACTAAGGCCACCGCAAGAATGTGGAGGACTGAAATGCACATAAAAGTCCAGAGTAGAGCAGAGGTAGAGCGAGTTCCGCCGGAGAGTGCATTAACCAAGATGGTCGCAACCAGAGCCAAAATCAATGTCATTCGCGCAACACGCTCGGCATTCTCGGCACCCCCGTGAATCTGCATCATGATATTAATGTTTTGCAATTATACTTATGGGAAATATAGTGAATGCTTACCAGGCCAAGTTTGTTGGGGCCAGCCTTGCCAGTAGTGGGCGCGGTGTCCGTTGGTGCTGTTGCAGGTGCTGGAAGATCACCTCTAACTTTGCCATTATTCCGGTAGATGTAGGCAAGAACCCAGCAAAGGGCCCAGAGAAATAGGTGGATGTAGACTACCACCCACATCTGCCTTCTGTAGTCCGCTGTGGTTACCTCGTTCCTGTTGATTTACATGGTTTTAGAACCTTTTGTCACTTTTTATAAAGTTAGTCAACTACGATAATGCACATACATCTTTGCAATTTTGATTAATAGTAGCGTCTGACTTGCAGTGGGCTCTCAACTGTGCATAGTAGAGGGTTCAATCGCAGAACCTGGCCCATTTTATCATTGAAATGGATCGGAGTTTCCTTACGTCAGCGCGATCTGAGTTTTGCGAGGATGAGGGTAACTGCGTCATTACTGTTTGTGCGTTGCGACGGTACAGGTATGGGATTCGGTTAGAGCGTACGGAGACGGATGATGCAACCACGTGCTCGTTGGAAGTTGACGACATGTTTATCTGGCCTGCTGATGAGGGTATTTAGATATCAACACCGAACCTAGTGCCTTACATTGTGTACAACTGCTATGCTTTGGAGCATCATATTCCATTAACCATCAGTACCAAGGTTCAGGCATTGTCGGGAGACATGTCGTTTGGTAAGCCAAAGCATTGCTTTAACGCGTCGATGGGCGGTGCAACTTGATTCTCATGCGATGAACATTCCTCAGGTATGTAGCTCGGTCGTAATCTCAGATCTATGCCAACCAGTAGAGAGCCATAAATAAAATATTTTTTCCTGCCAAAGCTTGAAACCCACATCCGTACGACAACTAGCACTCACCGTGACCAACTGAATCTTTCGGACGATGATCTGGAAGACACTATCAAACGTCTCCTTATCGTGCTGTATTCTTGCCACCGGCGTATATCAGAGGACCAGCTGACATGTAGTTCGCCCTCAAAAGCCGCAGTTACACGTCGAACAATTAGGAAGCACCTATGGGATGCTGTACAAGATTGGGATTTTACGCATTCGGCAAGGATGGTGATTGATCTCTGTTTTCCGGCTCAACTAGGAATATTAGGGAACGCAGGTGACCGACGAGGATTCTCCACAATAGATAGGAGGAGCAGTGTTCCACCTGCCTACTCGGATGTGACCGTAGCAAGTGTAGGGTCAGCAGAGAATCCAGTACCAGACACAGCGCTCTCTGGTTCAACGACGAATGATGCTAGCACTGCCACGATAAAGCCCGCTCCTACCAATGACTCTCCTTTTGCCGTTCACTATTCAGTCAAGGTGACAAGTCCCGCTGCTAGCAGCTACATTTTTGACGAGTTGGGACCGAAAGAGGAAGCCACGCGAATCATCAAAACGGCTTTTGAGAAGATCCTCAAAACCTGGACCACATCAATACGTAAGCCTCCAGCAAACAACCAAGCTCTCCGCTGGCCATGGCATCCAATCGACTTGAGCCATGAAACACCGGAACTACAGGGGATCGGCCCAGAAAGTGGTCTTTGTCTAGTTGTGCACCACGGAAGTGAACAATTTTCGGCGAGTGATACGAATATCTCCACCATAATCCAATATTATCTCCGTCACCCTAAGGCGGAGACTCAAGTCGACGTTCACTTCTCGGATGAGAAACCGGGCGCCGATAGTATCCAACGATCAGTCGAGCGGTCATCCCTGTCGAATGATTTGCACATGTTCTGCTCCTTTGTCAGATATCACACTGAGGGAATAGCAACACTGTCAAAAGCACTGGTTACTTCAGCCCTTCGTACGTCGACAGGGACGATGACAACGATTTTGACCGCGTTATGGCCTCTGACGGATGCGCGACGGCGGTTGGAGGAAAATGCGCCGAATGGGCTTGTTATTTGGGGGCCGGATTCAGTGACGGACGATTTGGACCGAAAACAGATTGGAAAGGACATCTGTAGTCTGGTGGAGTTGGATGTTGTTAATAACTGGTGTACGGATCGGGAATTGTGCGAGAAGGTGGACTATGTTGTCAATCTGGCTCGAGAGGTGACCTTGACCTTGTTTTTTTTATCGTCTCCTCTATTCCAACTTATACTATTCTGATCCAGACTCCATGGCGGCTCTTTGCGGTCACCCTATCAATCTCGTCAGAAAGTGCTGTAGCAGCAGAGGGTTTACAAGGATGGGAAAGTGTACTTCATCAGTACAAAAACATTCTTCTCCTTGTTTTTTTGACAACTGCTGTTGAGCACAAAAAGCGGAGCCTGGTCCATAATGTATGCCTTTCCCTAGGCTTAGAGTCAGTGTATATTCCGCGTCCCTCTCCTAATGAAAAGGAACGACTTATCCAGCACATTGTCGAGAATTACGCAAACGATGGTATTTATATGCTGTAACTTACGGCTATCCTCTAACCTTAAGCTGATACTTTTAGCAGACGCAACAAAGCTTCTCCCAAAATCAGCCGTTACCTTCCTGGCTCACTCCTCCCTTAATTTCTCGCGGGTCTCGCTTCGCGCGTGCGTATACTCTATCCTCGACGAGCAATTTTGCCAGCGCATCAATGTGACTTCACGGAGCTCATTCTACGCTGCAGTTGATGTAGTTCCTTTCCGAGATATGCACGCGCATTTACACAGGGTGGCGCGGAAGCATCAAATATCATATAGTCATCCGTCTGAGCTGGACGCCGTTCATTCAGTGTGGAGAGCAACGTTTGACAGCCAGGAAGCTATTGCAGATCCTGATTTATTGGAAATCATGCAAATGCGATACACAGAACTTCGAGATGATTGGTCAAAAGGGGATACGGCAAAGCAACGTACCCTCGATGGAACAACAGGCGCAAGTGCGGACGTGGTTGGATCGTGGATATGGGAGGATGTGGTGTCTGCAGCAGCCTGTTTAGCAGGACGAATGAGCGCATCCTTTCTCATGGGTATACATTGTTTGCAAGGGGCAAAAGATGATCAGGTACCCCTTGGTTGGAGGTTGTTGTAAATAGCATGCATGACACCAACGACTTTTGCTTCCGCCTAGGTCTCATCGTTGCAAAGAATACGGCTCGATGCATTGTATCATAACGACTCGATTCTGATCATCAATCTCGTCAACGTGGAAGTATCAGGTGCAGTAGAAGCTGCACTTTTGAGTTTTCAAAGGATGGTCGGTGGTGGCAGTGGCAATGTGTATATTATTGCATGGACAGATAAGCAGGAGGTAGCAAAATCCGCAAGTGCTTGGGGCAGCCTAGTAATTCGTTGTACATAAGATTGGCTTCATCATTTGGCCGTGTCCATATATCTATTTCCGCGTACAAGGTGGTCCCCGCCATTAAGATCAAGGTCCGGTACGAACAACCCAAGCATTACAGGATAATACGCCATCTAATATAACCTAGTCCCTTATAATTAGAGTTCCCTGTTGAATTCTTCCTCAACAGGAAGCTCAACACAATCTCTGATGATCACATCAGCAATTGGTTTGTCACCTACAAAAGACAGGAAGATTTCGTTGATGAGTACCATGGCTGACAGCTAATGTGTAGGCAAGCATACCAGGAGCGGTAGGGGTCTTTTCAATGGCAGTAACAACTTCCATGCCATCAACAACGGAGCCAAAAACTACATGGCGCTGGTCCAACCAACTGGTCTGCACCGTAGTGATAAAGAACTAAATTTAAAGGATAAGGACATGTAAGGAACAATTCGTACATATCATCAAAACAAACTTCCATATACCTGACTTCCATTAGTATCCTTCCCAGCATTGGCCATCGACAAAACGCCAGGACGAGTGTGGCGAAGCTTGAAGTTCTCATCGGGGAACTTGTCGCCATAAATGGATTTACCACCAGTACCATCGCCGCGAGTGAAATCGCCACCTTGAATCATAAAGTTCTTGATAACACGACTTGTAGGATATTCTATCAGGGGAAATATAGTGACAATGTACACACACACAGAGTTTCTTACTGGAACTTTGATCCCTTGTATCCGAATCCTTTCTGTAAAGTGTCACAGAGCGTTAGCAGAGCAAGCGCGATTCGCTAAAAGCAATCCTTCTTTTGCCCACCTCTCCGGTACATAAGGCTCGGAAGTTCTCTACAGTCTTTGGTACAGTTTTTCCGTAGAGTCCAATCGTAATGCGGCCCAAGAACTCGCCCTTTTGTTCAATGTCAAAAGCGACCTTGTTGGTAACTTTGGGGCCTTTTGCAGCTTCTACGGCAGATGCCGATGCAAGCAAGAAGGTCAACGCGAGGGTAAGAATGTTCCGCATGGTTTCTTCAAGTTGGATGGATGAAGATCAGCAACGATGGTGGTGTTCTTCAAGTTGGATGAAGGTAGATCAACAACGATGGTGGTTTATAGGGGTTGCCACTAGGGGTCTAGGGTGCTAGGGTGGGGTCCCAACTGATGTGCGCGCCAATGATGAGTGCGCCAAATGTGTCATAATTGTGTTCATCACATGAGTGTCACGTGCATTTTCAATAAGGTTAGAGCATCTCCACTGGTTATAGCATTTTATGGCACAGTCTAGGGCTACTATTTGAATTTGAAATATCTTGATATTTATAGAGATACAGGGTTAGAGTTGTGGGGAACCAATGAGCCAGCATCTATTTGGAATGCAAATACCGTATGGGTACTGCTGGCCATTTTTGATGCGCGAGGCCTAAATTTCATCCTTACAGGTGGAATTAACTCTTGCTAATCCTCAGATTCGCAGCAACAGGCGCAAGACGCCTGGGGTTTGCCAGAATCCATCAGTTGGTGGCACCGCGCCGGATTTGCACCAACAGACACGAGCTTGGCAGGACGCCTGGGGTTTGCCAGAATCCATCAGTTGGTGGCACCGCGCCGGATTTGCACCAACAGACACGAGCTTGGCAGGACGCCTGGGGTTTGCACCAACAGGCACAAGCCAACAAGCGATGGATTAAATCCATCAACAGATGGCTTCCCCGGTGAGAACCGTACGTATCAGATACTGGGAGTCATAACCTTATTGAAAATGCACGTGACCAGAACAAAAAGTCACGTGGCAAAGTGCGCGCTCATACTGTAGCAGTGAGTGGGCGCCAGTTGCGACAGTGTGCGGTGGGCTCTGACTTTGCCACATTGTAGAGGCACAGTTTCCCAAAGCATGCCAAAGTAGGTTGTCCGATGGAATGCAGTTGCAATGTTTTAACAGCGGTCTCCTTTGCCAGCGACCAGACTATCTAGTGATCTAACCATCTGCACTACATCTTTGCCTTTGACAACCGAGCAAATACGCCCTCTAGTGCCTTGATGGTAGAAGGCAACGACAGCATCTTCCACGCGGTTTCAGCTTCACTGTTAAGCCACCGTTCATCAGCCCATTCCTTTGCCAACGCTCCCCTCAGGGAGTTCTTTGTTAGCTGCCTTCCAGGGTCGGGTAGCATCAACAAGCCTTGCATGACCGTTTCCGCCCGTTCCAAGAGTTCCTTTTCATCTTGAACAACCTCATCGACGAGACCAATAGCCAATGCTTCCTTTGCCTTGACCATTTTAGCAAACTGAGTAAGCTTGTCAGTTTTGCCCTGCCCAATGACACTGGCCATCAACTTGATCCATTTGGGTGGGACACTGATCCCGAGGGCCACTTCGTTCAGACCCATGGTTCCGTCCGTAGTAATGACGCGGTAGTCACAAGCAATAGACATACATGTTCCGCCAGCGGGACAAGCACCTTTGATGGCCGCAACCGTTACCAAAGGCGAGTTTGACAGTCGCGCAAGGAAGGTGTTTGAGACTTTCCAAAACTTTTCGTATCGTTCACGGCTTGTCGCTGGGGCATATAATTCTTGCAAGTCGTTCCCAGCTGTAAAAACCGGCCGAGAGAGTCCAGAATGGAATACAACCCCACGGACTTTTTTGTCGTTCTCGAGAGAAGTGAGAGTTTCGAGGAGTTGCTCCCACATTTCCAGGTTCATACTATTAACCGGCTCACGGCGGATGGAGACCAATGCATAGTTACCGCGAGTAGTGACGTTGATGAAGCGATCTTTGCCGGACATTGTTTAGATGCAGATGGAAGAACTGAGATGGGAAGGAGATGGTCTCGTGGGCCACGCGCCTTGCTTTAAAGGCCACCATGATCTCGCTATCACGTGTCCCCGTTCAGGGTTGCGATGGATTTGGGAATGGATATGGCGGATATTCAGATATCAGCACACTACGAGAATGCAATCGCCCATAATTTTAAAGGATATGCCGGCCATACTGCACAAGTTATCATCATCGCAATGCGCTCAAAATAAGCAACACAACGTGGACGACGAGATCTCTGCCCTGAAGCAAAAGCTGCAATATGACATGAGGGCCGATGGGGGGCTCAGCAGCTGGAGCGGTTAATTAGGTGCATAGCCACTTCCTATCACCTAATGCGCCTTTCGGGTCCGCTTTTGCAGAGTTTTAACGCTGACCTTGTTTGCATCGCCATCGCAAATCAAACACCCACTCTCTGCCCTCTGTAAACTACTTTCTTACACTCGAACTTTTAGCAGCAATGCCTATCGATCGCTTCGGGAGCCTAAAGGTAAGGTTGACCATACTCGTACGCGGTGGGCCAACCCATCTTCAACGCTTTGTTCCAGCAGGCCGACACATCGCATCAAACTGTTGTCGAAATGGAAGGGCTTTTGACGCAGCCTTCAGTGGGGGGCGAAGGTTTGGACACATTTTTCAACGAGGTGCGGTACATTTATCTCTACCAATCCAGTTTAAAGTTGAACTGATGGCAGCACATTTTTTATTAGGTCGAATTGATGAAATCGGACATTAAGATAGTACGAAGGAATGTGGGAGAAATTGAACGATTGCATTATGCGGGGTTACTGTCGGCCAATGATAAAGGTAAACGGCTTTGGTTCCTATGTTTCTAAACGTGTGTTGAAATGATCCAATCAAACTTTGTAGAAAATAGGGATGCGCTTGAGAGGGCGTCGAACGATACAAAGAGGCTCATTGGAAGGCTCCGAGCAAAAGTCAAGGGTAGATCATCCACTTCATTTTCATAATGTTCGCCTTGCATTGAGTTATTCTGATTATTGTGTAGATCTGATGGAGGCAACTGATCGAATGAAGCCAACACGGAACGCACAAATACGTCGCACGCACGAGCGAAGCCTGGTTAATGAGATTGTCAAGGTCGCGGCTGAATATCAGCAGATGGAGCAACAAGTGAAACAGCAACACAGAGAGCGTTTGGAGCGCCAGTACAAGATTGGTACCTATACTATGGTCTGCTGTAGCGTGACAGTGACTGAATGATGGCTACTAGTCCGCCCGGGTGCCACAGATGAAGAAGTCTCTAATGTCGTAGAACACGGAGGCAGCGTGTTCTCTCAAGAGGCAAGAAAACAAGTTACGCAACTTTCAGTACAGTCGGTTATATTGACTAGGCAACCCAGATCCTCAGCGCCCGCGTAGGAGAACAACGACAGGCTTTGGAAGAAGTACAGTCGCGACATGTCCAAATCAAGCAGATCGAGACTGCATTGGTGGAACTGTTTGACCTAACGACGGAGATGAGTCATCTATTGGACCAGCACCAGGTTCGCCAAAGGCATAATATCATCGAAATGGGTGCCGTGATTAACATTCTCATGTATTACAGGAAATCATTAACATTGTAGACGCTCAGGTGGAACAGGTTCACGTGTGAGTAGCGCAATGGCGTATCCTTTCAAATGTGTCATCGTACTGTCCTCACACTATCATAGGACTGTGGAGAAAGGGAACCGGGAGCTTACTTTTGCAACCGCAAGTGCTAAAAGTGCTCGAAAAGTGAGATAATTATGTGCTTTTGTCCGAGCAATCTGCCATCATACTCATCATTCATGTTTGATATTGCAGACCAAATGGATCATTGCAGGGATAGTCTTGGTGGTTGTAGGAGTTATTGCCGCTGTTGTAGCAGTGAAGCTATCGCAATCAAAGAGCCAGCAAAGAAATAATGCCTGACTCTATGCATCTTGTATACAAAATAATTACCCTTTATCGCATTCCTTTGAATTCATCAGCAGCAACTACCCCAGCATATCTTGCTTCGTGCAGATAGCCATATCAGGCAACATTGTGGCGGCATAGTCACGCATAGTAGGCTTAGTAAGGAAAATAGCTAATCGATGCGCTGCTGGTCATGGGATCATCTTATCAAACCTCCGTCCGAACGACCGAGCCGTTTTGGAGGGCGGTCGGGGCTTATAAAAAAGGGAGGAGCTTGTCATTTCCTCTTGTTTTTTCCTTCTTCCGTTTCTTCTTGTTTTCCATATCACGCCTTGTTGGGATTTCGTGCCTTGTCTTTAGCCGTCCATCGCTACCCAGCTCTTGCACACGCTCAAAGCACAGCTTTGCCTGAAAAGCCTCAGTTGACACGTCGCGCGTCAAAGAGGTTCCATCCAATCCCCCCGTATTAGAGACTCGCGAAAGAATCAAGAACGATGGCTTCTCGCCCAATCCCGACGCCTGCAGTATCTAAAACTCGCTTCCCTTTAAAGGCCTCTCCAAGCGCATCTCCCTTGGCCCTGTCTTTCCTCCCCCCAACTCGTCCCTCATCCCACCCTCTGATTCTCCTCAACCCGTACACATCCCGGAAAAATATCACCGCTATCATCGATGAAGCTCAACTGTCACCCCCTTCCGACGATGTACATGTGCCCATGACGAAAATTGAGCCGTTTGTGCATACACGACAGGTTGGAGGCGTTTTTGTACGAGGAATTGACGCTGGGGAACTCGGGTTGGCGCCATTGGGTGAGGCCGACACGTGCTATGGTCGAGTTCAGAGGTAAGCTTTGTTTTTTGCTGGTTTCTGAATTAGGTTGCTAACCTCTGCGCACGCACATGGCACAGATACTCGTCCGTTGTCGCCATTGTTTTTGGTCGTCAGGCTGTTATTGAGAATGTCTATGAACTTCCTGCTGCCTTCAAGAACACTCAGTACGCAGAAGGCGTCATTGGAATGGATACCCTTTGGTCCCTCGGTTTGAACGTTGCCGTCGACCGTGGAATGGTATATCTCCAGGATCCCGAGCTGAGCCAATACGTTGACCATGGCAAGTCTGCCTAAGTTATGCTGCCGCGCTTCTGCCACTGCATCAAATCCTCCTTTTTGTATACGTTTATACCCGCCTTTTTTTGTGTACATGCTGTTGTTCTTGTCCCCGTTATCTTTCAGCGGAGAAAGTGTTATTGTACACCCAGACTATGCATCTGTACAAAAGTAGTAGAAAGCAAAACCCGAGGACGTTGTCTCGTGTTAAATGAATCCTGCAGCAATAATACATTTTTCTCTTTTTATTTTGGTGCATTGACATGGTCTCTGAGTGTGCTTTCCTTGTCTCGTTGCCATTGAAAACTTCAAATCGATCGCTCACCATATGTTCAACACTTGGATGACGATACGGAATATGGGCTGCAAAAGGAGGACATGTTTAGCATTCGGCTATTTGCTTGGCAAGGAGGATAACGCGTTGTTCACTTACAACAAGCACCATTGACCTTTTAGCCCCAAATCTGCCCTCTTTCTGAGATTACCTCTTGGCTCAGTCCACCCAGCTTTTATCGTCGTCGTTAGAATGGCCACCACTACACTGAAATCAACATCCTCCCACGGCCTGGCGGCTCCCTCGCTGGCCCAAGCGCAACTCCTTCAGGTAGACTGACGATCTCTCGCCCTGGTGCTACACCATTCAACTCACATTTTGTTCACGGCTAAAGACCCTCCGCACAACAACCCAGACGCTCACCACCCAATTGACTACCCTCGCTCAGGACACAACGCTGGTCCTCAATCACTACATGCAAGTGCACCCGCCCCTCAAAACATTTGTTACAACCGCTGGCGTCTTGAGCGCTGTTCCCGTTGCGGTCTTCTTGGGGTGGATTGTTGTGAGCTGTGTGGGAACGTTTGTTGTTGCATGTATGTTGTGTGCATTGTGCTGTTTTGATCATGTTCTTTTCGCTGACATGGCAGTAGTGTTGAGCACAATCTTGCTCGAATCGACACTTGTCTCTGTGGGGTTTTTCATTCTTCTTCCAATCGAAGCGTGCATCCTTTTCGTAGCGGGCGCTGCGGCGGCCGTGAGGTACGGAGGCGGAAGATGGGGCGATGCGGTGGAAAGGGTTGTTCGAAGGTGTGATTGCTGTCTTTGGTGTACTTGGGGTCTACCGGTTTTAACCTAGGCTTGATGACTCTTAGGATTTGGATCCTAACTGGTGAAGTGTACCGGCTGCTTGGCGATAGGCTGGAAGCGGTAGGAAAGGTAGAGATGCCAAAGATGGAGAGAAGGTCCATCGTGACGTGCGACGATGAGGAGTAAGGAGTACCGCCATTGTCAGGATTTTATTCTTTGTACATTTTTCCGTCTTGTTGTGGGCAAAATATATCCCAAAGCCTCCTTCTTAAAGTGGAGACTCAAGTTCTAGATGAGTGTATCTGATGCTCATACTCAGAATACTATCTTTCTACAAGATATTACGAGTAATTTCATGCGCCTGTGTTCAGGCGTTGCCACGATATATGCAGTAGGATTAAAATCCCTAGAATGCTAATGGTAGCAAGACATACCCACAAATCATCTCGAACTAATTCCACACACCCCTCCCATGCAAGTGCATAAATATAAACAATGCTACATCTAAGATCCGTCACCCTTCATGTATATACATACCCGCCGGCCTTTTGGCGTTTAGGAACTTACATGCTTGTAAATAAATACTTAGCACCATGCAGCCCATCTCGCATCAAGGTTCTCGATACACCTTCTGCTCCGTGTGATCCAATTCCAAAATCTCTTGAATGGCTTGCAACACAAGCTTTATGTGTGCTTTTATTTTTGATGCCGTCTCCGTGTGTTTGTCAGCCGCTCTGAGGAAACCGTGGGGTCAGTGAGATACTGAGAATGAATGAAAAGAAACAGAAACTGACTTTAGTAATGATTTCTCCTTTTCTCCAATGAAAGTAACGGCTTCGTCCAGCGTTAGTTCAACGTGGTAGCCTGCTCCTACTTTGACGTAGATCCTCGATGTATCTGGCCTACAAAAGCAAAACATTGTCCAGGAGAAAGGAATGAGGAGAAAGTAGGAGAACTACATACACTTTGGCTTGCATGAAAAACTCGCATCCAACATCCATCATGGTTTTCAGCTCGTTGAGCTTTTCATTTCTGAGCAGGTCAATCTGGTTACGCAACTTTAGGCTACAACGACTATGTGTAAGTTCACAGGCCTACACCCAACCGGTAAACAGTCGGCAGAGAATGTTGCCCAAGGGTGTGAGCAAAACGCTACGCACTATTCAGCAATGGTCTCGTAAATCTTGTCCCGAGCGACCACAGCCTTTTGTAGGTCTACTCGTAGTCGCTCATTTACAAAGCGTTCGTATCTTTCTATTTGTTTTGTTTTGTCTCGTGAGCCGGACTCTGTGAGGTTTGGCTTGTCCATGGTTGCTGATTTCAGTTGAACTGATCTGTCCTATTCCCATCCCACTAGATCTGTTATGAGCTGCATCCCCACAAATTCACGTGACAGATTTGGTGAAGGTTTTGAAGGGACAGTGGAGCTTTCCATTTGATTTGGTGAAGGCATCTACTTGGGATATCTGCTACAAAGGGATGGTCGGACGGGCCGACTGGACTATCTAGCTGGATATGTCATGTTTTAAAGCAAGCAGCCCCGTCACAATGAAGGCTGATCGTGCAATCATGTGCATGTTTTCTGTACATGAACGAGATGTGCCATGGGCGAGTCAAAAGTCATTGCAGTCAGAGGTGCACAAGGCAATGTTGTTTCTTCAGAGGCGGGGGTCTTACGTCCCACTCGGAAACACGGACCAATGCTTTTCATCATCCTGCAACGAACTCTGCTCAAACCCACGGCACTCTCCCGTTTAAACCAAGCAGTTTCGCTCAACCACTTCTTAGTGCAGTGCCAACAGCCGAATGTAATTTATCGCCGACAGTGAACTAAAAAGTCGTTGGAAACAACGGGCTGTATTCCTCTGCGGGATGAAGAGTAAAACGCAAAGGTTGACTTTGGCTGCACACGATGCCTATTTATACGCTTTGAATAGCCAATCAGAGCGCTAGAAGTTTTTTTGTCACCAAGCCATCTCGCGCCACAAGCAATATTTCGTATTTAAAGCAACTTTCTTTTGAACATTTGGTTGATACTCGACAGCTCGGCTTGCACCGCACACAACGCTCTCAAATAGGTCGACATAGCAATAGTGCCATGGTCGACCAAGCTGTCAGCGTTTGTGCGGGTTGATATCAATTGGTAAGTAGATTTGGCCCATGCAAGGATTGCAGTGTATGAATGATGATCAAAAGGCATTTGGTTGTACGGGGCCCCCGCGTTATGTGGGGTTACTCCGGATGATAGTAACACCCGAGCTACCTAATCTTTCACCTCTGACATACGACATGCATGATTTGTGCTCATGTTGACTACAAACTTTTTGCTGATCTGTTTGTTTGCATTCAGATATCTTCGACTGTCTGCACGGAGCTGCCGTTCGGGACAAGTGTACGTCGCGAGATCTAAAGGTAAGCATCAAATTCTTGAACTTTCTGCGGAAATAGAGGTTGCAGGGATTAGAATTAGATGATAGGGACAGCTTAGACTTCAAAAATGCTGATTTCATCTGGGTGAACAATCAATGAGCAATCTCTATTTCCGCACTGTTTTTACGTCCTCTTGGTTTGTCAAATACTAATTTCGTCTGTCGTATACGATAGGTAAGCCAGTAGTAAATAGCAGATAGGTGTGATCCTTTATTTGTTTAATAAATATTCAATTATTATGAATTATACGGTTGCTCTCGTGAAAAGGTTCATTCCGCAGCCCATTATGCGGTATTGGTGAATAGCTTGAGTCCTTCGTCGAAGGAGTTGCTGTTATGGAATGGGAGATTCCTCAACTCTAGCCTTTTTCTCTGATATCTGGATCGGCTCCGATGATGGGCGCTTGTTTATATCGCTGCAATGGAGATGCATACGTCAAAGCGTCAGGTACTGTCTCAAGGGCACAGGATAATGAAGTTAAGCCAAGCCAAGTCCAAGATTGTGCGCTTACCTGTTGGAGTCAACTGGCGTAGCGAATGCCACTTCGGCCGGTAACCGAAAGCTTATGCACAACATCTCCTTGTTGGGGGCTACATTTCGTACATCATGTACAAGCTCGACATTGTCCCCAAGGGATGCGCCAATTACACTTTCCACTCGCTGTAGGCCACGAAGTTAGCCCTTGGTTCCCTTAGGAATACGAAAAATGGTGCTTACTTTTATGACATCAGCTCTCGCATCCACCTCGCGTGAAAAGCAATGGCAATGTATCATGGGAAGCCGATCATTTGAAACCAAATCTTGGCGACCGTACAAGAACCCCCGGAAGGCGTCTGAACAGATTAAAAGTTAGCACTCGGTAAATAGACCTTAAGAATATCCGTCCTTACCAAGGAACTCAATGGCTGTTGCGGGCAAATTCATGATATAATGATCGAACCATCGGAATACTGGCTCTTCCCCTACTGGGCCTTTTCCATTCTCCTTGACTTCAGGTGCTGTCTCAGTGTGAGGTTTAGTTGATGAGTCTAAAGCGTCGTTGGAGGCCGCTTTGGTAGTTTTGGGCTTCTTTGGCGGTGGAGCTTTACTTTCAAGCTCCCGCCACACGCTTGGCGTATTTAGGTCTTTTAAAGATTGTCGAATGAACTCTCTCCCGTCCATGTTGTAGGGTCTTACCAGGTGTTCCACCTACGCGAGCGATTCCATCAACGCTGATTAGCTCTAACGTCACAGAGGGTACAATCTTTGATAAAAAAGATCACCTTGTTAAGCCGCACGTTCTCACATAGATATTGGTGGCTGGCCGGATTCAAATCGTTCGCAAAGACAATGCAATTCTTTTTCTTAGCGGCCGGTAACGCATATGGCCCAACACCGGCGAACACGTCGCATATCAGTTGTCCAGGCCGGAACGCTTTTACAATGCGGTTGTGCTCGGCTTGCAAGCGTGAATTCCAGTAGACCCTTGAAAAATCGAACCGGAAGCGACAGTCCCCTTCTTTCTAGATGCCGCAAGATTATGGCCTGATGAGAACCGAATTCCTTCTCTGAGTATCAGCTGCTTATGATGGACTAACCAGCTCTGCCATCATATTGTTTTCTCCTGCTAGCAATTCCATTTGGAAAAATCGGAACGTATGGTCGATATTCCCCGTTTTGTTGACAATCGTGCGCAAGTTTTTGTTTTTCTGCAGAGAAGAGAGCATCGTTTCAGTTCCAGTCCGCTCCAACCAGGTGCAGTAGCAGTCTTGGTACTCACGTCAAGTAGGACTTGACCAATAATACTTTTATATGGGATGTGTTGATCACGGAGGTTGAGATGCGCTGCACAGAATTTGTATCTTAGCCCGGTCATCGGTATTCAGGTTAGCAGAATGATTGAGCGACCCTCACCAATGTGTCCAACGGATTCAAATGCACCTGGCACTTCTAATTCGTCTGGTAGGATGGATCTTAACACTTGATCTATGATACTGTTAGATGAGATTCCAAAAGAGTAGAAGCCGCTTGAATGGGGTCACAAACCTGCTGTCCAATAATCGTAGTCAAGATCCAGCTTATAACGAGTCACTTCTGCCCCCTCCTTCTTAGCGAACTCGTCCACGGCAGGCGGAAGAGCGTCTATGTAGGAGACATTAATCAGGCGGGCTGACCAGGGGAACGTTTGTCTTTATATCGTATCGTCTCATCCGATATATGGAGAACCACCCATCATATGTGTCTCTAACTATCGCTGTTTCCAAGTAGAGTAACAGCAACCTACCCTTCGACGTGACGACCTCAGGGTTCAAGAGAACTAACCGCCTCACAGCTTTCTTGTCTGCGCCTTTCGCAATCTCCTCTGGATCTTCTATGATTGCTCGAAGCCTCGGAAGCTCCAGAAGCGGGCTATAAGACGATTGAGTAACCGCTGCTACCGTCGCAAATATGCAAGGGTTCGCTCTTACCCGCCCTTTAACTCAACCATGGCACGCCTACATGTTGAGGCAGGAACACGCAGGGCGACCAAGTCCAAACTCTTCCGAAAAAGTTCCCTGTTGAGAGTTACCAACCCTTTATTCGCTGGTGGTGATATCGTTGCGGACATTTTTGGTCAATGGGTGCAGCATTCAAGAGCTTCAGCAGGGCTTTTGAAAGAAATGACTGTGCCTGCAGTATGAGTCATCCAACGTAAAAGCGCAGCACCAGAGAGGATAACGAGATCTTTAGATCAACGAGTGACCGCCTCGCAATATGACACAAGAAGGAGAGGCAGCAGGGATACTATCAGAGGTTGAAGATGGGGTTGTTGATGAACTAGAAGAAGGAGAATATGTAGAAGGAGAGGATGAGGAGCTGAATGCTACATGCGAAGCAGAACCCCGGACAAGAGTAACATTTTCTCATAAGGTACGCAGAACCACATTGGCAGTTATATGAGAACGTCTATCTCATACCATGGTGCTCAGGACCTGCATGCAGAGCAATGGGATGACAGCGCACTGATCGAAGCATGGGACGCCGCAGTTAGAGAATATCAAGTAGGCAATTTCCAGAATGTAAGGCCGATGCCGCAATTTCTTATTTTGTCCGCTACACAGATGTATCATAGCGACCAGCCACCAATAGGCGGGAAAAAAAAGCGGAAAAGGTGCAGCGGGTTGAGCTACTGTTATGATGTTGTTGGGGATGCTGATATAATGAAGACCCCCACAACAGTACCAACAAGCGAATCCGAGATCAATGACGGGACCCGACGTGATGGAAGTTGATGATACCCAACAACAGAATGATGTGGCGGAGATAGAAAGGGTAAGCAGAAGAATGCGTACTGTTGATAATGCACGATGACATGTTGACACATATGCAGGAATCAGCCGGTCAAAATCATGAAACTGTAGACAATGATTCCACCACAACTCAAGATTACGTCGAGACACAGAGAACGTCTCGATTGGAAGACCAGACTAGTTATCAAAATGGTAAAGTGCATGATTAGCGTCTCTGGTCGTCCAAATGCTTATCTACTCGCAGCAGGGGTGAATAGCGATGGCGTAGACTACCCACCTGGACAATGTGCCTCTTGTGGAGTTCCGACCGAGATGCCAACCGGTAATTTTGACAACCTAATGCATATCATATGTCCTCAGTACTGATGTGCACGCTATTCCAGCACTTCCTGAAGACGAGGATCTGGCGAACGTGATGATGGCTTGGTACTATGCTGGGTATTACAGCGGGATTTACGCAGCGAAGGTACCATCTTTTCAAATTGCTAATTTGAGATGAGACATACTGAGCTTATCGTCCCTTGCTTTAATAGCAGAAGCAACGGAATCAATAATAGTTCATACATTCACGCATCATTATTTGGGAGAATGGTCCCACCTGTATATTTATTACAATGAGCACTTGGTTAAAGCGGCTGGAACCTGGATCTAATCGATTACACATGCTCGGCGCCACATGATAGATCGCCCAACATCATGCAGATAGTGTCATTGAGGTCTACCCAACTGGTGGCATTGGGTCCACCGTGAACTTGCTAATGGACTCTAGAGCCCAAATAAAAGATTTCTCCTATTGTCTCACATCGGATCTCGACCTTCTTGTCCGCATTAAAATGTAACTTGCATAGCCAGCCGTGTCAATGTACCTTGAGGATATTCACCGTTTATTTTCTTGCAAGTTCGTCCTTGGAGGGATGTCCCCCTCAAAGAGACTTTGCTGAAGTATTGAACGACCCGCATCTACGATGCAGAGCTACTTCCCGCTCGAGGTTGGCGTCATACAATCGTTGACTCGGTACCAACAACTCCATTTAACCCAACTTTTGACATCTGTAAAGTGAGCTCCCAGATCTCTACGTGACTTGTCAACTGTTCTCCGATAATAAGTCTATAACCCTGCCCATTCGTACTGCATATCACTCGTTTCACACACACTGGACGTGAGTAACGGTCCACATTTGTATTAATCTGCAATCCTGGCCGATCACGCTTGTTCTTTAATATTCCAATCATTTCAAAGAGATAATGGTGCTCTCTTTTACCAGATGGAACGAATGGATAGTAATACCATTGAAATATCGAGATTTACCTTTGGGCGCGCAGTTGGCACTGACCGTATGGGAAGCATACGCCCCGAGAAAGGCTGTCCCATTGGGGGGCACGACATTTCGTCTATTTGGAAAAAACAAGTATGATTCCTTTCCTTTAGACATAAACTGACTTAGGCTGTCCATCGGCTTATGAGATTCCTTGAATGCGTCAAAGTACTGTTAAACAAGGCAAACATAAATTATTTATATGGCCGTGGAAGGAGGCTGACGGTCAAGTTATGACCTCGACTCCAAGTAAAGTTGATACCGCCAGTGATATGGATCGCTTGGAGAAGGTGCTCACATGGATGTCACATACTGTGTTGCGAGTATCGAGATTAAATGCTCTTTCCTACGTGCTCATAGTTGATGCGCCGTTATGAACGTGGCGACATGACCAGAGTCGACTGGTTAGATCGATTGGCGTTCCGAGAAATCGAAAGAATAAACAAAGTACGACCTTGACACGGACAGATTTCATGATTTCAACATATTAATGCCTACCCTAGATGGAAGGGACGCACACGAAGCATCTATTTCTCTACGTTGACTTGCCACAATTCGATTTTCCACTCGTATTCAACGAGAAGGTTGTGTTATGAAATCCTGGCCATGGAAAGTGTCTGTGCGTTGCTAACATGGTATGGACAGGAATATCGACTTGCAGCACCGCCACCACCTCCAGTTGAGTCCAATCTACAAATAGTGGCAGACCCAGAGGCCGCTAGGGACAATCCTGTAGAGAACAAGCATCGTAAACTAGCCCGAAGCCATCGAAATGGGCCCTTGGACAGAGATCTCAAACCCAATGCCAAAATCCGAGATGAATTAAACGTAAACCGTGATACCGCTATTTTTTTCATACATTCGACTAATCTAATGCGGTCTCTGTTGCAGAAAATACTGCGATATCCACCAACACAGAACTTGACGAGCGAAGAAAAAGATCTACTGTGGAAATTCAGATTTTATCTTACCCGGGACAAAAAGGTGATGCCGTCTGGTGTCCCCTCATATTGCTTAATGCATTTGCTTACCAAAGAAGATAAATAACTCTAGGCGTTAACCAAGTTCCTCAAATGTGTCGTATGGACGGATAACGTCGAAGTGAAGCAAGCTGTCGATCTACTACATGTGTGGGTTGACATTGACGTCGAGGATGCGCTGGAGCTACTGGGACCCACCTTTGAGAATCTGAGCGTCCGCGGATACGCAGTGATGCAGCTCCAGAAAGCAGACGATGAGGTCCTCGGCGGATTTGGATGTTACTGACTTGTTGAAATACTCACAGGCATTATCTTAGGACCTGCAACTTTTTCTATTGCAGCTTGTGCAGGCTCTTAAGTTCGAAGGCATTGGAGATAAAAATGTGCTGCAAAACTCTCCTTTAGCGGACTTCCTGATCGACAGAGCAATCAAGAATCCGATCCTAGGAAATTATTTTCATTGGTATGACGGATGTCATTCAAGAGGAGAAAATTGACCATGTATTAACAGCGACTCAAGGTACTTAATGGTAGAGTGCGAGGACAAACAATGGGGAAAGATGTTTGCCAAGGTGGCTTTTCAATTCATGAAGATCATGGTCGAGGTACTCGTTGGGCCCCTTTTTGATATTATATTTGCGTCTAATCCGCACTTTCAAGGTTCCCGAAGGAGTACATCGACGAGACATCTTAAAACGGCAGGCAGAGCTAGTAAAAACATTATCTGAGCTTTCCAAGGCAGCTCGATCAAAAGACCCGCGACCAAAGAAGGTATCATTGCTTAAGAAATATTCAAGTTAAACTGTGCGGATTCTAAGAATCTAGGGAAGGTTGAATTGCTCCGCCACTTTGTAGCGGATCCAAAGAAGGGTTTATTGTCGTTTCCGCCTCTCCCACTTCCATTGGATGCACAGGTCCAGGTTACTGGACTGATTCCTGGTAATATCCCGTATTGTCACTTTTTTGAAAAATGTGGAATCGACCGTTTTTCCCGTGATAGAGAAAGCGAATATTTTCAAAAGCGCATTGTTCCCCTTAAAGCTAGCATTTTCATGCTTGGATGGGTCGGAGTACACGGTAAGTCTGTTACGTGAAATGAATCGACCATAATTGTACGCTAAATGCGGCCATCAGATTATCTTCAAAACGGGCGACGATTTGCGGCAGGATCAACTGGTTGTGCAGATTATCACGTTGATGGACAAGCTCCTTCGTAAAGAGAACCTGGACTTGAAGTTGACGCCCTATAGGGTGCTGGCCACAGGATCTGATCATGGTAAATGCAAAATGTAACCAGTATGCGGTCTCCTACCTGTTGCGTTGACACTGCATCTTGTCCCTCAGGCATGGTCCAGTTCATTCCTTCCTATCCTTTAGCCACAATATTGGCTGAACATAGCAGTCTCCTGGCGTATCTCAGAGAGCACAATAGCGCAGACGGTACCAAACCAACCAGTATTCCGGCTGTTGTGATGGATACGTATATTCGCAGCACATGTGAGTAATGTTTTACCTAATTCTGCATGCCCATCATTGATATTTCTATTTGCTTGGATAGCTGGCTACTGCGTGATCACGTATTTGCTGGGGATTGGCGATCGGCACTTGGATAACGTACTTCTCACTACTGCAGGTGAGCATGCGCGGAGTACGTTGCAAACCATACCACTAAAAGCTGAGCGTACGCTACAGGGCACCTCTTCCATATTGATTTCGGGTTCATCCTTGGACGCGACCCAAAGCCTTTCCCGCCGCCCATGAAATTGTCCAGAGAAATGGTTGAGGCTATGGGAGGCGCTTCCTCACAGGCATATCAGAAATTCAAGTCCTACTGTTTCATTGCGTTCAACAGCTTGCGCAAGAACGCAAACTTGATATTGAATCTGTTCTCACTCATGGTCAATGCGAATGTGCCCGATATTGCCATAGAACCTGATAAAGCAGTGCTTAAGGTAATTGCAAAAGATATCTGCGTTGGTGTACCTTCGCTCAAATTCTCCAACCCATGTTAGGTTCAAGAAAGATTTAGGTTGGATTTATCGGATGAGGAGGCTATACAATATTTTCAAGGATTGATCAACGAAAGCATCGGGGCGGTTTTCCCGCAAGTGATGGAGAAAATTCATCAGGTTGCACAACTTCTGCGCAGTTAAATCCAGTGTTTAGACACTAGCTAGTGAAGATTGGTTAGTTCATAGCAAAGTATAATGTGTGGGTATGATATAGAAATTAATGTAAACATGTACATTTCAACGTGCCCACACTTTTGCACTATTGGATTGCAAGATAAGCTGCTCCCAAGGCACTTGCCGCCATGATTGCATAACCAGAATTGTACACGTTCTTCACAGTAAGCATTCGTCCCGTATCCCAAATCTACCAAGTGACATTATAATCAATATCAATTCTGAGATAACCCGCCTCGCCGGATGAGGCCAATTCAAAGACATACCAGGTGTCGCACACCAGTCAACGAGTGGTATACCATGGGAAGGGCGAGGGTGAACTTGCCCGCAAAGATCACAGAGGGAGGCAAAGAGTGGACAAGGTTGACGACTTCAGCAGAGGAGTAGGGAGAAACGGCGTACCAGATACCGCCCAAATAAAACACTGATAGAAGAAGTCTGTGAGATTCCCAATTTGCGCGTCGACATAAGGAGATCACAACTTACAGGCTCCCAACCCAACGCCAGTGATACGGTGAGTCAAAGACATGTACATCTGCTGCTGAATTTGGTAGATAGTGAAGTGCGGCGAGCTGGGACGTCCTAGACGCTCAGACTTTGCATAGGCATCCACCTCCAACGTAGGTTTAGCTGCATCTGGGTCGTTGACGTCAACGGCACGGCGCGGGGCGGGTGTGGTGGTGAACCTAGTATGAACAGGGCCCCTATGAGAAAATGGTTGTTCTGCTTGATTTTACAACAGTTCACGTACTTTGACCGAGGGATAACTGCAACCGCGGCGCATTGTCGACCGAGGCCCGCCGCCCTGATGAGGTCTTCATAGACGATGCTTAACTAACAAATCAATCCGACGTTCACATGGGCTGGTACTCACTCAGCTGAGAGACGGCGACGCGAGAGCTCTGAAGCGAACGAGAGGCAAACATGGTCGGCGGTGTTCGTCAGGATATCAAGGAGAACGAGGACAGCGAAATCGAACGGACGCTGCAGCCAATGCGATGCGAAGACTGACCGGGTTGCCACGACAACCCATCTGTTGGCACAGTCATCACAATACAGGTCACTGTGCCACAAGACATCTCATTGCAAAGGACGACTAGATGTCGGGCTTTGATGCGTTGAAGGGAGCAAATCGTCTATCAATAATAAATACAAGTTGCAACCCCTAAACTAACGCTGGCCTTGCATTTTCTTTGCCCGTCTCTCTTGCTCCCTATCTCTAACAACCATCTCATCGATTTTGGTGAATCCAAGTGGTGCCGCCGAAGGTTTATCCCGCAACCAGTAAATGTTGTCACCTTCCGTGACGCCCGTCACCCTTTTCAGCACCTTTATTCTCTTCACGCTCGGCGAGAAAATAGGCAACACCAATTCTACGCCTGTCCCCAGCACATAATTTCGGACCACAATGTTCGTCATAACTCCTTTCCGTCTGACAGCAATCAAAACCCCAGCAAACACCTGTGTGCGTGGGCGTGACCGTGAGGAGACTTGCTCAATCAAAAGAACTGAACCGGGCTCTACTGCCGTAGGAGATCCTTTTCGAAATAATTCGGCTCTGTTGTCCGGGTCTAAACGAGATCGGAGTTCAACGTCAATGGAACGAACGAGCCGACGCCCCTTGTAGTGTCCGCGTGGGTCGTAAGAAATTTGGAGATCGGATGGAGATTTTCCCTTCAAGTCGGGAAGAGGACCTGATGGCGCGCGAGGATAAAATGGGGGCAACGCGGCTTCAGGTTCTTCTTCTTGAGCTAGATATAAACGGTTAACATGAACCAACAACGGAGCGCGGTCCAACAAAGTCTTCCCGCCTACCTACTGCTCGCGGTGCCGCATACCGCCGAATTCCTACAGCAGCGTTCACATTGCATGCGCATCGAGAGCTCGACAGTCTCGAAACGGCGGCCGTCAATAAAGTGATGCTTTTGTTTGCGTTCATGATTTGTTGCTTCCTTGCAGAGGAAATTCGGCCATCGGATGAGTTTCGTCCAGCAGTCACATGACATTTTTGTTGCTACGTGAGGTTTGGTTGCTACGGTCAAGTCGTTGCCGGACGGATCCGCGCTTCGTTCGACTTGGTGGTGAACCGAGGTCTTCTCCACGTCAGAGCGACCTGTAACCCTATCACAAGCGTCGACATGTATTCGGTGCGCTCTTTACGACCATTGGATAGATGCGCGAGCCGCTGTTGCCTGCTTATACCCGTAAGTAATTGCGCTGTGGTCCGACCAGTTAAGAAAGCGTGTTCTCACTATCAGCAAATTGCAGCTTGAACGAAGAGCTATCCAAATCTCTTCAAGCGCACAGGCCAATCGACCAAAATCCTCACCAACCCCTCACCCCTCGTCTTCGCTACTTGTCTCCTCTCCGCACCCTGTATCGCACATTCGCCTGCTCCGCTTTAAAGAAGAAATTGACAGCCTGCCAGATGTAGAACGCTCTTGGCAGCGACACCGTGAACATGTTCAACAATGGCACCATGAGTTCTGGGAGAGCAACAATAAACACTTCCAGGATGCAAAGCTGAGCTTTGAACTTGAAAGTATGTATGCTTTGCAGTCGCTGAGTTTCAAATGCGTGTATTAATATGAGCCTTCCAGTACGCAAGACGCATGATCGATTGCCGACATCCACTGAACTTTCGTCCTTCTACAAAGAGTACTTAAACGCCTCTTACGAACGTCACGCGAGATATAACAGCGATTGGTGGAAAGAGAACACACAAATGCTTATTCCTGCGTTCCGCGCGGAGATGAGCGCGTTGATGAGATCGGCAGGCACTACGATGATGGCTCTTGACGCATGGTGGCAAAGGATGGGGCATGCGATTGTGAGGGTGGGGGGTGGTTATAGAGCACAGGGCGTCACTATGCGGTGACAAGGGATCGATGTAGCTGTTTTCATTCTATAGTATCATTATTTTTCTCGTGGCATCGCACACCCTCTGATATTACGTTTTAATTGAGCACATTCGGTAGATATCTGTCTACCAGCGGACCATCCGTGCCGTATCTATGAAACATTGGTTTTTCAACGGAAAATATAGTAGATGTTTGGATATAGCCGACAGCGGCTGACCTAGTGAACTGTCAGTGTATGGTTGGCGACGGGGCACCAATGACGTATGTATTATGTGTGTATGCCGCATGCACATGAATGTGTTCAAATAAATAAGACCACGTAAAACACGGTCGAAGTCAAGCAGCGACTCCTCAAGTAGTCCGCAGCTTCTTGATAGCGCTGTCGTCAGCAGTTTGTTCATTCGGTTGCTGATCGGTTCCGAATTGATCTATATCACGGGAGCGCTTCTTATTCCCGCCTAGTAAGCAAGCAAAATGATTTTGAGACTTCCAGATGGCCGGCTTCCTGTAGCCAAATGCGCTTACCTACCATTAACTTCTTGTGTTTTCTTGCTGCCTGCACGCTCCTATGGCACCCATGAGAAAATTTTCATTTCAAGGGAATAAAATGCTCTTACCATTGGGCCCCAGTATGCAGTCGGGTTTTCCTGATATCGAACAAGTTTCATTTTTCTGGAGCATGGGTTTGCTTGTGGATGATGCTCCCAAGACACTTCATTCCTATAAATCTGTCAGATGGCTGTTGAGGCTCTGCATGTCGGTACGCACGCCACCTACTTTAACGGCTTTGCCAGGATATTGGAACCAGGAGTGTCAGCAGGTCGCTCCTTGACTGGCTGTTCTTGCACGTGTTTTCTTATCACATCCCATACCGCCCATCCTGGGGCATTCGTTTTGACGCAATTCTGAGCAGCGTGAGTTAACGACACTTTGTAACCCATGTTTAGCAGAGCCGATCTACATGGAGAAGACGGCTAAGCGAATGTCCGTTAAAGGTAAGTCATAGTCCCTTACGTGAATTTCAATAGAGGAAGAGGCATGGACTTCGTAGTAGCGACCAAAGAGGCTATATCGTAGAAAAATGGTATTGGCAGCTCCTGAAGCGAGATTGGTATACAAGATTCATCCAATCGAAGGAAAGCCTTTAACGGTGAATTACCTCTGAAGCGACCGTGAGCATTCCAATCATTCTCGACTTTGTTTTATACTTTTCTTGTGGCGCATCTGTCACATGCCTTAACATTCGTTTGATGAATTCTTGGTTGTGGATCGGCGCGCTGTAGAAAGGTCCACCGATCTAAAGAAAAACTATCATTAAGCGTACACGGCTGACTTCGTTACGCCCAGCGTCAAAACCTTACGTGAAATCGCCGCCCGCAGTGCTCACATGTAAATCCAACATTGGGCCCACAGGCAGCACCCACTTTCTTCCCATCACCATTTTGAGGCGACTTGCCTATAGGCTGTAGCACAAAGGATCTACAGCCTGAGCAATGGTAAACCATCGAAGTTTTGCTGGACACGAGGAATGGTTCATATAAGAGGTTGTTACTGACCCCTCTTTATATCGCATCGACTTACCCTGCAGCTTTCTTTACAAGGGCCGGCGATGTGTATACGCGAACGAAAATGCGAACGTAGAAGTCAATGCTCAAGCTAAGGAGAGGTTCTATGCAGCGCTTATAGCGAGCTGCTGATGTTTGCACAGTATGTAAGAGCAATCGCAGAGCCTGCACACAGAAATGGTTAAACATGACATACGACCTTAGTCTGGTGAGCTGCCAAACAGTAGACTGACCAATTCATGACAATACGGTGAATTTGGCAACGGCATTCCTCCGTATTTGGCCCAACAGGCGTCGGGTTGATTCCCAGCCAGAACTGCCAGATCCGTACAAGTAATGCACAGCAAACCTGTTTTCAAAATGTCACAATGAGAAAATACGGGAGCCAAATGGGAAGCCTAACACTGACAGATAGATACCTCCTTCAGAGACCGCTTGTACAGCAGCGTCGAGAAAAGGGGCAGCGGAACCATATGGATCCAAATCGATGACATCGTACGGCTTTTTTATGGCTTGGTACATGGAAATGCTAGTCACTACAATTAGGTCGAGTTTCCAAATGTAAATATTTGGCAAGCAAATTTAGGCTTACTTTGCATCACCCTCGTTGGCCACCACGATGTCCTCCACGTTGTTGTGTTTGACATTCTGTCTAATAGCCTCAACAGCATCTGGTAAGATATCGTTGGCCACTATGGTTTCCACATGGGCGAGGTCTTTTGCATATCGGATGGACCGCAAACCCGTCGCGGACAGGGCCTCAAGGACTGTGAAGCGCTGGTCCTTATATTGCGGTTGACTTAAATCTATATCATCCAAATCTTCCATTTTGATATCTTCGTGTTCCTCAATGTAACCATTAAAAACGGCAGGTATAGCACTCTTCTGGGGGCTTGTTGGTTCATTTCTCTCGTTCTTGTCACCGTCTTCTCTCCCTGATGGTGCTGCTCCGGTTATAAAGAGGATGAATAAAGAGCCGATGTCCACAGACCTATCATACCTTACCTGACGGTTGCTTGACCTTTCTTCGTCGCCCTGCGGTCTCTACTCGTTCTTTAAAGAACATTTTGCTCCAAGTGCTGATTGCGGCTATGGACTAATGAGAGTCGACATAAATAACCAGTGAACGCCGAGTGAACCAAACAGTGTACTGACAGTATCGCGGTTGTATTCCTGTCGAAATAGAATGTATGAAAACAAACTTTAGTTAAAGACCTTTCGTGATCACAGTTCTAAACCAACCTGGACAGGGTTGTAAAACACAGAGTTATCTGAAGGGAATTTTATGGTCGCTTTCCCTATTTGCGTATTGCAGTGAGGACTCAAAATAAAAGAAGTACGAAACTGGCAATAATAATACCTTCTGCAACGAAAACCGTCCCATCCTCTCCCTTGGTTTTCCAGGTAGGCTCTTGCGGGTTTTTCGGCTTTTTGGACTTTTTGGACTTCACGGAGTCCTGTAAACCTTCCTCACCTTCGGCCGCTTTGTAAGCTGAAGTATCCACTTGTTCTTCTGCTGTTGAAGTCGGTTGCATGGTGGTCATGGTTTCTTCTATGAATTCGACCAGCGTTTGCTCTGAGATTTGATGGTGCTGCGCATGGTTGCCATGGGAACAAGCTCAAAGCTGCTCGTCCATGAGAATGCCAGGATTTTTGCTGGCGAGCCTGCTAACTCACGATAACTCCGGGTAGAAAAGTAGAATGTCAACGACACTTGACCAGAAGGCTGAGCTTTGGGCTCTTTTTACGGACGCCGTTCAGTGTGTATTTGAACGATGGACTGCATTGCAATTGGCACTTGATCACCAAATGGCTGGGATATCAACCGCCGAGCGACCTCAGGAACTCCTTGAACATACGTGCGCATTCTTTCAGCAATATCGGACTGACGTCATGCCGCATGAGATAGCAGAGAATTTGAAGGATTTCTTTGATGAAGTTTTCAACGCCGAGTTGGACGACGGTAGCCCAGAACAAATTGGCAAGACGTTAGTTCGCCTGTATCGTGACGTCGTAGTAGAAGGAAAGACGGAGGAAGTTTTGGAGATGAAGGCGAAGGCGCAAAGCAGCGGTCGTGCTGCTGGGGAATCGGTGAAGGCAGGTGACGGAGACGACAGCAGCGATGACGAGGTTGATGGTTCGACAGGTAGCGACGCCATGGAGGTGGATAGTGGACCTACACAGTCCGAGACGTCAAATCGACGACCAGATCCTGTCGTCGATGAAGATGGATTTGAACTAGTTCAGTCAAAAAAGGGGAGACGAAGAAATTGAGAGGCGGACGCTAAAGACCGAAGTTATTTGCCATTTGAGCACAGCATTCATCGCATGATTTTGTACATAAACTGTTAGAAGCGTCGCAATACATTACACTTTTGGTAATTTTGCAGGCGAAGGAAATGGATGTGGTTAGCCCTAACTATTGGCGATCTGACAGTCGAAGAATTTTGGCCCCAGTGATTAACTGCTGCTTCAGTGTATCCATTCCTTGGAGGACGGACGCATTAAGCTTGTAACAAGCAGACATTATAATTAATACCCTTACTATATACAAAAGATACAAAAGAAACCTTCAAAACTCCACATGGACTTTATGAATCCACCATGTGCAAGGTGAGCTTTATGCAAGGCAAATGCCTTGTTACAAGTAACCTGTAGCGAGTGTAATGTAATATATTAGGGCCGTTTAATCAAACAACAGCAAAGAGACTGCGTACCTATCCAAATCTTCCTCAATAGGATCCCACACATCTGTGGCTTCCACACTACAAATATCGGTATCCTGCTTCACCTTTCCATCTAAGCGCCGCTTGGCAATTTCGGCGACCGTCACTGCCTTATTGATGGTCTTCCCCTTCCCAATAATAACGACATGCTTCCCTTCCTGTAGGCGCACAATACAGAGTTATACGGAGGTTCTCGTCTCAAATCATATAATGCAACAGGCAGGAGACCTTTAAAAGGCCCAATATCTGAGCAACATAGGTGCGGATTTTGCCATGGGACGATATCCTAATTTCATTCTCTGCTGCTGTATCGCCTTCCGCTTCCTCCCCGACAGCAGTGCGCCTATACTTTTCCATGCAACGCAGTCTTTGCTGAAAGGAGATACCCGAGGGTCAGTACCAAATAGCGAAGTGGAAATAGATAGTATCGATGTAGCAGGTTTGCTATCCTCACCCAGCTGCCCCATGCTACTGCTAGTGTTCGACCTACGCAAATATCCTCACCGTCACAAACACGAACTTACATTGCCTAACTGGAATTTAACCCGATATCCAAACCACGATGGACAAAGGTCTGTACGTGTAGTTGTTGCCATGACGATAAGCAAATGAGTATGCACAGCCCCCTAAGGTTTCCCTCACGAGCTTTGACGATCGGTTGACATCCCATCCCGGCTGTCTCTCCGGCGAGCAACTGGGAGCATGAAGGTATGAGGTAACACTACGTCGCATAACTTTGGCACCTTTTACGATATTAAGTTCTGATTGACAATTTCCCAGGTGTTATGCGTGGCAGAAAAACCTTCCATTGCAAAGTCTGTTGCACAACTGCTGTCGAACGGGGGGCTTAGAACGGTACCTATACCGCGGGAAGGATATTAGCGGAGCATACTGGTCTAAATGAAAACTCCTTCTGGTTTAACGCAGGTTGCCACGCGAAACAAGTACATTAAGAATTATTGCTTCGACCAGCTTCTGAACGGCCAACAATGCCAAATAGTCATGACTGCCCTGCTGGGCCACCTGATGGAGTCAGACTTCCCTGCCGAATATCGTAATTGGAAAGCGGTTCCACCTATGGGATTGTTCGATGCTACTGTTATCAAGTCTGTGCGAGAGGTGAGCACCTGAGAAGATTTGCTGTCAGCGCGCGAGGAGGTGTTGACTCTCAACAGGATTTGAAAACTATAGAGGATAACCTCAAAAAAGAGGCGCGATACGCGCAAATGCTCATAATATGGACCGATTGCGATCGCGAAGGAGAGAATATTGGTGCTGAGGCTGCAGAAGTTTGCAAGAGTGCGAATCCTCGCATACAAGTCAAGCGAGCACGATTTTCGGTCATTCAGCGTCGGTGGGTTTTCTCCTGCACGACTTTGTGACGCTGCGGTGAATAATGTGGCTTTCCATCATTCTAGTGAACTGCAGCAGGCATGGAACAGTCTTGGGGAGCTCGACATGCGTCAAGCTGCTGCGGTAGACGCTCGAGCAGAGTTGGATCTGCGCATTGGAGCAGTGTTCACTCGCTTTCAAACTCTTACCTTGAGAGGAATGTTCCCTGAGCTCGGCGAAAATAAAATTCTGAGTTATGGTATGATGTTTGTTTGGTTCGCTGGGTACCAATTCTAGGTGTATTCACACCATTTTGCCCAGGATCATGCCAATTCCCGACTTTAGGATTTGTGGTTGACCGCTACATGAAGGTCCAACGGTTCGTACCGGAAGATTTCTGGAAGATCGACGTATCCATTGAGAAGGACGGGAGCACGGCCAAGTTCGACTGGGGGCGCACCCATCTATTTGATCAACATTTCACGTTAGTCCTATATGAAAAGTGCATGGATAACCCAACAGCGACAGTGGCGAGCGTGAACACAAAGCCCAAATCGAAATGGTGCATATATGCAGTTGATTACGGCGAGGTCCTCAATGGTCTGATTGCATCCTTTAGGGCACCTTTACCGCTGACTACGGTGGAGTTTCAGAAAGCCGGCTCGCGAATACTGCGTATCAGCTCTGATCGCATTATGAGTGTGAGTGTTGAGGAAATTCGAAAGGCACCAAAGCTGTGACGTTAAACTGCCCTAAATTTAGATAGCCGAGCGGTTATATCAGCAAGGAATAATCAGTTACCCACGAACAGAGACTGATGTGTTTGCAGACAGTTTCCAACTACACCCTCTTATAGAAGCCCAAGTGAACGATCCAAGATGGGGCCAGTATGCACAAGGGTATGGTGTCGTGGATCATCCGATTAGTCGTTTCAACTTATTTAATGCAATATGAATAGGCTGCTTGGTGGAAGATTCAGGCGTCCACGAAAGGGAAAGAACGACGATCAAGCTCATCCTCCTATACATCCAGTCAAAGCCGCGCTGGATTTGACTGGTGACGATCAGCGGGTTTATGAGTTCATTACGCGCCGCTTTTTGGCATGCTGTTCAGATGCCGCCAAGGGCAATGAAACCGTAGTGGTTGTCCATATTGCTGGTGAACAGTTCACCGCGAAAGGTACGTGGCGGCGATCATGAAAGGACTAGGTGCTGTCGCTCATTCTATATATTTCTATCTTTAAGGACTCAGTATTCTTGAACGCAATTATCTGGAAGTATATCCCTACGACAAGTGGGCTGAACACTCAATTCCCAACTTCTACCAAGGAGAACAGATAATGCCCTCGGAGTTGACAATGACCAGCGGCAGAACATCTGGGCCGGATCTCTTGACGGAGGCTGATTTAATTGGCCTTATGGAAAAGAGTGGTATAGGTAGGCAGCGATTGACAGCCATCGAACGCCTACATTGTCTGACTGTACAACATCCAGGCACGGATGCGACAATTCATGAGCATATCAAAAAGATTCTGGACAGGGAGTACGCAAATAAAGAAAATCAGTTCTTTTGCCCAACTGTGTTGGGCATGGCCTTGATATCTGCCTACGACGAGATGGACTTGGAGCTTTCATTGTCGAAGCCATATCTCAGGAGTTTGGTACGATATCGTTAATGAGCACCAACAAAGCTCTGTTCTTATTGGGTGAGAAATAGATGGAGGCCAATATGAAAAGGATCTGTGAAGGAACGCGATCAAGATATGACGTTGTCCAAGAATCACTGGAAATGTACAGAGGAGCATTTGCCAGAGCGAGCCAACAATCTCGTCGACTGAAAGAGGTACGATTGCATTTACTGCGAACGCAAGCGAGCATTGTAGCTCACGATGGCCTGCCAGGTTGTTGGGAGATATCTCAGGGGTGGCGACCGGAACCATACAATACCGGTTGGTGTACATGAGATCCGCAGGCTCCGCGATGTGTCTATCTGATTGGAATTATACCCTTTAGCAGATCCCTCCGACAAGACCGCCGAGCAGTCCTTCAGATGGCGCTCCGTACACAGTCCCTCGACCGACTGCTGGATCGCGCCGAACGGCGGGAAGGCAGCCCGATAGTAGCACCACATCTCAAGGTCGTTCGAGAGGCAGGGGTTCTCGCGGATCGCGTGGATCAACGCGGGCACGCGGGGCCACGCGGCGGCAAGCTGGAACTTCTTCATCTGATACGCGGGTATGTAATCTGCAGTTCACATCCTCTTTGCCGCCTGCCGACTCATGATTCGGCAGGCCGATTACACCAGAAATCGATCCAGCGATACATCCGATCCGAAGCCCAAGTGCGACTGCAATCTGTACGCGGCTAGAAGGACATCCCGAAAGAATAACGAAAATCAAGGTATCTATATACTAGCGATTGCCCTACTACAAATTCAGACTAATAATATTTCCAATAGGTCGTGATTTTTTTACATGCACAAAGGCAGGGGCGAAGTGCAGGTTTTTTGCCTGGGCAGATGAGTGGAGTGCAAACAATACCAACGGCAGATAACATCTGCTCTCTCATGCACATAGATAGACTCGTAAATAGAACCATTGTATATAGATATTTAAATACTCCTTTCACGCAGATACACATTTAACCTTCGCATTCAATGCGGCAACTTTTGTTTGTACTGTGATGTGGAAGCCACAGCTAAGCCATCCATCTTGTAAGATCCGCTGCCCACAAAGCACCCTTGCGATATACCACAGACAAGTTGCCCAATGCCCATGACAAGAGCGACACGCAACCTTTCTAGGGTACACTTTGGGGTTTTCAAGCGGTTCAGTGCAGCTTCATCCTGGAATACGCTGACATCCACGCACCTCCCGCCTTGTCGACATCAATCTTCGTCACCTTCGCACGATCATCAACAAGATGTAACTCCTTACGAGTTTCGAGGTGTTATGCGAAAGGTTCCTTCACAAGGTATGAGTGCTGAATAGCTTGAAACATGCATGTCAATCGTTTGCACATTTAATGACTTTGGTAGGCGCTCATAGTCGTTGTTGTAACACTCAACGCTCCTGATACGCAAACAAAGCACCTTGGAACTACCTGCAGCTCATTCACATCAGTTTCCCTGTATCCCCCGACCATCTCCTTTTGCATTCGGTCACCGTCTCGCACATCCACCATTCTCCAAGACCGCCTTACAGCCCATTTTGCTGTCCACATTCTTTCCAAACACCAAACTCAACATTCGCTCGCGTATTCGTCCCCTAAAACTCAACACCTGTTTAATTCCTTCCCTCACCACATTGATGCATCGACCAAACTTCCTATTTTACATAATTGCTTGGGTGTTTTGATATGTCAGCCCATCAAGAGTGTTCGCGTTGGTGACCATGAGACTTGGTTTGGGCAGGTCAAGAGGATCGTCCATGGAGTTGGGAGTGTCAGCGGTGAAACACAGATGGAGCCACTTGTCTACTATGAGAGTTCTTATAGGAGTATTGGGGATGAGGTATTTATGGAGCAGGTTGAAAAGGGTGCTTTATCATTTGAAGAATGGACACATCGGGCCCATTTGAGGTACGTGGCAATTTGGATCCGGTGCTACTATGTGATATCAGTATAACTCCTTGGGAACAGAATGGCATGGATATATCTCCGAGAAGCTGGATCAAAGGAAGCCGCCTACCCGTATATAAAGTATGCGATACGCCAAATGAAGGAGTGAATGAATATCTCTGATATATCCCTGCGTCTCATTCCCAAACGCAGAAAAGCAATCTTAACTCACAATGCAACCAACGCCCACCTAATCAGACACCCATACAACGAAACGATCACAAGATTCTATCTCCATTTGATTGATCTGGCTGTACGAAATGATATCCAGTCGGGCAACACAAAGTCGAACGAACCTTGCGATCCAATTCCTGATTTTCTAGAGTTTTTATCAAAGCATCCCTTTTTGGAGGATCGATCTATCATTGGGAGATATTACAGTCCTGCAGCATTGATGAGTGATCAAGCAAAGATGACGTAATGTTCTTTCTTATGTTCTGCTTTCTTTGGATATGGAAAGCTGACTATTGTGTTATCAATCAGTTGGTTGGAGCCTGATCGAAATCCGCTGCCAAATTCATTAGAGGAGCTAGACAAACGAGAATTGGGTTTGGAAGATGCGACTCCTGGCATGTGCAGTTCCTTGGGGTGACTCGAGAAGATCAGCTTGAAGGTAAATACATCGGATAGTATTAAATCAATACATTTTAGGTAGACGTAGTTTTAGTTGGGCCTGCATTCTGGGTTGGGTATCTCCGCTTCAACTGGCGTATCGCCTCCCTTGACTCTTCGCACAGCGACTTGGTCATTGGAAAGCACATCATTTAATATACCTTTCTCACACATCGTCAACAATTCCCATGCAATTTTAATCCTCCTCGGAACAAAAAATCTTGTCATCGTATCTTGTTTGATCGCATCCTCTCTCTTTAACCCGACTAACAACCAAGGTCGAAATTCAACGTCAGGAGATGTATGGCGGAATTGGTTCAGCTCGTAGGTGAACTCCCAGAGTCCTTCAACTCCCACGTCGAAAATGGCTCGCGATGACGAAAGAGATATAGCAGGATATCCTAACGGCAGGTCAACGGTGTACTCCCGAGCACGTTCTCCTCGCCCGGTGCACGATATGGTTACACCTTGCACACGATAAAATGTATCGCTAGCCCATATCTGATAATGATTTGGTCCAAGAATCTTGGCTGCTGCGGGTTCAAAGAGAAATGATCCAACTCTTGCGGTGTCATTTGCATCAGTTGAGGAGCCACCGTGCGAGCCTGGAGACATCAACACCATCTGTACTGGTAATGGTTTTGAACGACCACAGTCAATGAGCACCGTAGCAGTAACTGAGTGAAGGTAGACTGCAATTTGAGGTCGGACAAGTGTTCTCAGTGTCCGCGACACATTGTGCATAGCGAGGAGGGAAGGAAACGTGAGGTAGGGTATGATGTGGGCCTTCAGCTCTGTAGGCAGTGCATCCCACATGTTGCCAAGCGCGAATACGCATTAACCAAGGACTCTAACCAAAGCTTTACACACCGCTACATCCAATATATATGAGTTTGACACTGTTGTGTTTTGTTTAGACTCTGACATGGGTTTCCCATGGCATATTTGTGGAAACCCGTCCGTATTTGCTAATCATTTGGGGATAACGCCTCAAAATCCCAGAATAGAGCCTGCAATCGGTCTCTCTGCAACATCTAACCCAGCACTTACAATTATATTTACAACAGGGTGCGAAAAAATAAGTATCGCATGAAATACATCGTTTAGGATCGAGTTGGAGGGGATACGAGTATTACGCTGTCGCCGCGCACGAAGAGCATTTCGTGTTGTTTCTTTACCGTCTGGATACAGCAACATGAATTGTCGCAATCGAAACAGCCCAAACTTGTTGTGCATTCACTTACTTGAACGATTTCTTCATATGTTTGTTCATTTACATCCACCACTGTAATGATTTCTTCCACGTCCCCAAGTACCATGTTCATATGCTGATCGTACGCCTGTAGCGAAAAGGACCGGGTGAGAAACGGACAAACCCATTAAAAGCTCATAGATATGTCTTAGTTACATGCAATCGGCCACTTAATTCCCGGTCACCCCGCATTTTGACGTACACACGTTCGTCGAGGGAAAGCCGGACCAAGTCTAGTGGCTAATTGAACACATATTTTCAGTTAATATACATTCTTTGCCGTCCTAACTTCTCCGGTACATTATCCAGCACACAACTTACTTCGGTTGTCTCGCGTGCTTCTGGGGGTATTGCAGCGGTGCCTACTTCTGCCATCTTGCTTTTACAATTTGGGACTTGGGTTGGCTTGCAAAGGAGAACGTCAGTTCAGATCTGGACGACCGTGCGGCACAATCACGCAAGTGTTGTCTAGGAAACATATCACGTGAGCCTATCGGACAACCGGACACTCCGGACATCTTCAGACTTCTTTTACTCGCAGCACTTCCGTCCAAACCCTCCGCACTCATCGTACAGCACCTTCCCCAACTATCTATCGCTACCTTTGCCACAATGCTTGAAGCCCGCCTTAGCCAAGCTGCCATCCTCAAGAAGCTCTTAGACGCTATCAAGGACCTCGTCACAGAAGCCAATTTTGACTGCAATGACTCGGGCATCGCCTTGCAGGCGATGGACAACTCGCACGTCGCCTTGGTAGCTCTCCTTCTCCGTTCACAAGGATTTGAACACTTTCGATGTGATAGAAACCACTCCCTTGGTATATCTTTGGCGAGTTTGAGCAAAGTACTACGAAGCGCGGGCAACGACGACACCTTGACCATCAAGAGCGAGGAAGATGGTGACACTCTGCAACTGGTTTTTGAGAGTCCAAGTAAGTATCTCTGTGAAGAGCACCCTATCATGAAGCTTGTGATTTGTCCGATTCATTGTTGCTCGCTTTGCATCCGCTAATTCTGACCATTTTGTGCCCACCCAGATGTTGATCGCGTCAGTGAATACGACTTGAAGCTTATGGATATCGACAGCGAACACTTGGGTATCCCCGAAACGGCTTACGATGCTGTCGTAAAACTCTCGTCCGCCGAATTCCAACGTATCTGTAGAGATCTGATTATCTTGAGCGAGTCGGGTACGTGCGACACACAGAATCCTCTTTGAAGCAGCCGTGTTTCTCATTCCAATCTGCTGTGTTACTAGTCACGATTGAGGTGGATAAGGAAGGCGTAAAGTTCCAAGCTGCTGGAGAAATCGGCTCAGGTTCTATAAAACTCAAGCAAGGAACATCGGTTGACGACGATGAAGCAACTGCGACTTCAATTGAGCTCAACCAAGCGGTAGCCCTCACCTTTTCTCTCAAATATCTCAGCAACTTTACCAAGGCGACGCCTCTTTCTGACACCGTAATCTTGTCCATGTCCAACGAAATACCCTTGTTGGTGGAGTACAAGGTCAGCGACGTCGGTTACATCCGGTAAGTTCGTCGGTCGAGCAAAAGGATTTGTAATTACTTTTGAATCTTTGCTTATGATTTTACTTTCCTTACAGATACTATTTGGCGCCCAAGATTGGCGACGACAGCTAGGGAGATTTCTGAACAGGAAGGCAAACTGGATCTATTGGGTATCGGAATGGGTTGGGCGTGGTAGTTTATGTAATTTGTAATTACAAGATTTTTCGAGAATGGTTTGAGAATTGACGTTGCTAGATTCTATGTTTGCATTTTGTTTCTGCGTCTGTTATTTCCGAAAAAATCATGCGAATCTCCTGAAAGACCGCCGAAAAGGTCGGTCGATGACGCGACCGAGAAGGTAATGTCGGATACTACCAACAGGTCAGCCGTACCCCGAAAGCCAGCATCAACAACATGAGACGAATCTTACTTGAAGGCGCGGTATGCTTTGGATATTTCTGCCCGTAAACAAAGAATCGATAATACCTGAGAGCAGGTAATGGGTTCGCAGTCTGCAGGCAAAGAGAAGGTCAAATTCTAGTGACAATTAGGTCTACACCGCCGCTAGTAATATCATACCTGCTCCAAAGATATCTATATTGGTAGAAGATGGAATCGAGTCCCAATGGGACGCTCTGTAATAGGAGCGTCATCCTGATATCACTCAACCTGCCGTCGATCAGAACTGTTCCTCCTCACCTTCATGGCCATGTACACACTTTTTGGCGAAGCGGCCACTTTCCTGCTCACTGCTTGTGATTGAAATACCAGTCTTTTCCACCAAGCCTTTTTGCATATATAACTGGGCGAGCATACTTCAAACGTGATACCAGCTACAGCTCCACGTCAATATTCATGCAGACGTTGTTGACGCTTTAAAAACAAACCTGGTAACCGCTTCGGATCCTTGAATCTTAGCATGATGGCAAATAAGGGGAAATGGTTTACCATCGCCAACATGATTTCGAAAACAGCTTGCATTAGCACGATTGTCAGCCGGACCTAATAGAAAAAGGTTGCATTCTCAAACAAAGAGGCCATATCGACGCAGGAGTGTCCACACGTACCAGCGAGAAAAGGATGTAATAAACCGCCACAGTTGGAAAAAGGAAGATGAGAAGGGTGAAAACAATGGTTCCTAGTAATAACTGGTCGAGACCATATTCCGCTGTGTCTATGCGGTTACGCAAAACGTTCTTCTTTTTGCCTAGATTAAACAAATAATGCTGAATAAGTCCCTCCGGCCTTTCTTGCGGGTATTCTGTTGGCAACCATATTCACCTACCACGAAAGAGAATGAATAGCGATAAGATGCCTTTCACTTGCCAGTAGTAGATCTTTGAGGCAACAATATAGCACAGATGTAAATGCAAGGTGACAAGGGACAGAAGATCAGAGAGTAAAGATATTGGCATCGCTACGCCGAGGACTCCACACATTCCGATCACGTAGATGATCTCTGGAAGGAATTGACGTAGTATGAAAATCCAGTCTAAGAAACAGCGGTGGCATTTTAGCAATCTCTGAGGAGAAGTATCAAAAGAAGTATGTGTGTACCGCTCCACAACACCATGAGCTCCAGAAACATTTCGCCCAAGAAGGAAGTGAGTTCACTGTTCAGCTTTAACCCGGCAGGTGCCCCCATCAGCCAGGAGATCATACTACGTGTAGTTCCGAGTGTGTACATCTTTGCGCATCTATCGTCAGTACTGCATAGCAGTTGGAAGGGAATCTTGCATAACTAACCGATATACCAGAGTCTATCAGTTGGGCAATGGCCTTCGAGTTTTCCATCAGGAAGGTCCCAAAAGCGACGCCAACAATAATGTCATTTGCAACGAGCCAGACAGTGTTGTAGAAACTAGCATTTGTTCGTTATATGCTGGTACATGACCTGCAGTTAAGAGTGTTGAGGGCAACTCACCCAATATATCGCGCTTGAGCAAGTCTCGAAAGTTTTTGTGGAGAACGTCGCCAATTTATATATTGCAACGGCCAGTAACACGCTTGCTGTAGTCGGAGATCCACCTGTTGTGCTTTAGCTCGACGATGAATATTGGATTGCGCTCCGCTCAGTACTCGGTGGGACTATGCCTCTAGATACCTGCAGCAGATAAGTCTTTCAGCGCAGTGCCTTGAAACAGCCACGCAGGAAACCTCGCATTAAGCATCCAGATAAGTAGGAATGCCGTAGCTCGTAGAATTGTGGTCACGAGTAAGATGAATCGTCCGATATACTGAGCAAATGGCGCGCGGAAAATTCGTGTACCAGCAGCCCAAATAATTGACGCACGAGAAGGGTTGGCATGTAGGAGTCGGCTGAGTGCTCTCTCGAGGGAAAAACACAGATTGACCTGAATTCAAGAAGCTGGTCATTACTCTTACTCCGGACTAGCCCACATCTGTGTACGCGATCATATTCGATGATGCAAACCTGGTGCAGCAAGATCTCTAAACACTCCACACGTCCACTCGACCTTTCCTCCACAAAGAGTGACTGTATCTGCTGCGACAACTTACGACCGGTCCGCGGTATTACTGACGGTGGTGCCGTGTTTATTTCCACTTCCGTCTTGACAGATGTAAGCTCGTCTCGGACGGTGGTGAGATCCAGAATCAATGGATGGAGGGAATAATATTGCAATGCTCTGGCATTGGGACGGGCGAAGTATATTATGTGGACAGTGGTGTCCTTTAAACATTCACGGTCTTGATAGCAGTAGCTTGAGAATGTGGACGGGTCAACACTAGGCATCCAGAAAGCGCCAGAGATACGAGATGAGGGTACCTGGGGAAGGGTATTCCGTCACTATTCATTCTTACGATAACCAGGACATGCCCTAATAATGAATGATCGAAATCTACGCATCCGTTGGTCAATGGTGATATATTCTGGCCACCCAATTTGCGGGCCAAGTTCTTACTTGACAGCAGATTTTCTACATCCTCACGTCTCACATCTATGCCCCATCCACATAGTCCAATCAACTTGGGTGGTATTTCCCTGCTGGCTTGTTTTGCAATATAGCTCTTCAAAGTTTCTTTCAGAGTTGGTGGGAATACTGTTGAGACACAGAGGGAAGACGAGCCGGTTGACCACCCCACCAAGTATCCGATTCCCTTTGGGGTGATATGTGCGCACTTTTGAAGATCGTCAGGCCAGAATAGCTTGACGAGCATGCTTGTTTTGGTACGCTTCACGCGAGAATCACGACCATGTGCTCCGCCCTTTTGGGACTTGCTTCAACTTTTGCTTCGCGGGACTTGGGTAGGAATTTGGTTCCTGGGGAGCCACGCATGTATATCAGCTCATCACGCTGTAAGTGAGAGCGATGTGTTTTGCTACCTTCCCTTCTGCTTCTCGTGCCGCAATTCTATCCAACCACAAAACGATTGCAACAAAAATAATAAACCACCAAGTGATGCTCAGCAGTGATGAATTGTCGTACATTTGTCAAAACGAGTATTTAAGTATTATTGATGAATAGTCTAGATGCAGATTGTGAATGCCATCCTTGCTGACAGCGATCTACAAAGTTCAAAGGCTTGTCTCGCAACGCGTCCAAACTCCACCTGGCCCCACCAAGCCTTTCAACCAGGAATGCTACGAGTCTATAGGCCACCATTGCAGGTCAGCCAGTATTCATAAGATGATGGTATTTGGGTAACACCTTGTTATATATAAAGTCAATACCAAATATGATATCCTTGGCCACAAAGCAAACACAGTTACCTCCCGCAAATACTCCAAATGTCTTGAATGCAAGTTGGCCTGCAACCTATTTGATTTGGTTTGAGTTCTGGCCGTATGACTTTCTCCAAATATCACAGTATCATTCGGTACGATCTGGTTTGGCCGTGTATGGCATTTTGCACCGATCACAGAGTTATCGCCTAATGTTGTTCCGACGGATACGTATGCTCGCGCTTCGATTGTGCAGCCGCTTCCGACAGATGAGCCTTCGAATGCTGGTTATCGTTCAGGATGCTGCACATCATGATGAATATATTGAAAGTTCAAAGCAGAGTTGACATACTGCATCCAATTTGAAATACGTTCTCGTCACCAATCACCATCTTTTGTCTTCCCCTGTGCAATGAACGGATCCCAATTCAGTATCTCCTCATGGCCTCAAACCGGACATTGGGCAACAGTAGGACCTGTTGACTATGATAGCACTCTCCTCAACAATGTTTCCCCGGCCAAATACAATTTCTCCTCCTCCTTCGCTTCTTATCACACATTTAGGATGAATAACATTGTCTGGACCGAACGTTATGGGACCCTCTAGAATGGCATCTTCACAAATGACGGTGCTAGCTGGCGACGAGATGGACATGAGGAATCATGAAGGTGTGGGTTGAACGAATCAGAAAGTCAAAGAGGCGAGGCGGTTGAACGACGCGTCCTGATCGCGTCTCATAAACTGAGTTTCCTCGTTCTCCACCTGCCAACGTCCAAACGAGTCCTAGGGCAATGGCTTCCAACTCTTACTTTGTCATAATTGGAACACGAGACAACCCACTGTACGAAGCCGAATGGGGTCCACAAGCGCGGGGTGAAGGTGGAAAGAAAGAGGAGCATAAGCATTTGAATCAGTTCATTGTCCATGCGGCACTGGATGTTGTGGACGACTTGATGTGGGGAACGAACTCCATGTGAGTCTTTACAGGACCACTGACGATGAACTTTACCGTGGTGTTGTGGAGAGTACTGTTTGCTAATGTGAACCCTGCCCATGAATAGGTACCTTAAAGTGGTAGACAAGTTCAACGAATGGTACATTTCGGCGTATATAACAGCGAGTGGTGCGTACGGCGCATGTTGTCCAACTTCTCCGATGGCCGGTTATATGGATAAAACGTATTCGGTTCCTTGTACTTGGTCATGATGGCAGGTGTCCGTTTCATGCTCTTACACGATGCAGCAAACACGGACGGAATACGCAATTTCTTTCAAGATACCCACGAACTTTACATCAAGGTATACGATTGGTCTAATCTGTTGCGTAAAGTAGAGGAGCTGAACTGATCTCCTACCTAGACACTCTTAAATCCCTTTACCGAAATTAACGCACCAATAACATCGGCATCGTTCGATACAAAAGTCCGAGCTTTGGCGCGGAAATGGCTGTAAATATCATACCCATTACTTTAATATCCATATCAAAGCTGCAAAGGTTGTTTTTCATAACTGTATTGTAAACATGCCACCTCGTCCATCCCTCATTGTTCCTTCCTGCGCCTTCAACCCAACTCTATGCAAATAATCCCGTATCGCTGGTAATACTTTAGCCTTCTGTCCACGACTGTGATGGCCTGTTCCCGTCACCGCTACTACATGTCCTCTGAAATGCTCTCTTCGCAGCTTTCCAATCGTAACTTCAAGCATCTCCACAGCTTCTGTTGGATGGAGACCGTGTAAGTCGATCATATGGCCTGTAGTATCTGAATTTGTCCCCGCTTTGTTACGCTCTTCAAAGATGCGCACACCAGCTTGTCGATGGAGTTCTTGGACGCGTTCGTTGAGACGGTGTGCACCGAGGGAAAAGGCTTTTGCAGCGGCCTTGTTGCCGGAAAGGTAGGCTTCGGTGGCTCTATAGGAAAAGTGATGAGGATGGCACCATCTGTCAGGTTTAAAACTTCTTTCCATACCTTTGAAACAGTTTATTTCGTTGTATGGCGGCGTCAATTGCTTCCTGTCTATATCGTGCATACATGGCAGCAAGTGTATCACCCGTTGACACCCACTTTGCTTCCACCAATTTTGTCGACCTACGATGAGATGTCATAGGATTCTGTGCAGACTGTTTTGCTGCCACAATAGCAGGTTGGACAGCAGGCTTTTTCTTGGCGACGTCCACAAACTTTTGGGTCGGTCCCCAAAAATCGATTTTGGGCGCTTTTTTGGAAGCCGACGGTGTCAGCGCGGGAAAATCTTCACCGCCCAATGATTGCCGTGGGCTTCCGGTCGAAGTTTGAGCAGTCTGAGCAGTCATGGACTCGATCCTTTGCACCAGTTCATTCCCATGTGTAAATAGGCACTGGTCCCCTTTCATACACGTTCCGCTCAACCAGAATTTGCACACCATTGCCTCCGGGTCATGACTAAACCAACAATCACTTCGCAGACATCGCCCTGCTAGGAAATGTCTGCAAACTTGCTTGCCGGGCTGGGTAAATGGCTGTACGATCGAATTGCCGGTACCCTCTGATTGTGTCGGTAGTGGGGAGGAAGAAGGAGCGGGCGCTGGTGGTCGAAGAATAGCTTCAACAGTTTTTTCGACGCTATATCCATTTGCAGCCAGCATATTCTGAATCTCATCAACGGGCAGATCCATGAATACCGATTGGAGGATTTCTTCTGGAGAAAAAGAATTGTATCCCTCCGACTCTTCATAGTCCAAATATGCAGCATCCCCATCTTCGCCAATATCATCAGTATCACTCGTGTCCAATCGCTGAAAGCTCACTTCCAACTCGGACCATCCACCGCCCAAGGGAGTAAATTCGGGTGCATCGACTTTGAAAACAGATTTCGTTGCTGCTTTCTTGGGGAGTGAGGTAGGTGCTGGTGGTTCAAGGGGTATATCATCTTCAATCAAACTATCCACTCCACGCATCTCGAAAGTGTCCAAGACATCCCGCACGAACTTCTCGGCGGGTTTTGGTCCCAAGATTTCTTCCGAAATTCCCAAAAGTGCTTCGCATTTTTCTACAGCGTCCAAAGGACCCTGAAGAATGTTTTTGACATATGGCTCGTAGGAATAGGGAAGCCGGTTCTGAGCCAACAGATTTCGCAGCCACATTCCCCTCCCGTTCAATGGTTTGAATTACAATGCAGTTTGCCCATTCTCCAGAAACCCCAGGACAAACGTCAAATCGCGTTCATCACGTGATCTATCCGTTAGTAAGCCTCTGGTAATTCCAGATTAAAAGCACATGCAACAAGAAAAAGCCTTTGGCACACGGCCCTAAACTGCATTGCCTGCGAATCCTAGATGCAAGAAAGACCAGCTTCATTTAGCTCAAGTCGTAGTTGCAACTATTCATTCATCAGATTGGAACTGGTTCCTGGTAGGTCAACGAGTATAAACAAACCATATCATACAATTGAACGACGAGGGGCGTAGTTCGCACACTTTTGCACACAAATAATCTCCCCCAAAACGACAATTACGCGTACACACACATCAACTCGCACTTCTATCCACACCTCGAATGTTTGATACAGTTCTACTCTACATTCGACTGCTTCAAGCTAGACCGACCCGCCCTCATCATTTCATCCACTAGCAAGAAGTTACTTGCAATGACGGCACTAACAACAAGACGCTCTTGGTTAATTATGTTCCTTCAAGGCAAAGGATCAAGCTAGAAGCAGATGGAACGCTAATCCTTACCATGAGTGCAGCATGTGACGGTGAACGCGGTAGTTGTCCCAGATACCCTCAGCTACAGGATCCAAAGTCTCACCAGTTGTAAGATCAATTCCCACAATGTGACCAGCGGCATATTCCTCCTATTGGCAGTACCTAGCGTTAAACCCTGATTGATTATTATCCACACACTCATACTCACCTGGAGGGCTACAAGAACATCTTGCACGTCAAATCCTCCATTCTGGGCTAGCACCTTGGGAATAATCAACATTGCATCCGCAAACGCTTGGACACCCATCTTGGGCCGACCTTTCACGCTGTCCTTGAACTTCATCAAGTGCGCATGCAGCGCAATCTGGAACGCACCAGCGCCAGGAACAAGATGCTCGTCCTCAATCGCGTTTTTCACGGCACGCAGACCGTCCCGAATAGCGTCATTAATTTGAAGGAGTGTATGGGCGTTGGGACCTGGATGGGAAAAACGGAAGGTTAAGTGATGAAAATCAAATGCTCATACATCAAAAATAACTAACCAGTCATCAAAATAGTGACTGATCGTGGGTTCTGCACTTCCTCTACAAAGGTGAACTTTTCCTCTCCCAACACGTGTTCGTACACAAGGCCGGCATGACCCAAGATGTCTGGGGTCAGGTCGTCTACAGAGTTTTGAGCAATACCCCCGCAGCACAGTTGAAGCCTAAAGTCCCGTTTGTAAGCAAGGCGCAGTAAACTACTGGGCAAGCAATCGAAAGATGCTACCTTTCCATGTTCCTTCGCTTAGCACGACGCAACGCCATAATGCCATTTTTCGCCAATACGTCCAGAGACAAGGGATCGATACCCTTCTGGTTGATGACGATGAAGCCCTTCTTGTTCCCGTCGCATACTTGCTTCTTCAGCTCCACAACCTTTGCCAGTTTTTGGTCCACAAATCTCCTCTCGGATTCTACCAACTTCTCTCTTTGTTCAGCGCTACTGTAGAAGAACCCAGAATTGATTTCACTAGACAATGACATTGTCACGGGTGAGATCAATAAAATTTCCAGACGTTCGACCATGGAAAAAAATAGACGGTACCTCTTCTCGTACTCCAGTGACACGTTCAAGGTCAACACAAAGGCGTCCTCAACCCGCTTTGGCATGTCTGGATGCCGTGCACCATGGTCTAATACCAGACCCTTCACTAATCTAGTGTCCGTGTCGCTCTTGTGCATCATCTTCATGATCTCAACCATGTGGAGATCAATTGGCTCGCCTTCCTTACGAATGCAGAGTACCGCGTCGACAACCGCTTCCATCAAAGCATCAGCCAGTTCTTGGCGAACTTTGGTCCGTAGAGACGTCCGTGCAACGTTCAGCAATGTTTCACGATCAATTTCCTGCTTAATCTTAAACTTCTCCAAAAACTGTTGGGAAATACAGCCGTCAAGATCAGGCAAAAATTCCGAATGCTCATTTTGGAGTAGAAGTTACCTCAAGAGCTTCTTTCTTGGCAATATCAAATCCTTCAGTGATCACACGTGGATGCAATCCCTCAGCGATGAACCTCTCGGCTTGCTTCAAAAGTTCGGCAATAAGCAATACATTGGAAGTTGTTCCATCACCGGTAACATCATCTTGCGCCGTAGCGGCCCGAGCAATCATCGCTGCCGTGGGATTCTGGATTTGCTGTTTACGCGGACTTCAGGTTTAGTGATTTGAGCGATGCACCACGCGATCTCTTGTAACTTACCATTTCCGTGAGGAGCACCTTACCATCCTTGGTGAGCTTAATATCACCCGCACCACCCACAAGCCTAACAAAGACACGGTTATTGATCGCGTCGCAAACGTCTGCGCAGACATAGATCACAAGTCCTCACATCTTCTGAGTACCCTTCGGCCCCAAGTTGCTCCTCAATACATCCTGCAGACCTCCCGCGGCAGTGATGTTAATGCTGAGGGCCTGCCCTTGGCGAGCCACCTCGGCTTTTGGGTTAGCAAGCTGTATTGCTGATGACGACCTAACATGAACCGCGGTATCAGATGTGATTGCCATTACGTGTCAGCTACCGTGTCGAGCGATCTTACATGGTGGCTAATAGAGTTACAGGGGACTGCAAAAGAGAAGAACACCAAGCTAAAATACAAGGAAGGACGATGTGCCAGGGATGGAATTCACGGGGGAATGAGCGAGGTGGTGGTCTCCCAGTTCTTTCTTGTGCAAGGTTTCGGACACGCCAGACATTGCATTTTCGATTGGACTCCTGGCCTTGGACGCGTTTATTACCATGGCAACCAAATTACTAAGCCATCTGGACGACATCTTGTTTCGCTGACAAAACTTGCAACTTATAAAGAGTTTTGAAGCGTCCTAGCAAAGACAACGTTTGAACCATGGCAGGAGAAGAACCGGCACCGGTTGCGTTCTTCAAGCGTGGGAAAAAGGGATTGGCGAATCAACGAAAACGAATACGGCTGTCCGATGATGAAGATGACCAGCCAGACAAGGTCACAGATGCTGCAACTGTTGCACGAAAGCTACGAGAAAAGACCAGCGGAGCGTTCACCTCAACTACTGCAAGTAAAAAGCGAAAGGAGGAAGCTGATATTTCAGGGGCCGATGAGAGGTCGGTTCTCGACGTTGCTTATGCCGCGAGTGGGACGGCAGCGTCGCTGAGCGCGGACATGGCGACCCGTACGCTGGACGTTGACGGCAAGGAAGATGTAGCGCCCGCAAAGGTGCTCGCTGGGGACGAAGCAGAGTCAGCAGATAACATATACCGTGGACTCTCAGCATACAAAGAGTATGTGAACAAGCGCACGGATACAGTCACACAATCGAATGCATCACGTATTCGCGCTGGCCCATTGCGTGGATCGACGAATGTTCGTATCAGTTGTCGATTCGATTACCAGCCCGATATTTGCAAAGATTACAAGGAAACAGGGTTTTGCGGGTACGGGGATTCATGTAAATTTATGCACGACCGAGGAGATTACAAGAGTGGGTGGCAGTTGGACAAGGAGTGGGAGGAGAAGCAGAAGCAGGAGAATGATCCAAATCGGTTCTTGATTACGAGTGATGATGAGAAAGACGAGGATGAAGACGAGGATGAAGACTTGCCGTTTGCATGCGTGATATGTCGAAATGATTTCAAGGAACCTGTCGTTACAAAGTACGTTCTCGTTATCATGTTCATCAATTGGACTTGCGGACTTACCTAATCCCCTCTATGTTTCCAGGTGCAAGCACTACTTTTGCGAATCCTGCGCACTCAAACATCACGCGAAAAGCCCAAAATGCTTTATTTGTGGATCGGCGACTCAAGGACTGTTTGCGCCTGCCAAGGAGCTAAAAGCCAAACTTGAAGAAAAGAAGCGGAGAATGGCGGAAAGGGAGGCAGAGATTAGGGCTCAGCATCAGGAGGATATGGAGGATGAAGACGAGTCAGACTAGTTTGTAATAACCGGCAGTTTTGTATTTATTTATATTTTTAATCCTGTACATAGTTGCGATACTTTTCATATCCAGTCGTTGTATTAACCTCCTGCGCAGACCCCAGTTGTCTCCCCTTGCACACCACGTGGTTTGATGCGCCTCATTTCCGCCAGGCGGGCGGCTGAGACGTTTCACATGTCACGTGTTATAGCTTTTGTTGTTGTCCTTTGACTGTGGCTCGCCCCAAAGGTTGAAGGCTATTTTCTTTTGCCACCTGCAAGCAGTAAACGGGACGCAAGGATTTGGTGCTGACGACGAGGTTGATTATCGTTCGGCGGAACGGTCCGCGCTCTCCTTGTCTTTTTATACGACGCAAATGGACGGCATTGCAACTGAACAAGCACCTCAACAAACAACAAACACAACCTTATCGCACAATACAGCCAACAACCCTCCAAGTGTATCCCAAACCCTTACGCTTTCCCACCTCGCGGCTCCTACGGCTGCTTTCGTTCACCTCGTCGCTGCTGCTGCCGCTGCAGCGTCAGTTCACAACTCTACTTTGACAACGCAACAGCAGCAAGCACTTACCAACCCGCAAACGGACCCGCATCCTGCAAAAATTCACGACACGATGGTTACAACACCTGGGATTGTTCATCCGCTACAAATCGGCGCTCTTGCACATTTGCAACATCAACAGCCGTCCTCAGCAAATACATCAGGAATGTCTGCACTGCAGCAGCAACAGCAACAACAGCACCTTACTGAGCCGAAACAAGAACCTGATGCTAATTCGGACGGAGGAGTGAACGCAAATGCAAAAGGAAATAAGAAGCGAAAAGGCGCATTAAACAAGCGAAAAGTTTCGCATGCATGTGTTTACTGCAGACGAAGCCACATGACTTGCGGTGAGTCCTGGGATGCGCACACGAGAATGACGTTGGCTCTCTGCGCGAAACTAAATTTTGGTTATTTAAGACGACGGTCGACCTTGTCAGCGTTGCATCAAACGAAAGATTGCCCACTTGTGTCATGACGATTACAAAACCAATGCTACGCGGACCAACAGACGTCGTTCAGTCCAACCGCCAAGTTCCGTTATTGTCACATCTCCTCCCTCAACCGCAGCCATCCACGAGTCCTCTGATTCCTCTTCACCCGCTTCTACCCCGCCTCCTCCTATATCCGCCCCGATAATGACCGCAACCACTTCACAACCGCAACAGACAGCCTCTTTATCAATGTTGGATCCTGGCCTAGCGGAAGATCTGGTCGGCTTACCATCGGATCGGGACTTGACAGCTACGGTCGCAAATGCTTTAGCTACCCTTGACCCAGTAACTATGGCACCGGCATCTACATCTGCGCTCGCCTTGGATACTGCTTTTACATTTGCGAGCATGTCGGCATTCCCTCCTGTTTTTGCTAGCGAAAGCATGGGGCACGAATTTGCCATTATCTCGGACTTTCTTGCAAGTTGGGATGGGACGTTTGATGGTACTCTTGATCCTTCTCTTGTTGACATGGATTTGGTTGATATGTCTGCACCAGGAAGTGGTTATGCAACGCCATTGGGAGCTGCGTCGTCAACTACATCTCAAGAGTCACTTTTAAATGGGACGAAACTGAGCAGCGCTGAGCGATTCATTCTCACGGCTGCTGACCCGAAAGACGGACCATCCGAAGACCGTCTTCGGTCGGTCATTAGTGCAAAGATTGAGGCTGGACTTCTCAAGCCCTACAACTATGTCAATGGGTACACTCGCCTTCAAAAGTGGATGGACTCTCACATGCCCGCCCCTTCCCGTCAGCGAATTCTCAATGTGATGGGGATATTCAGACCTATGTTTCGTTCCGTCGCGCAATCTCTCACCGATTACGATCTGGTTTTGGTGGAAGAATCTTTTGAGCGTTTACTCCTCGAGTACGACCGCGTCTTTTCGTCAATGGGAATACCGGCATGCTTGTGGAGGCGTACAGGCGAGATATGGAAGTCCAATAAGGAATTTGCCTCTTTGGTTGGAATTCCGATTGAGCAACTACGAGAGGGCAAAACGTGTATATATGAGTTGATGAACGAAGACAGTGCTGTGAATTATTGGGAAAAATACGGCAATATCGCTTTCGATGCTGGACAAAAGGCGGTTTTGACGAGTTGTGTTTTGAGGAATCCGGCGGATGATCCGGCGCCGGATGGAGACGGACTAGTGCGACATAAGGGGAAGGAAGTTCAATGTTGTTTCAGCTTTACAATTCGACGAGATCGGTATAATATTCCATTACTGGTAATTACAGATTGTTGTAGTTGGAGGAGACCATATGTATTTTCTAACCTTGCCTCATTAGATTGCTGGAAACTTTCTCATTGCGTCATAGAATGAGAGATGAGATTATATTTGCAAAGCCCTACTCGGCAATACCCAGAGAAAGACGTACATAGAAGCTGAGGGATGACGGGAATGCTGCCCGCAAGGCAACCGTACACACACTAGATGGACAACATCAACTTTTTTATTTGTACATAGTGATTGTTGGCTAGCAATAGTTGCTAATAAAGAAAGGAGGGCACGCGGGGCAGGCCAAGCGAAGCTCTCCTTGTGTTCTGCGCTTTCGATCGTGGTGAATTTCCATTTGCATGCTTACCATAAAAGGAATGTGCTAAGCTATGGCGCAGTAAGCAGTTCTCATTGGCTGTAATTTTTTTGTTCCAAGCCACATGCCTTGGGGTATAAAAGGCGGCTGCTCCCAATCCCCTCGATATTTCTTTACTTGTCTTAGGATTAACCTTCGACTCGCAACACATTATCTATACATATCACCCAATGATGAGAATTCGCGCTAAACAGAACTTGTTTTCTGAGTTCCGTGACAGATAGCGGAGGGTGTAACTGTCAGATATTCTTGTTTCTCTCGAGTGCTTGGTCTGAAAGTGGAAAATATACCCTAATTCACACCGAGGTAATCGAGCGCTAAAGTCGTTGTAGATTCGCACCATTTTGCAGACGTGTTGTATTTTATGGACACGGAACTTTTCCTGAGGGTGCGTAGAGGAGAAAACCAGGGTGTATGTTTCGCTCTTGGAGGGGCGTGCGTACATTCGCATCTTTGCAGCAGTTGAAGAATACTTTTTTTTGGCCTTTGACTCTAGTAGGATGCAGACATTTGTTTGATGCACTTGTTTGAATCATGTTTGGCGAGATTTTAAATTCAATGCCATGTTTGCAAGAAGGAAAATGGCGTGAGACAAGCTGTATTGCTCATCAGAATCTCCTTGTTGATGCATGTCAAATTCCAAAGTGAAAAACATAACCAAATTTTGGACGCCCGCTATCTCGCCATTAACGATGCGATGAGCAGCGATTTGAGCTTGTTCCATTTTCCCACAACTCGTAAGCACAGGATTTACTGGCAATTTGGGGTTTTGCCCGTATTCGCAATCTGCTAGCAAGAGTGTGTGCATTGCAGAGCCGCTCTCTGCTGCTGTCTTTGAGGCGTAGTCTCTCCGCAATGCCAAAAGGCGGAGCTGGGCCGTCATTTTACACATGCGTCAAAGATAACGATGCAGCCTCTGCGCTCAATCTCATTCAGTCCCATTTCCAACAGCAACAATCCCCGGCGTTCCCCCAAACCTTCCGGTCCCACGTACGCACTCACGAGGATCCTGTAGCATTCATACTTGATATTGCTGCAAGCATTCAGTTGAAAGAATGCACGCTGAGAGAGCAACGCAAAGTCTTACGAGGACTCGGGGAAGTTGTGGGAAAGTTGTACTTGAGCGAGGATTGGACGGGCTGGATGAAGGACCAAATGAAAGAGAGAAAAGATGAAAAAACTAAAGTACTCGAGGAACTTGACGGTAAGAACTCAGAAGACCAGTACCCCAAACGACAGAAAACCGAGCGTGCCGTTAAGAGAATTGACGACGACATTACCCCAGCGTCAACAGCTCTCCGAACTACAAATACCAAGCGATTGCTATCCCTCCTTGCAAATTATACCGAATCGCCGCTCCTTTGCCTCCTAATCCCTCCTTTCGGAATCGCATTCAATGTATCTGACCATCGATTACTGGGGCGCTCTCTTTTCGAACGTCTTTTAGCAATAGGAGCCCTTGCAGAGTGCGTGATGCTTGCAACCGACTATGGATTTTATCCCTATGTCGATCATCGGGCATTACTACTTCAGTTGGCGAGAGCAGAGGACAAGAAGAGCATAACTGTTTTGTTGGCCGGCTATACGGACCGCTTGATAACCTTTTGCGAGTTGATGGAGGAGATGTGTTCGCAAGAGTTGAAAACTATAGATCACATGCTAGGTTCGGGACATTTTGTCGGAACAGAGCATAGAATGCTCTTGAAGCAATACGCCAAGGCGGGATCTGATATTATGGCCAAGCACCGGATTGACCCTGACGCGAATTATCATTCTGTGGCAGCTGCAAGCCGACTCATGACAGTGACTTGGCTTCTGCACGAAGTCGATTTGCTCATCTTTTCTTCTCCCAACCTGGACCTTGCAGAGCTCGAGGATTATACTGATATATTTGAAACAGTGGCTACAGCAGGGTCATCGAAGCGCTGGAAAACTGTGCTGAGTAAGCTTTTTGTGGGCCATTTTATGCGGTACGAGAAGACAAGACTTTATGGTGCCTTTCTATCCGAGTTGCTGCAAGTACGAGATTTTTATGGTCAAATGACAAAAGTCACTGTGGAGCCAACACCGGAATTTCATTCCGTCCCGGCACACGGAAAGAAGATGGACATGTACCTATCGGATGTGCCAGTGGAGTTTGTGAATACGTTAGAAAAACTTGAGGTTTTGAACGGACTGATCTCTGAGCGAGTCGTCAAAGTCGGAATTGACTGTGAATGGGCGCCGACGGCATTAAGAATCACTGCGGATACAGCACCACCGGCTATCCTCCAGATTGCATTAGATTTAAATGATGCAGACGAAACGAGTCCCGTCAATTCCGCACCACGCAGAATTTGCCGGATTCTCGATCTTATCCACCTTCCGCGCAAGGATCTATCTCGCACCCTCGAACGTCTTTTCACTAGCCGCACCATCCTTAAATTGGGCTTTGACTTCTCGCATGATCTCTCCCTCCTCCGCACCATCTTCCCGTCTCTTCCACCACTTGCTCAAATCCCGCGGTTTGAAGACTTGTGCAAGTATCCCGTCAACGGTAACAACCCTACCAAAAAGCACAAAAACAGCTTGAAGAAGATGGTGGAGCTGATACTCCATAAAAGGTTGGACAAAACTGTGAGAATCAGCAACTGGGAGAGAAGACCATTGAGAGCTAGTCAATTGAGATATGCTGGTATGTTTGTCATACGAGATCGCGTTGGCGGCCTGGGTACTGATGGCTTTCTCCATTGGCAGCTAATGATGCTATTGTGCTATTGGATTTGTATGATAAATATCAGACCGAGAAGGTGTCTGACGTGAAGCCTGTTAATGTTTGATGATAATTTTTGTATATAGGTGAGATAGCTTTTATATCTGACGAATCGGTCACATTTTTCTTTGCTGTCAACGTTACTCTACACCCGTTTTGTTTGCATCTATATAGCCGCCCTGAGTAAATCACAAACCTTTTTATGTTCACCCCAATTCTTGACCTGACAAGGTCTCGAGCAGTACCATTCGCTTTTACACCTCGAGCACCGTTGTGTAGCAGTATGCGTTGACCGGTTTGGACAATCGGGGTTGGCACATTTCGGTGCATCAGGCAAAAGTGTCGAGAGTGTCGGGTGAGTATATGTTTCGGCAAGTCTGACGAGGAGAATGATATGTTGGTATATTTCATCGTCATTGGCCGCGCATTACAATGTGCCAGTTTACCCTTTGACAGTTTCTTCATCATCATCTACCAGTCTCGTCAAAGTACTCTCACCAATCTTTTCCAGGTCCACATTCCGCAAAATCCCTTCCATGACAAGAGGCACTTCTTCCACAAATCCGGTCAACAATGTACCGGTTGTCCCTGGTTCGGGGGGAGTGAAAAGGGAGAGTTCTTCGAGGTATCGGAGTAAGGAGGTCAATGGGGGAATTTGGTCGAGGACGGTTGCCGTGAGGTGTGGTTTGAGCTTTTGGGTAGCGATGAGTTTTGCTTCAGGATGAGGTACGGCGATGAATGGAAAAACCTACTTTGAGAACAACCGCATGGTTGTGGGTGTTGAATTGGTATTTTTGGCGGCATTCATCGGTAAGAAGCAAGTTGTATAGTGCTAGCCATGTCTAAGGGAGGCAAGTATTCACGTCTTTGGCACCATACCGATACACGAGGCGTAATGCACATGTCCACCCACCTGCGCTTCCCATCCGGTTACCCTCTCAACATCTTCCCCCACAACCTTTCTCCATTCACCACCCTCTCCAAATCTCTCCAGAATCCATGCCTTCCCTTCCCGCCGTCTCCTCTGCCACGGTGCGCGTTCCATAACCCATACTAAAGCGCAAATCATATCGTGTTTACCCAGCAGCCGCGTAGTTAGGGTGTACGGGAGAGAAGACAGATGGGTCGTTAGGTGTCGGATGAGCGAGAGGCTCGAGAGGTGAGTTGTTAAGGGAAGCGTGGTTTGCGCGCTGGCCAGTGGATGATCTTCATCGATGGCCTGCGTGTCGTCCCTTCGTCCATGAGCAGAAGGATGAGGAGTTCGTACCATGTCTTGCCCAAATCGCGATAAGCATACCAGCTACCCAAAGCTCCAATCTTTTTTGCGCAATAATCCACTAAATCAACCAATGCATCTGCACCCGCTTCACATGCCGCAGAATTAAATAACACAATCTCAAGGAGGTTGAGCACGGTTGCTTCGTGGTAGATCTGTCCAACATTGCTCGTTGAGAACCGCGATGAAGAAAAGAACTGAACCATCAACTGGGTACATACAATAAAGTATAGCTTCAGCGTATTCGCTCGCTCAATTTTACTTTGAATCAGAGGCAGTATTCGAGTTTTCCACGCATCAATCAGCAACAGATCGTGGACAATCGTTTTAATCTGTCCCAACAGAGAAAACGTCAAACGTCATTGCAAGTGACGATGAAGGTCCAATCACACAGCACCTTGTTAGCCAATATGAGACCCTCAGTGACAAACTCCTCGTTCATTTTCTGAGTATTATAATGGGCCTAGAAGAACGAGATAAATTACCAACCAAGAATCCCATTCTCAAAAGGTGACTACGAGCAAATAGATATAGCTCATACCTGCATATTCAATCGCTCAATAACTTGATGCTGTTTCATCCACCCCTTTGTTCCAACATCTTCCAATGCAAATTCCCGAAGCCCTTCGATCAAGTGGTGGGATTCATACTCGGGGAGAACGGGACTGTGTAGCGGGTTCCTGAGATATTAGATCCAGTGCCTTTTTTAATGGGAGCAATGAATAACATACACGTCATCGGTAGGTGCAGAGCTGGATATATTACTTTGTGTTGTCATCATAATGGGCAGAAAAGTAAGCTAGAGGTTTAGATCAAAACTTGTTCTGCAAAACATATCTTCAACAGTTTGCAAGGGACGCGCAGCTAAACGCGCTTACTAAACTCGCGTCTGGTGCGCGGCTGCATGAAGCCTGCTGAACTGCTAGGAAAGTAAACGATCGGTCTAGAGCATACCGCAATGGACGATTGTAACGATACGTACCAACCAAGTCACTAAAAGTACAGCAAGTTCGATTTGGTATCTAATTTGGCATCAAACAAAGTTCGCTAGATTAAAAGGTACCCCCGATGTTCAATAGTTTGAAGACTTGGTGGGGAGGTAACCCCTGCAGAAGTCCTTTACGCGAGAAAGATGGATATGCATGTGATTGCCATACACGATACATGTATCCATTTTACGGACTGAAGGTGACGTTGACAGAGGATTAATGGAGATATAACTTACGGTATTCGACGATCGCGGAAGGTAGTGGGTGGCATTCCGCCTGCTTGTCGTTGAAACCCATACCATCCTTTGACTTGTAATAGCTACTAAGAAATGCTATCTTCACAACTGAAGTACCGGGCTTGTAGTGTAGTGGCTGCATATTCCCCTCCGGAGGGAAAGGTCCCAGGTTCGATCCCTGGCTGGCTCGCTAAGTTCCAGATGCGCGTCATTTTTTGCCGATTTAAAACACTCGCAAAGCGACATCTCAGCTCATGGATCTACATGCAGTAATGGCACAATTGTTGCAAGTTTTAAACTATTCATCTTCAATATTGGTGGGTATTTGAAAATTTGAACGGCCAGTCAATCACTTGATCAACTGCTCTTGCAAATGCTTTTCTTGCAAATGGCCGCAGTATGCTTATATTACTCCTTTGGTAAACCACACATTTCACATGTATCAGCCGAACCCGCATTATTAAATGTGCAATATTTGCAAGCCCACGACGCCCCAGTACTGCTTGAGGCTCTCGTCGCTGTTGCCGCCGAACTCGCTCCTGATCCAGATCCTGCATCCATATAGCTGCCCACTCCTCCTCCATGGGCACCGGCCTCGTTCAATATCATCAGTAAGGTTTGCCATGAACTTTGATGTACGAGTTGGTTGGCAGTCTCTTCACTGTGGTTCTTGGCAATTTGGTATACCAGTTCAAAATCCGGCTAAAAGTGACGAACTTTGAGATATGCTAGCCCCGAACTCCTTGACCAAGCCTTTCCACTTACCGCTTCTATAACATGTAGATGCTTTAGATATACCAAGGCATGGAAATCCGAAAGTGCATCTGTAAGCTTTCCAGTGCTGAAATGTCGTTGCAGTGCCGCAGTGTCCTGGATCTCGACCCCTCCGCGATTCTCAATTGGAAAATGAACAGGTGAAGTAAAAAATGGACTTGGATTTTGCGGAAATCCATGTGTGACCTGAACATGATGTTTAACACAAAAATAAAACAGACGTAGACTTGATGAATACTCACAGTAACTAAGAGATACTCCACTGGAAAAGTTGGTCGCGCGGCATCCTTCACCATTATCCCATACTCGTTCTTGTACTTGTAAAAGACTTCCGGTACATATTGCTCATTTGTCGATTGCTTAACTCTCATCAGTGAAGGCTCCACAGATGCCTCCACAATATCGTCGCGGACCATCGCCATTGCTGTATTTGAAACCTGGAAACTTGATATATCAATACCCCCGTCCTCGTTACCTAAATATAATTGCCATCAATCGGATGTAAAGACAGTAGCGACATATCGTAAACATGAAGAAACTGCACGTAAGCTCACCAGTCATGACACAGGTGACAAATCTGCTGCCGAACTGGCCAGTTGCAGACCACTTGCTGGGTGTAGGGTACTTTAACTGCATTTGAGCTGCCAGAATGCACTCGGCAGATGACAAAAAGTATGATTCGCTATGTCGTTTGCAAATGACAGTTCCATTCCCTGTCCCATCATCAGTGAGGTCCGTGTAAATCATTCCGACCTGTTCCAGCAGAACGTTAAAGGTGGGGCCTGACAATTTTCGGCGCGGGTCATCCAGCATTAGTGTACCTTTGTAAGCCCCAGCTTTGTGGCCACCTCATCCACTGATGTCTCTTCAGGATTAGGCAAGGTCAATTGCAACCCGTCATACGCCCCTTCTTGCGGAGGTTCGTAAATAGCTGTAACCACGGCCTTGACACCCAATGGCACCTCTGAATACTGCTCAAAGCGTCCATATAGATATCCAAATCGCTGATATCCAGATGATCGCCAAAACGTCAAAAAGTTCTCTATCATTCCTGCTGTTTCGAATTCGATATGGTCCACCATTCGAAAGCTCTGATGCACGGATTAGGAACCGATGGGCATCTAAATGATTTCGAAACTTGGTTTTTGACATTACCTGGCTTTGCAGCGTAACGGCTGACGGCTGGCATTTCGTGCAGATACCATTGGGCCACGATTCGTGACCTTTGCTGGGACAGGGTATTTTGACCTTTAGATCCATCTCGTCAAGAGGGGGAAGGAACTGGGAGCTTGTAAGGGGGGCGGTTTTGTTTTGATCCGTAATTTGGCGAAGATATGCATGGAACGACATGTGCTTGATCTTATTTTCCTCTAGATATTTCGCGTCCCATGGCTGTTTCATATGAGAATGTCAGCAGCCGCCTGGTGAAGCAGCCGCGACAGAAACGTACCTGTAAGGGCATGCAATACTCGCACATCCCGGATGTCCCGTGCTTGCAGCTACAGTCTAATGAGCATTTTGCAAGGTATAATGAAGAATGAAAGATGTGCATGTCTACTCACAATCGTGGATCTCTGCCCCGTTGAATAGTTCCCTCCTGTTTCGCCATATATTCGTCTATCGGGTCTTGCACAACAGCAGCGGTAATCTTTTTATCTTCGGTAGGGGCTTGCTGTTCCTCTTCTCGCCGATAGGCAGTGTACAATATATCGCCATGTCTGGATAATCAAGATCCAAAAGTCCATCAATGCTTGTACATTCACAATATTGAATACATATAGTCGTACCGAAGACCTATCTTTCCAACCAGCGTCCCCTTTTTAGCGTCAATGATTTTCTGGCCCTTCTCGTCCGCAGAGAGCACAAGAGTGGTTTCCGATATTTTTAAAGTTTCTGCAATCTTTTGCTCACTCAGTTGGTGAAATTCCGCTGCCTCGCGACTGAACAATGCGACTGAAAGCATACCCTTTTCCTTAGCACTGATATGTCGTCTGATGCTTCGATATTTACACGACCTTGCCCTTCAGCTGATCGTAGACGAATAATCTACTCGGGTGAACAGCACTGAGAACCTAGAACCGTGAAACACTCCAAATCCAGGACGCACCATTCTTTTTTGTCAAATTCTCAGTAAAGGTGACTGCTTCTAACTCGTTTCTCAACAAAATTGGGCCGTCCTATGGCTATTTTCAAAAGGATGAACGATGAAAGGAAACTGCAGAAGTCGTTTGGAACGCGAGAAGTTCATCTTCCCAAGTGACGTGGCCTATTGGGCGGCGCAGTCACAAAGGAAATAGATCATGTGACCTACTGGGAGCTAAGCCTTTTACTTGCGAACTTCGTTTTTGCTGCTTGGGGGTGTTGATTGTAGGATCTTTTTGCAGTCATTTCCAAGCTTGCAGCATGATTATTCCAGTACGGTGCTTTAGGCAAGTAACAATACGGCAGCCATCTTCTTGACCTTTTCAGCCAACCTTCGATGTCCACAGCTGCGGTAAAGTCGTGGGTGACAAATGGGAAAAGTATTTGTCACTGCTTCAAGCCGACTACAGTGAAGGAGAGGCGCTTACACAGCTTGGCCTAAAGCGGTATTGCTGTAGACGGATGGTGCTGACGCATGTCGACCTCATTGAGAAGCTTTTGCAGTAAGTAGATATTCTTGGAAGCTGCTCAAGCGCGCAAGACTGCAGCACTGACGCAATCTCTCGCTGCCAGCTTTGGGCAGAACACGAAACGAAACTGAGCTCGGACAGCCATTTGTGCATTGATCAATTGGGAGACGAAGTCCACGGCCATGAGGATTACAACCCAGCATAATCAAACCTCGGTACGAGACGTACGGCATGGTGGGGTTGCGGCGAGAAACCAGAATAACCAGAAGGGAACTGGATTGTAAATAGACGTATATAATCATTAATCGCAGAGATACGGCATTTTTGCCGACGTAGAGTGGTTTTGACCAGTTTGGCCGTGCTCTTTCTAAATGCAAATTAAACGGGTAGACATGTTCGACTAGGGGTAACGACTATCCACAAAGGGAATTGATAATGTACATGTGGGAATGGATCAGAATGGAAGTTCAGGTTTCGCAGCTTCTTTCGCTTTGCGCCGTTCCTATAAACGGAAAGCCCACATTGGTATCAAAGCGACTGAAGATCAATAACGTTGCAATCCACACCTCCTTCCATGCGGCAATGCGTTCCGGCATTTTGGCCATATTTTCCGCAATTTTCTTCTCCCTACGATACGTTGATTTAGGTCAATAAGAAAGATGCAAAAAGTTTGCGAACCAAATGAGGTATACTCCTTCGCTACTCCTCCTGGACACACCTGTTGTATTGCTCCAGCTCCTTCTTTGTCCCCTTCGGCTGCACCGCTTTGGCTTTGAAGATCCCACCTACTTCCGCCGGTAGTCCAAGGTTCGCCACAGAATCAAGCCCAGCCATTCGACATGCTTTGCGGATACGCCCCTGTTCTCGAATGCCAATTCGCGGGGGTCTTACCGACCCGTCAAGGGAAATTGTTTCGCGAAACGCTGCTGGCGGAGGAGGGAATGCAATTTGTTTGAGAATGTGGTCCGTGGGCATGCGCGAGGGAAACCTGGCGCCAATCTTCATTTTGTCCAGTGTAGGGATTTAGAAAGATCGCAGTGGCAAAACTGGCAGGCGGGGTGAGCGCTGGATGTTACCATGGCAACTTTACGTAACGTCGTCGTGCAGCTGTGATGGCGGACATTGCCTTTGCTGGCCAAGATCATGCCTCCGACATTGCTTGATCTCCTCTCAACGACCCTTGAAATATCTTCCTCAAAGCCCCGTCCGCGTACCCCGATTCTGCATTATCTACTTACACGATATCTGCCACCTCCAGATATCTTGCGTGTCCTCCAAACGACTGACGTTCTTCACTCAGAGCGCCGCCACTGCCCTTCTGGGGAGCTGTGGTGGACCCTGGCCATCCTAACCGATACTGGGCATCCGCCAAATCGCGGTATGCGACCTGTTGAGCGCCGACGAGACTGGAAGAGAGTATGTTTCCAGCGATATAAAGACGACATGGCACGCCGCGACAGGCCTGTTCCTGTAATGTCGTCAACAGCGAAAGATGCATATGTTTCCGAAATAATGGAGGCATCGTACACCCCGCGAGCGAGAGGGAAACTGACTGCCGAGGAAAAGCAGGAAGCTAGGGCATGGTATAAAGATCTGCGAAATAAGAAAGTTCGAGGGAAAGGGCCTGAGAAGGACCCAAGGGAATTCTTTACGGTATAAAAAATCACCAGCTATTTTCACCGTATTCAGGAGATTGCCGTGCGTAGCTTATATGTGATGACTTACTGGCGGCAACTGGGGCCATACCGGCCTTGTACGCTCGTCGGGCCTGGTACGGCCCCCAGGTCCCTAGTACTTGTCTAGCTAGTTGCATGAGAGCAGAGCGCATCTAATGTGTCTTTCCGGCGAACACAGGCTCCTGGAGATATGGTTGACGCGAGCCGCTGAAAAGGATCCTTAATGTGGGGGAAAGCGTTCGGGAGCGTGACGCTGAGGTCGCGATGACCGACCGACATGTATACAGCGCGAACACATACGAATTTGTGTATCTGGGAGCTCTGTTCCGCTCAATACAACCCCGTCGCTCGTGATGCTCAATATTGAGATGTTGATATCAATCTGCAATTCAGATGAAAGGGAGCATAGATCATCCACTCGGTCCATGTAGTACGTACGGTAACCATCATGAGAGCACTGACACCGAGTGACTTTTTTTTTACACCGACACAACAGGACAAATCCGTTTGTTGCCTGCAATGCACGTCCTGCGAGTGACGAAGCACCTCTGCTAGGTAAATCCAAAGACGACCAATCTTTTTCATGTCAAACGAGTTTTCTAGTACAATAGACATCATCAAACAGATATTATTTCACATCAACCAAGTTATTTAAAAATAAAACACGGCATAACGCGAAACCAAAGGTGTCTTTCGACCGTACTTAAGGAAAAAACATATATCCCTTGCTTTATTTACAGTGTATACAAAACTTGCACTTGGCACGTATTTACAGCAAAACATTCATACATCCAATAGATGTACTTGTACCGACAGACGTAATCCGCAGACAAACTATCTATGCTTTTTCACAATTCAAACTTGAGTTCTACCCCAGCGGTTGCAGAACTTTAGGGATGCTCAGGTGCCGAGGAGCTCACGCATCGACACGATGTTGCTATGGAAAAAAAGGTATATTGTTAAAGGTGGTGGAACGGAGACCCAGTAGATTGAAAATACTGATGTCTCACCTTATTTCCTTGCATCTTTTGCTCGGTCAAAAGCCGCAACAGTCGCTTCAACAGCCGCAGCTTCGCTTTCCCCTTCGGAGCCGCAGCTTTTGGGGCCGCAGTTTTTGCAGCCGCTTTGGGCGCCGCCTTCGGAGTTGCCTTCGGAGCCGCCTTCGTTACGTTTGCTTTCGAGGCATCTTTACCAGCTGCTTTCGCGGCGTCTTTTCCAGTTGCTGCTCTTGCGGCATCTTTACCAGGTGCTTTCCCGGCGTCTTTTCCAGTTGCTTTGGCGGCATCTTTACCAGCCTTTGGAGCTGCCTTCGCGGCGTCTTTACCAGTTGCTTTTGCGGCATCTTTACCAGTTGCTTTCGCGGCGTCTTTTAGAGCTGCTTTCGCGGCGTCTTTTCCAGTTGCTTTGGCAGCGTCTTTTCCAGCCTTTGGAGCTGCCTTCGCGGCGTCTTTACCAGCTGCTTTAGGGGCGTCTTTACCAGTTGCTTTCCCGGCCTCTTTACCAGCTGCTTTCGCGGCGTCTTTACCAGCTGCTTTCGCGGCGTCTTTACCAGCTGCTTTCCCGGCGTTTTTACCAGCTGCTTTCCCGTCGTCCTTACCAGCTGCTTTCGCGGCGTCTTTACCAGCGTTTGGTGCCGCTGCTTTCCCGGCCTCTTTACCAGCTGCTTTCGCGGCGTCTTTACCAGCTGCTTTCCCGGCGTCTTTACCAGCTGCTTTCCCGGCGTCTTTACCAGCTGCTTTCCCGGCGTCTTTACCAGCTGCTTTCGCGGCGTCTTTACCAGCTGCTTTCGCGGCGTCTTTACCAGCTGCTTTCGCGGCGTCTTTACCAGCTGCTTTCCCGGCGTTTTTACCAGCTGCTTTCCCGTCGTCCTTACCAGCTGCTTTCGCGGCGTCTTTACCAGCGTTTGGTGCCGCTGCTTTCCCGGCCTCTTTACCAGCTGCTTTCGCGGCGTCTTTACCAGCTGCTTTCCCGGCGTCTTTACCAGCTGCTTTCCCGGCGTCTTTACCAGCTGCTTTCCCGGCGTCTTTACCAGCTGCTTTCGCGGCGTCTTGACCAGCTGCTTTCGCGGCATCTTTACCAGCTGCTTTAGCGGCATCTTTACCAGCTGCTTTCGCGGCATCTTTACCAGCTGCTTTAGCGGCATCTTTACCAGCGTTTGGCGGGGTCACCGTTGCCTTTGCGGCGTCTTTACCAGCAGCTTTTGCGGCGTCTTTGCCAGCGTTTGGCGGGGTCACTGTCGCTTTTGCAGCATCTTTACCAGCGTTTGGCGGGGTTACCGTCGCTTTTGCAGCATCTTTACCAGTTGCTTTTGCGGCGTCTTTGCCAGCGTTTGGCGGGGTTACCGTCGCTTTTGCAGCATCTTTACCAGCGTTTGGCGGGGTTACCGTCGCTTTTGCAGCATTTTTACCAGTTGCTTTTGCGGCGTCTTTACCAGCTGCTTTAGCGGCGTCCGCGGCGTCCTTTCCAGCGTTCGGCGGGGTCACCGTCGCTTTTGCAGCTTTACCAGCGTTTGGCGGGGTTACCGTCGCTTTTGCAGCATCTTTACCAGCTGCTTTCGCGTCTTTACCAGTTGCTTTTGCGCCGTCTTTACCAGCGTTTGGCGGGGTCACTGTCGCTTTTGCAGCATCTTTACCAGCGTTTGGCGGGGTTACCGTCGCTTTTGCAGCATCTTTACCAGCGTTTGGCGGGGTTACCGTCGCTTTTGCAGCATTTTACCGTCGGCTTTTGCAGCATTTTTACCAGTTGCTTTTGCGGCGTCTTTACCAGCTGCTTTAGCGGCGTCCGCGGCGTCCTTTCCAGCGTTCGGCGGGGTCACCGTCGCTTTTGCAGCTTTACCAGCGTTTGGCGGGGTTACCGTCGCTTTTGCAGCATCTTTACCAGTTGCTTTTGCGGCGTCTTTGCCAGCGTTTGGCGGGGTCACTGTCGCTTTTGCAGCATCTTTACCAGCGTTTGGCGGGGTTACCGTCGCTTTTGCAGCATCTTTACCAGTTGCTTTTGCGGCGTCTTTGCCAGCGTTTGAGGCGGTAACAGTCGCTTTTGAACATC